TGTGGCTTTTAATGTACACAGACGGATGGATGAGGAAACAAACACAGATGTATGTATTTCCTAGCTGTTCCCAGAGAGTACCTAGCAGCAACGATGGCAGCAGAGCTTGGTTCTAAACCCTGCTCTCCACTAACGTGAACCAGGACTCTGGCAAAATGGCTGACCCCAGGGCTGGGGGGCAAAAAACAAGGCAAGGTGCCTAGAACGTTTTGTGGTACCTGAAAGTAAGAAAGTGTTCGAAGAACTCCGGGGTTGTGCAGCCATTGTGGAAAACAGGTGGACGTTCCTCAAAATATTAAAAACAGAATTGCCATAGGACTCAGCAGCCCCACTAGGCATGTGTCCAAAAGAATCAAAGGCAGGATCTCCAAGTATTTGCACACCCATGCTCATTCACCGCAGGATGACTCCTAAGAGCCATGTGCACAACCCAAGTGTACACCAATAAGTGAATGGATAAGGAAAATGTGGTATATCCCTACCATAGAATACTACGCAGCCTTAAAAAGGGACATCCTGTCACATGCTACAACATGGATGAACCTCGAGGACATACATTATACTAAGTGAAATGAGCCAAAAGGACCGATACTGTATGATTTCACTCACAAAGCATCTAAAGCTGTCAAAACCATAGAAACAGAAAGTAGAGAGGTGATTACCAAGGGCCGGGGCGAGATGGGAAGGGAAATTCGTGTTTAGTGGGTATAGAGTTTGTTTTGCAAAACAAAAAAGTTCCAGATATCGGCTACAGAACAAGGTAAATATAGTTGGCACTACTGAACTGTATCCACTTAGAAATAGTTACGATGGTAAATTTAATATTATGTTTTTTACCGCAAGTAGACACAACGCCAAAGAATAACCTCAGAGCATGTCACAAGAACACAGAAGCCAGCCCGAAAGTGCTCCCACTGGCCAAATCCAGGACAACAGGCATCGCCACGAATCGCAATAGTCTGTAAGTTATAAAACAGAATCCACGTTCCATGCTGAAATAAATGATGAATAAACAAACGGGGACAGGAGAAAGTGCTTACACTCAAATGCCAATTAAGTGCGAAAGCAGCAGCATGATTACAGAATCACCATTTGGCAGTAAGTGCTTCAGGTAAGAACCGTAACTAGATGCTCAATCTGGAGGATAAAAATTTATGAAGAACAGGATGTTAATACGGTCTCATTGTAGCTCCCCACAAAGTACTTATTCCTCATTAATTAGTAACTACAAAATACTAACTTCACAATGCAAAACCTTGCAAACATGACCTACGGATAAAAAGAACGTCACCAGAACTGGGAAAAACCGATACCTGTGCCCCCGGATACCAAGGGGAAGAGCACAGCGTCACTTCCCCGGCGCTTGTAAAATTCAGACCCTGAATGTGATAATCAGAAAACATCAGACAAATCCAAAGTAAGGGTCATGCTACAAGGTAACTGGCCAGCACTCTTCAGAAATGTCGATCACAAAAGAAACAAACAAACAAGGAACACCCAAGAAAGTGCTCCACGTTAAGGTAGGCTGAAGGGAAAATGTAACTAAATGCACACACATCAACCTGGGTTGGGTCCTGGAACAAAAAGGAAAGGATTATTATAAGTACCTTTCTTGCAGTATTGGCAATATTTGAATGTTGTTTGTGGATTAAATGGTAGAACTTTCTCATTGTTGGTTTCCTAATTTTGATGAATGTACTAGTTATACAGGAGAGGCCTTGTTTTGTTTTTTTAAATAAACACTAATGTGTTTTGGGCTAATGGGACCGCTTAACTGCAACTTACTATCATATAGTTAAAAAAATGAGTGTGTGTACACACACACACACACACACACACACACAGAATAAGGTAAATATGGCAAAATGTTAACAACAGGAGAATCTGGCGAAGGATATACAGGCTCTTATTAAGAAATAAGATACATACAAGTGGTCTTACAGCTATTAGGAATTTATTATACTGGTTTTTATACTACTAGAAAAATCTCTGCTTAATCGGTTCGTTATCTCAGGCAAAACTATTTAAAAGAATAGTTGAAATAAAATGTGAAAACTTTTCTTAATGGGCAATAATGTACATATAACCTTCTGCTTAAAAATTAAAAATACACAATGTTCTGAATTTTCATTAAACCATGCTTCTTCCTGCAATAATTTGTCTCCTTAAAAAAAATCGCTATATAGTAAAAAATGTTAAAAATTTGAATCCTGTTAATTTAGGATAAGTAGAATTTTTTTCTTGTAACTGATATTTATACAATTTCATTAGAGAGTTATATATCTGTTGATAGTTAAATATGAGATTTTAACTTGAACCATGACCTATGGTTCATGGGTGATGTTGGAAACTGAGTAAGTTTTTAAATCCTCACCCAAGGATATAATTACTGGTTTTGGAGAAAAGAAGGGAGAGAGAGAAAGAGAGAAACATCGAAACATCAGTCAGTTTCCTCCTGTCCGTGCCCCCACAAGGGACCGAACTCGCAACGTTTTGTGGTACAGGATGGTGCTGAACCAGCTGAGCCATCTGGCCAGGGCTCTAATAATTCTTATTATAAATCTCCTACTGTAGGAAATGTCTGTAGAAAAGGGTTTTTTATTTTTTTTTCCTTTGTCATTTAGAGTCATGTTGTTTGCAAGGGTCCAACTGGTAATGTCATGTTGGACTAAGACCACGATTAAAAAAAAAAAAGTGCCATTTCTCATATGCTCACTAAATGAATGTGAAAAGAAACAAGGACAGCAGCAGCACCCGTGGAATAGAAAGAGCTTCCCAAAGAGATTTGTTTGAAGCATTTCTCTCGTTTTGAACGATTTAGTAGTACTTTTGAAAAAAGTATTAACAATACTTTTGTGTTGACAAAAAAGAAAATATATAGAAGAAATTACATACTGAACATGAAAATCAACAAGCCTCAGAAAATGTTGTAAGAAGTCCTATGAATCCTTTGTGCATCCTTCACTTGAGATTATCACTGAAAATTTGAGTATAATCCGTTAACAATGACACAAAAGAAACACATACCTTTGGTTCTCTACAACTATGACAAAGAAAGATATGTAAAACTCCCAAAGTCTATTTTATGCCGTGGAATCACAATTTGACTCCACAAACTAAAATGAAATAGGCCCGAGTTATTGAAGTGAAAAGACCAAAAACGCGGAGCTGCGTGTGCGTGTGTGTACGGTGGTGGCGAGGAGAAGCAGAGGAGAGAGAAGCAAAGGTACCCTCACTTCCAGGAAAAATCCTGGGCTACTTAGTCTGTTTTAGTGATTGTTAGTGTTTTCCCATAAACACAATTGAAGTGGTTAAAGTGAGAGAAAATCCCAAAAAGGGGGAAAAAACCCTCTCCTTGACCCCTTCCCACGGAGGTAGATCTGAAAGTCCCTCTTTTGTCCCCTCTGCAGCGTCACTTGTCCGCTCATTCTCTGCTTACTGATGGTGGGAGAAAAAGGAGCACTGGGGGTAAAAGGGAACCACCCCCACCAAAGGGAACCAACAAATCATCAACGTCTCGATCGCTGAATTAGTGACCACCATTTACATCTTTAAGTGGTCATCAGTTCATCAATATTTGAAGGACAATTACCTTATGATGATACTCGAGAACCTTACAAACAAAAAAGTACAGAGGGTAGCACTTACCCTTTCTCCCTGCCTCCCAACCTCTACTTGCCATCATATATTAATAGAATGGACATCAATTTCTCTCTCAGCATGCTATTGTCCTAGGTAATGGTTTTGCAGGTGCTGTTCTTAGACAAGATGAACGGGACATACTTATTCCTAAGCAAAGTGTACGTAAACTAAGGAACTAAAAAGAAGCAGGGCAGAAAAAATGTAGTTGAAATTTAGAGCTTAACCTCTCAGAATGTTAAGGCTGATACTCAGAGCGCATCTCATTCAACACACTCACTTCAGTATGGAGCGCCTGGACTTGGATCCATTCCCCCAGTACTGAGCAGACTCTGCAAGGCTCAGTTCCACTTCCAACTCTGTCTCTGACCAGCTGCCTGGCTCTCAAGCATTTGCTTAAATCTCTTCCTTTCCACGGGCCCATTCATTCAATGTTAAAGGAAGTGCGTCAAATTACATGAATTCTATAGCCCCTCTTAGTCATAACATTCTAAGGCTTTAAGCTCTAAATGTCGACCACCCTTTCCCCCCATGGCTGTTATTGCAGAAATTCCTAAGCTGATCTAAAATTCTTATGGAAATGCAAGGAAATAAGAATACCCAGCACAATCTTGGAAGAGAACAAAGTTGGAAGACTCAGGCTTGCCAATTTCAAAACAATATAAAGCTATAGTAATCAAGATAATGTGATACTGGTATAATGATACATATATAAATAGAATTCAGAGTTCAAGAACAAATGCATACATTTATGGGCAACTGATTTTCAACAAGGGTGGCAAGAGAATTTGATGAAGAAATAGTCTGTTCAACAAATGATATTGGGACAAGTGGATATCCACAAGCATTGGACCCCTATCCTCACACCATATATAAAAATCAACTCAAAATGGATCAAAGACTCAAATATAAGAGCTAAAACTATAAAACTTTTTTAAAAAAGCAATTAATCTTTGTGACTTTGAATGAAGCAGTGGTTCCTAAGATATGACACCAATAGCATATAGAACCAAAGGGGGGAAAAAAAGATAAATTAGACAAGCAAAATAAAAAACTTTTATGCTTCAAGTGACACTACCAAGAAAGTGAAAACACACACACAAAAAGGGAGAAAATATTTTCAAATCACACATCTGATAAAGATTTAGTATCCAGACTATATAAAAAACTCTTAAAATTCAAAAGAAAAAGAAAAAACTCCAAATAAAAAAATAGGCAAAGGACCTGAACATTTCTCCAAAAAAAGATACACAAATGGCCAATAAGTACAGAAAAGATGCTCAACATCTTTAGCCATTAGGGACATGCAAATCAAAACCACAATGAGACACCTCTTCACATACTCAGGATTGCTAAAATAAAAAAGACGGTGAGTGACAAGTGTTGCTGAGGAAGTAGAAAAATTGGAATTCTCATACACTGCTGGTGGGAATGTAAAATGGTGCAGCCACTGTGGAAAACAGTCTGGCAGTTTCTCAAAAGGTTACACCACATGATCCAGCAATTCTACTCTTAGATAGAGGGTTTGGCAAAAGTAGATTTTGAGTTGTAAGTACACAAAACACAAGTTTATTTTTGTTTTATTATTAATTAATTATTGTATTATTTTCCATATGAACTCTAAACCTACTTTTGTCCCACCCTGTATATACCCAAGAAAACTTAAAACATATATCCATACAAAAAACTTGTACATGAATGTTCACAGCAGCATTATTCATAAGAGCCAAAAAGTGGAAACAACCCAAATGTCCATCAACTGATGAATAGATAAACAAAATGTGGTCTGTCCACACAATAGAAGGTTATTCAGCCATAAAGAGTAAACGGATACATGCTACCACATCAATGAATCTTGAAAATATTATACTAAGTGAAAGAAGTAGGACACAAAAGGCCACATATTTTATGATTCCATTTTTCTGAAACATCCAGAACTGGCAAACTCGTAGGAGACAGGGAATGAATTAATGGTTGCCCAAGGCTGGGGGAGACGGAGACTGGGAGCCGACAGCCAATGCGTGCAACGTTTTCTTGGGGGACGATGAAATGTTGCACGGCGCTGTGAATATACTAACAATCAATGAGCTGTACACTTTAAAGAGTGAATTTTATGATATGTGGATCATCTGAGTTTTTTTAAAAAAGGCAAATGGCTCTCTGAAAACTGATTTCCTCACTTTTGTTTGAGACCACCTACTGGCTCATAAAAACATTAAATAGTTTGCAATGACATTTGACATTTATAATCCCACTGAAACAAATACAACAAAAAATTATTTTTAACCTAATTATATATATCAGCGGATGGTCTACTTGTGTTTATTTTGCTTCTAAAGAGTAAAGATCTAAAAATTCCTCTGAGTTTATGATTTCTCTGAGTCCTTCTTAAAATCTGTATTTTCCTTCAGTAACTAAGGCTAAACAAATGTCTTCATTTTAGAAATTTTAGTAATAGCATCATCTAGAAACAGGTAAAAATACTGCTCCTACAATGACCTTAGTTACACAGCCATCTTCAAGCAGTACTTTAAAATTTAATTCTTGTTCATGGGTTAGGCAAAAATCCAATTTTCAGTATCAGGATTTCAATGAAATATGTATAACCAAATTCTTTAAGCCAGGTAACAAATGCAGACTTTCCTTCACTTGGAAAACAAACAGAATTTCAGGCTTACTCTATTCAATAATGAGTTTAAGTGAATTTTTTCCAAAGCGCTGCAAAGAAAACATACTCTTCATCTTCATCTTCTGTAACATTGTTTTGTGTATCTGGTATAAGAAGCCTGTGTACTTCACATTAGCACTATAATCCACAGGAAAAGCTTTGTAAGCATTTCAAATAGAATGAAATTAATTCTAGTCTGACATCACTAGGCTGTACTAGACACAGTCCCATAGGAGTTACACATGACTGACCCTTCCAAAGGTGTTCACAGTAAAGGGGACTTCAGCACTTGCGAAAGAAGCCCAAGGTCTGCCACGGTTGGGCCACGTACTAAAAGAGCACTGACAGAGTGCTGCAGGGCACAATGATTTCATCTTTAATTTCAATGGAAACTGCACATACTCATTTCTTACTCTTAAATACAAGTGGTGTCTACTATGTCAGCGTGCTAGCCGCAAGAAAGATGCGAACACGGAGAAGATGAGCTCCTCCATCTTCAACGTTACTTCTGTGGTAATGTGGATAAAATCCAACCGCTGCTTGGCGACTTTAGGAGAAGGCACGCCTAAGAGATGAGAACATTCACACCTTGTAATTCAATTATATTGCTGCCTCATGAAAGGGTGAGGTTCATATTTATTTCCTTGAAAACAGAGCATGAAACAGTTTCTAACAGTAATCCAGGTGATAGTGAAGATGTGCCTACTGTGTATGCAGAACCCTTAAGATCTTTTGTAACACATTGAGGAATTCTTTTGAATTATGTGTATTCAAGTGATCTATGGTATTATAATCCATATGGAACAACAAGAACAAAACCTTGATAAAACAAGAAGTGGAAGGAATAAAAACTGATTGGTTCCAGCGTCACACCAGAGTGACCCTGGGAAAGAGAGGCCTGGAGCAGACACACTGCATGTGAAGACAAGTGCGTATTACAATTCAGAGGAGTTAGAGCCCATACTCTTTGCTTTTTGTTTTTTAACTAAGTAGGACTCAAAAAAAACTTTTATCAGTTTTTTTCCCTAATAGCTCATCTTTTCTAAATAATTCTCACTTTGCATTCCAGAAAATATAAGAAACAATTTGCAAGAGTTCACGCAAATATGTTTCTCTAAGGCCATGAACTGGTTTGCTAAGTTGCATTGTTTTAGTCAAGTAAAAAGCCCTTCTAGAATAAGGGGTCACTAAAGGAAAGCAATCAACTTCACTTCTCAGGCCTGCACATGTGTTAGGGTCGCTACAACTCACAACTAAAAGGGAGAATGCTCATTTGAGCATTAGCAAAAAATCTAACGCATGTTAAGTTTTTCTGGCAGATTTTTGTATATTACAAAAAAAAATGCGCAAAAGCTTAGCATGAGAATCCCTTTTTTCTTATAAAGGTCAAACAGATACTTCTTGACATGATGTCCTTTATACAATGGCATACTGTTCATATAAAAGGTCTCTTATCCTATAAAAATCTTGACAAAGGCAGCCTTCTAATCCAATGCGTCCAGTTTCAGTCTAGAAACCAAGTAAAAAAAAAAGTTCTTTAGTACATTTTTCTATCCATTAATATGCAGACATAATAACCAAAGTTACTTTATGACTGGTTAGGAAATGGGTTGCTCTGAGTCACAGAATATGGATACAGTATTCAAATCATGAGTTTCACAGACTTATAAATGTCAGAGAATACAAATAAAAGTTTACAATAAAATTATATGTCAAGTCTTTGAGAGTCACTTTTTAAAGCCTTCCAAGGTCATCATTATGAATATAAATTACTGATTTCCAGTTTTGTGAAATCACCAGTTAAGAATTACAGAATTCACAGTGACACAATATCAGAAGCATTTGTTCAATTCAACCCTTTTCAAACATACTTACTCTGCGGACCGCTACTTGATTGTTGCAAACAAGGACACCTCCTACAAATTCAGCTTGAATCCCCTCCCGCAAAAGAACTTGTTTGAAGTCGGACAGTCTTGGTTCGTTCATAAAAACTGACTGATGTCCAGGAACCTTAGGTAAGGCAAAAGGGGAAAGAAAAACTTCAACCTGAACACCAGACACATAGTTGTACTGAATAAAGTAAAATAACACATGATCTTTAAGACATTTTCTATTATTCCCTCAAGTCCTTTGACAGATCATTTCAAGACTGTAAATCACATTCCAAGTTGTTATTCTGAGCTTTACCTCACTATTTAACATTACAAAGCCCTTCACATTTTCTGAATGTTTCACAATCGATTCTATTAGTCATGCCCCACGGTAATAGAGAGACTCTTGGCGATGTCATGCCTTCACTCGCCCACTTGCCTTCCGGGGTCAAATGGAGTGCCAGCAGGCACAGCGGAACCACACACTTTTTGATTCAGGTCCCAGTCCTTTGCTTAGTTCAGAGGACAATTTTCTCTCGACTCCGGTTCCACTTTCCCCCGCCCCCTCCAAGCAAACGCAGTGGATACTACGGGTTTTAGAGCCGGGAAGGCAAGTGGTTCAACCTAGTGCTGCTCCTTTGAAACTGCTTGCAGAGCGCTAGCTTTAGCACAGAGGGAAAACCAACTCCAGCTTCTCCCAATTTCAGGAGTAGGCAGGAAAAGGGCCCGATGACAGAGGCTGTCTCGCTACCCCTTATTCCTTAGGAGGCCTAAAGACAGCACTTGACGTGCATCACAGTTTTTAATACTGCTGTAAATTCCATGCAACTTTTACTAATTAAGTAGATCTCTCTAGAGGACATGTCAATACTAGACTAGAATTATACCTGTACAAAGTAAAAACTTTCTAATCAAAACCAAAAGTGACTTGAACTGAACTGATAACAGACAAAACTGGAACGCAGAAATGTGACATTCTTAATGCGTCTCCTGAGTAGAAGCAGGTAAATGTCTCTCACAATCATCGAACTTACACTTTAAAATCTATACTGAAAAACAAAAACAAATCATGAAACAATTATGTATCTCATAAGAAGATCTGCTAAAGGTTTCCTTTTAGTTATTATTATTCCTTAACCATACAGGAGACACACACACGCACACCTTGAGTAATCTTTTTTAAAAATTCCAAAATCAAAATCAGTCTACATATGACACATTTTAAATGGTTAAAAACATAAAAGGAAAATTCAAAGGATGACAAATTAAGGAAAAGAGAGAAGCAGCACACGCCTACTTACTTCATTAGGTGGCAAGGGTTCCAAAGTGGGAATAATCTCACTTTCTTCACCCGTCTCTTTCTCATCATCTCCAAACAGACTTTTCATGGCCTTCTGCTGTGCTATGACGCTAGAATCGGAAGGCGCATCCACTTGCATTTCTGAGTCTTCTCCATCATCCTTCAGTTCTCCCTCTTCTAGAATAACTCCCGTGTCCACTTTGGAAACGCGCATGTCTAAGACACCATCTATCCAAGCTAGTTCAGCATCTTTCGCCTTACAAAACTGCAGGGAGCTAACAAGTGAGTCTTTCAGTCTCACCTAGATATGCAAAGGGGAGGAAGAGAAATAAAACCCACAGAGTATAAATTAACAAGTAAATCTAACATATTATTTATTATCATTTCCTAAGCCTGGTAATGTGTATTAAAATTTCAAAATCACTCATTCATTTGATCCTCACCCGTGACCTAATGACCTGTAAGATCTTTGGGCCCCTGTCTACTTTCCAAAATAGAGGCTTTTAACCCTGACTGCACATTGGGGTCCCGCAGCAATTTTTTAGAAGTTTATCAGTGCCACAGCCCCACCTGCAGTGACTCCGATATAACTAGTGAGACTAAGACCAGAGCATTGAGACGCCCAACTCCCCAGAACCCCCCAGATGATTCTCCTGCGCCGCCGAGGCCGAGCCCGGCTGGGGAGTGCCATCCTCTGATACTGACGATTAGAGGAGCACTCAGTTGCTTAGGGTTTTCTACCTAAACCACGCGGTTTCACACGTCCGTATTCTTGGAATGCTGCTTCCTCTTGCTTTGCCCAGAATGATGGTTTTGCTCGCTGAATTCTAGTCCATTTTTCCCAGACAAATAGAGACATCACTTCTGCCTTAACTGACACCATCGCCCACTACCAAATAAGAGTTAATTCCTATTTTCTGGGCCTTTCTCCATTTTTTTCCTGACATCTGTGAATTTCCATAAAAGTTCTGAATTCTGGAACCCTCACCATCCCTTTCATGGGTATATTTTTGCTAATGTTGTCCCTTCCGGAACACTCTTTCCTCCTTCTCCCTCCTATACTTCACACAACCCTGAGAGCCCATCCATTAGGATTCGGCTTAGTAATAGCTTTCTCCAGGAAATCTTTTCTAATCCCTAAATCCGGGTTGGGGCCTCCCTCTGTATGTTCTCATTACATCTTCTACTGTCTTTTTCAACGGTACAGCTGTGTGATAAATACTATTTCCTTGTTACGAGCCCCAAAGACTAAGGCCTGCTAGGCCAGGGCATCATGACTGCCTTATCCACCTCTGTATCCTCATGCATCTGCCTGCCCTAACCTGCAGCACAAACCACTTACTTTCTTGGGGCTCCCATGCCAGCCCATTTACCTGGTAGATGTGAGTTTCGCTGGTGGCGTCAACTGTCTCATGCAGCTTTGGCACGTACACTTTAATGTCTTTCCCGCCGAACGCCCGGCAGCACTCCGCAAGGTCCTGGCTCGCCTCGGGGGGGCCGTGGACAATGATCAGCTGCCGTGGCTTCATCTGATTAATGATCTTTTTAATGGAATCCCCATCAGAGCGTCCTTCATAGTCTATGTAAGTGACCCTGGCTCTGTAATTAAACACGATTGTTCAACCTTTTCTGATAAATTCATTCAAATACTAGGTTTTTAATGGCTTTTATTATCAGGAAAGAAATGTATACAGTATATATGTAAAAAAAAAAACCTAAAAAGAAAAAATGTATTCAATGTGTAAAATGAGGATTTGGGGGAGATACATATGTTTATTATTAATACGTATTTTGGGAGGGAATTATGGATTCTTTAATAAATGTCACTAGAAAAAATGGCTCACTCTATAAAGAAAAATAAAACTGGATCCTGACTTAATGCCACATAAAATAGTAGGTGAGTTGAAGCCATTAAAAAAAAAAAAAGAAAATGTGAAGCTTTAGATTATAGAGTAAAATGTAAGAATTATCTTTGTGACCAAGGACAGGGAAGGACTTTTCAAAACATAAAATCCAAAAAATATAATGGGAAATATTTTATTATTTCCTTACATCAAAATTAAAAATGGCTCTGGCTGGTGTGGCTCAGTGGACTGAGCACCAGCCTGTGAACCAAAAAGTTGCCAGTTCAATTCACAGTCAGGGCACATGCCTGGGTTGCGGGCCAGGTCCCCATTTGGGCGCACAGAAGGGCCAACTATTGATGTTTCCCTTCCTTCCCCTCTCTCTAAAAATAAATAAAATCTTTTTTAAAAAACGTTTTTAAACAAAGTAGACCATGGAAAACTCTCAAAGACAAGTTCACAGAATGGGAGATGGTATTTATTTGTATTGCCTACCACCAATAATATCCAGAATATACAACAAAATCCTGCAAATCAGTAACAAAAAGGAAGCAACCTCTAGAAGAAAATGCATGAAAGGAATGAACATGGACTTTATAGAAAACAAAAACCGTAACAAGCATCTGAAGAGATAACCAAGCTTAATAATAACCACAGAAGAACAAATTTTAACAGTACTGATAAATTACTTTACATCTATTAGGCCAGCAAACATTAAAGAGTTAGACAAGGCCCAATGCTGGTGATGAAACAGGGATGGAGGAAGCCCCCTGCTCTGCTAGTGAAAACATAAACTGGTACAACCCTTCTGGAGAGAATGTTGTGACACCGTTTACGTGCATTAGTGAGACCTTAGCTATGCCCAAGAACATATACTAAATGGTATCGCTGCACAGATAAACCACTTTGCTCTTTAATGAGTGTTTTAAAATTCCAAAATAACGATTTCCTGGTGATATGAACTGTACCAAGCAGAAAAGGAAAACAAAATTATCCTAACTACTTCAGATCACAATAGTATTTTTAAGACATTAGGGCACTAGAGATGTTTAAGTCAAGGAATATATTTTATGAAACAAGCACTTAGGAAAATTAAACCTATGAATTGTATCCTCACCTACTACGAAACATACCAAATATGCCAAAAGAGTGAATGCTTCTTCATATAACTGTACAATTTAATGTTTAACCCCCTCCTCTCCACCAATTCAATTACTTTGGCATTCAGATATAATTACTGAAGAGAAAATACCTCCACACTTCACAAGTCTTTACATGAAAAAAGAGATTACATTTTAAAAGTGCAAACTTACTACAGGATATTCAGAATATCACCTTGGAAACAATGTAAATTATAATTCAAGTGTTCGCAATTTTATTATTTCCAAACTGCAGTGAAAGCACTTACTTTATTTCAATAGATTCTGTCATAGAAATGCACTTAGTGGGAACATCAGATAAATCCTGATCCATGGGTTCATCTCCATTCGTCAAGCCAGATTCTAATTTGCTTTTTTCTTCTTCAGTAGCTTGAAGTTCTGGCACCAAGAAATCCTCTGGTCTAAATAATAAGTCTCTAATTAGAAGTGATACCAAGTAAACTAACATTATGTTACATATAACTAACTAGTAAATGGTGTAATTTTTAGACTCTTTGCACATCTCAAGATTTAAATATACATCTGCTCCAAAGCCAATGCAACCGCATGGTATCAATTCTCAGATGACTGCATCTGTTATGATCTTCATGACCACTGAGGGTGCTCTTTAAACCGCCCCCTGCGGGCGAGTGACAGGCCCCAGACAGGTCATTAGAAGAGCTCAGCGGTTAGTATACGGGCCATTACACCCTGGCCCTGCACTTGCTTCTCGCTATCCGTGGCTTCCCTGGTCAACTCCTGATTCTTACAGATCTCAGACCTCCTTTGATTTCCTAACGACCCCAGCTCTCCCACACCTGCTCAAAGAAAGCAGGTAACTGTTTGTATATTAACAAGAAAACTGAGGTACTGAGTCATTAGTTTCCTGGAAAGCTTCATCTTTATTTCAACAAACTGTTAACACGTCTCTCACCATTTTTACTCTAGTATCAGAGAGTTGTATGTTAAAATTTAAAAAACAAACTTTTAGAAGTGTTTTCTCTAACTCCTGTGATGGTCTACGCCCCGCCCCAAACCCGCTCACACCCGAGAACCCCAGCCTGTGACCCAACGCCCAGAATGCTGCTGCAGCTTCTTTCCCCTGAGGTCCAGTATCTCCGACTGCAATCCACGTAACAGCAGCAGTGGTCACCGCTTAGTGTATTTGCTGAGTCAGGTTCTATGCTATGTGCCTTAAAAACATGACCTCATTTAATTCTTACCCCCATTTTTCAGATAAGGAAATTGAAGCTGAAGAGCACCACCCATACACTAAACAGATTGGCAACATATCAGGAAGAATGGTAAGCAAACTCACCAATGCTGTTTAGATTGTTATTTTTCCTCTCTATTATTTTAATTACTTTTTAAAAATTTATTTATTTTTAGAGAGAGGGAAAGGGAGGGAGAAAGAATGGGAGAGAAACAGCGATGCGAGAAAGCAGCATTGATTGGTTGCCTCCCAAAGGCACCCCGACCAGGCCCCAAACCCAGAACTCAGGCATGCGCCCTCACCGGGAATCAAACTAGCAACCTTTTCTGCTGTAGCACGATGTCCAACCAACCAAGCCACACTGGTCAGGGCCTCTCTACTATTTTAGAGGGCCAAGCAGATGGTCAAATTCCCTAAGTAAACCCAAGAGTGACCTAAGTTAACAATAGACTCAAGATAGCATTACAAAAGTACAGAGAAAGTACAAGACAGGGAACTGTGTTGGGGTGGCAACAAGAAATAGAAAAGGTTTCCAGTTGGTCGCAGAGCCAGATTTAGCAGCCCTGAAACCTGGGATGGGGAGGCAGAACAAAGCAGCAAGAAGAGCATGCATGAGGGCGCAGCGTGAAAAAGCTGAGAAGGAATCGGGAAGCCTGGTGCCCCCGAGTGGAGAGCACACATGGACATAACAGAAGAGCAGAGAAACATAACGGAAAGGTAGGGAGAAACCAGATCGTGAAACACACCGTGCACTGTGCGAAGGTATTTGACATTTACCTGAAAGCAAAAGGGACCCTGAAGGATCTTTATACAGGATAGTTTTTTTAGATTCCAAATTAGAACATGTGATTCTAGTTCTTTTCCTAATAGCAGATATAGATCTTGCAGATTTTTCATGGTTCCAGTCATGCCATCTCATGTTTCTCTTTTAAGTAAAACGTATCTGTAACATTATCTGAGACACAATCCACTTCCCAAACTTAACTTAATCCTAACCATTGAAAGTTCTTCCTAACCTGACCTGCGTGGCTCAGTTGGTTGGGGATCGTCTCATAAAGCGAAAGGTCACTGGTTTGATTGCCAGTCAGGGCACATGCCTGGGCTGCAGGTTTGGTTCCTGGTCTGGGCGCCTGCGTCACCCAATCAGTGTATCAGTGTTTCTCTCTCACATCGATGTTTCCCCTCCCTCTCTTTCTCCTTCCCCTCCCCTCTCTAAACATAAGTAAATAAATAAAATCTTCAAAAAAAAGAAAGTTCTTCCTATCCTATGCCTTTCTCTAGTGCACATCCCTTCTCTCTCTTTTTAAGTGGGAAATAAAAGTCTTGGTCATCTTTTCAAACCTTTTACATACCTAAGTAATAAAACTACCAGCTTCTCTTTAATATCAATTCTCTAGATGTTCTGCCACCTTTCTGCTTTTACATTTCACACTCCAAGTCTACAGTTTTCAAACTAAGGTACTCAGACAGTAACAAGGTACATGATAAGCAGAAAAACCAAATTCGCTGAGCTCAAATGATAATACACTTGATACCTATAATCTGTAAGCAAGAAAAGCTTGTTTTGTTCACATACTTGATAATTTCTCCATATTCATCCCATTTAATTCTCTCTTCTGGGGCAGGAAACATGGGGTAAGACTTTTTCGCCTGCTTGAAGAAGCTGCCTTTCCGACTCCCTTCCCCTTTCATCATCAGGTCATGCTTGGTCTTGTGAGCCGATGGCTGGTCAATGTCTTCCTCAACATCACTTTCATCGCTGGAATCTATGTCTGCCCTGGGAGGATTTTAGAAACATAAAGGTCATAGAATCCCCAAAGGATTATGAATTCGTGCTCATAAAATTATTATTAATATTGAATATTAACTGGATGGCAATACAACAATCATCAATATTACTGGGTTGATATTTTGTGAAACACAGCAATAACTGCCAGTTAATAAACACATATGAATATTAGCAATGAAAGAATGTGGTATTCGAGCACCATTTGAAAGATGAAACGAAAGTAATGAGGTCAAAACAAAAGTTAAGTATTTTCTATTAAGCATTTTTTGTCTTAGAAATAAATTCTTACAGTATATAAACTTAAAAGAAGTCTAAAAATAGCTCACTCTTTTGACTGCTCAAGTTTTTTAGCAGCTTCTTTCTTTAGTTTCTCCTTTTCCAAGTATTCTTCAAGTTCTTTCCCTTCAAGCTTTACACGTTTCCTCAACTAAAGGAAAACAGAAGACAAAGAAAAACACCAATATTAGGGAGTTAAGGCAGTGGGGTATGAGATACATTGCGTCTCTACATTGATTCATCATCTTTAAATTAAATTTTCCTCTGAAATTATTCAAGTGTCCATAATGTGCACATACAGATCCTATTTAGATTAGTAAGAAAATCGAGCTTTCCTATTTCTAGGATGGGTTTAACTTAAATCAAACTAGTTTAAAATCACCAATCAGGAAAACACAAACTAAGTAATTTTATAATTTGGTGTAGGTAAGGCTTACATATTGACACAAAACCCAAAAGCTACAAAGGAAAATATGAATATGACAGCATGAAAAAATTGCTTTACCATTTTAAATCTCATGAAATTAAAAGAAACTGAAAAATTATTTGCAGCACTATATGATTAGCAGGAGCTAGTTTTTCCTAAGGCCCCTTCCAAATCAGTTAAGAAAAAGATGACCAACACATCAGGAAAGAACAAAACACACATATAGGCAATTTCTAAAATACGAAAAACAAATAACTGATAGTCATGAAGACATGTCTAATTTCATTAACAATTATTTTTTAAATGCAAAATATTTTAAATGTAATACCATTTTTTAATCTATGAAGTTGGCAACACTAACTACAATGCTATATGGGGAAAGGGTACCTTCATCTATTGTACTACCTATGGGTAAACTAACGCACTATGTTAGAAGGCAATATGTCAACATCTAAAACTAAAAACGTGCTTGTCATTTAACACAGCATTTCTACTTGTAGACATTTATCCTACTAAAGCAATCACACAAATGCAGCAATGTCTGTAACAGTAAAAAACTGGACACAATTTAAAATTTATCAATACAAGGCGATTTAATTAGTAGGTCTCAAACTTTTTGAAATCATAATTCCTAAGATTCCTAAAATTACTAGGAATACCAAAAAACTCGTTTTTAATACTGTTTTAAAATTAAAATATAATTGACATATAACATTATATTAGTTTTAGGTGAACAGGGCCTGGAGGTTACATTTATTAATATTTACCATATCAAAAATTGAACTGAGAAATTTTTTAAAATGTTTATTCATTAAAAAATAATAAAGCCATTACATGGTAACATTGTTATATTTTTACAAAAAATAATTATATTTTCCAAAGCAAAAAATTAGTGGGAAATAGTAATTTTACATTTTTTTGCAAGTCTCTTTAAATGTCTAGCTCAATAGCAGATAGCTGGATTCTCACATCTGCTTCTGCAGTCAACCTCTTGCAATATTTTGCTTTTGTTAAAGTATATGAAGAAAATCTACCCTCATACAAATGTATTTTTGGAAAAGGGAAAAACATTCAAATAAGGATATTCTTATGAAAAATCATTCTTTCTATGAATATACTTCTTGATATTACATTAAAACTCAAAAGGTTAGTTATAATGTAGAAACTGAAACCATACCAATAACTTTTTGTACTGTTATATGAAAATGTATTCATTTATCTTGCACTTTGAATGGATCTTTTATTTGTGCATTACTTTGTAATATCATGCATTGGTTATATGGAAAATATTGGTTCACCAGATTACACAGATGTTACAAATGTTGACAATACTTGAAAAATCACATTTGCAAATATCTCCACCAATCTCATCAGATAAGTCTTTTAAGTTTAAGCAGTTAATCTGACAGTAATGGGTATTTAAGTGTTCTAAAATTCTAATTTTCACTGGCAAGTGTGAACTTTATTATGGGGAAAGAAGGGGAAGGGTTATCAAGGAACATGTATAAAGGACCCACAGACAAAGCCAAAGGGGGGAAGGACTGAGGGTGGGAGGTGGGGGGGTGGAACGGGGGAAAGTGGTAGCAGGAAAATAGAGGCAACTGTACTTGAACAATAAAAAAAGTGGAAAAAAAAATTTTGAACTTTATCAGATTCAAGCAACAAATACTATCAATTATTTTCCTTAAAGTGATTGGCTCGACTTCTTCAGTTTTGAGACGCTATCTGCCAAACATCCAAGTCTAAATTAGCCATGTCATTATTTCAAGTAAAAATGGTGTTTGAAGAAAAAAAGCGGCCACCTCAACTCGCGACGAGCAGTTATGCCAGTGGCTTTCTTAGAGACAACAGTGGTCCTTCAGCACGCACCACGGGTGCTTTATGCAAACTCACCATCTTGTCACCCAGATTAAAAAGCATTTTATTGAAAAATTCAGTGAAATGAGTAACTTCTACCACTTTGCCAAGGACACTGGCCTTCCTTTCCTAACACACGTGTGGTGATGAAAATGGAGTGACTGCTAACACAGCTGGGGGCTGCTGCTTTGACTTCAGCTATGGCGCCGGCAGTTTACCTACTGTTGCTTCTACTCACCAGTGTAAGGACAGGGACAGTGCAGAGGAAACAACGCTTTAATATTACTATGACAAATCATTTTGACCTTGGGGACTCCCTGAGAGGGTCTCAGGGACCCCTTGGGGGCCCTCACACCACAGCTTTCTTTGAGAACCACTGCATCAGACACTATTCTGCATACGAGGGGTTTTAAAAAAACGAGATCCCTTTTCTCATGGAACTTGTGTTCTCATTGGTAATGGACAGAAGACAATAGGGAAAATAACAGTGATGAGTACTAGGAAAAATCAAGTTAGGTGATGGGTTGGCAACAGAGTAGTCATTTTCGATTGGTAGAGAAGGCTCCCTGAGGAGGTGACCTCTGAATTGCAACTTGAATGACAAGGAACCTGCCAAGCACAAAGCTGAGATGACACATCACGGGCTGAAGGAACAACTGGCGCAAAGATCCCGCTGCAGTGCAGCAGCGCAGGGCACCAGGCAGGTGGAGGGAGAAGAGGTCACAAAGGAGGGCAGAGGTAGGTCATGTGAGATCTTACAAGTCTGGACAAGAAGTTTGGATTTTATTCAAACGGCAGAAGGAAGCTGTTGGAGGGTTTCGGCAAGGGAATGACATGAAATGGTGAGTGTTTAAAAATGCCTTTGGGTGCTGTTCAATGGGTATAGAGTTTTAGTTCTGCAAAGATGAAGAGCTCCAGAGATGTGCTGCAAAACAATGTTCGTGTAGTTAATATTTAACTGTGCTTAACCCTTAAAAATGGCTAAGACAATAAATTTTGTCATGTGGTTTTTACCACAATACAAAGACATACACAGAGAAAGACAGAGATCTCTTTTGATGCTCTGAGAGGAAAGTATTAAGAGCATGTAAAAATAACAACAGAGAAACCAGTTAGGAAACCACTGCACAGCCCAGGCAAGACCAGTTAGCACGGGCTAGGATGACAGTGGCGGAGCTGCAGAAAACGGACAGATTTAGGATGTACTGCAGGCCAAGCCGATAGCACTTGATGCCAGACTGATTATGGGTGTTGAAAGAGAAGTAAGGAATTGAAAATAAGCTTTAATAATCTGTGCATTAGAAGTAAGGATAGCGGTCACCCTCAGGAGAGGAAGGGAAGCTCAGAAGGGGTTGTCTAGAGTACTAGTAATATTCTATTTCCTGATCGTGATACAGGCTAGACAAGTGTGTGTAATTTGTGAAAATTCATCACGCTGTATGCTTACAATATGCACACTTTTCAGTATACATTCCACTTACTTTTTTAAGTTTCTGGATTTTTGGCTAGCATACACATGTGGAAAGCGCTATTTCTGATAATGAAAAAGGCTCAAGGAAGAGCAAGTTTGGGAGGAGAGAAGGAGACATAGTAAAAATTGTTTTGGATGTGACCAAGTAGAGGAATAAGTGAAAAGTAATGGACAGGAAAGGGGTAATTACAAGGGAGAGGGGAAAGAACCCTGAGCTTATGAAAAAATCAAAGACCTAACATTTCAAGTTTCAGCTCCAAATGTCATTTTCTATTTTTTTCAAACTTGAACCACTTTCAATATTCTTTTATGAATTCCTCAAATGGCATATCTACCTTAATTGAATTTCTAGTAATTAATATTTTCTAATACAGCATTTCATATCTGATGAAACTGTTTCAAGTATATCTGAGTTCTTTTAATTTTATATTTCTAAGCTATTAAATAACCCAGGAGCCAGTATTTTACTTTGGTGTGCTTGCTTTGAATCTTTCCTCAACTATTCTGTGTACAGTGAATGTGTATCAGATTTTAGTTACCATTATTATGCTTTCCTTAAGTAGAGTTATAAGATACCCTTACTAGTCAGCTTTTAATAAACTAAACATTCCTTTAAACGGCTTTTATGAAGACAAAATGAAAAGCAGTCATCTAAAAATCTGCAAAACGCTGGCAGTTATTAACCTATTCAGTATCAACTGCTATAAACTTTAAGTTAATACTAGTTTTGGAAAATTGATAGATTTGATGGGTTGGTTATTGGTAAAATCATCTTTTGGCATAATGGCCACCTGACGCACTGTCTTGCTCCTGTAACAGGAGACAAGGCAGCAAGTGCAGATGCAGGAAGAGGTTAGGCTATTCTGTGGTGGGAAGATAAGGGAGTTCCTGTCTGCCTTCTACTTCTCAGTTAAGTTTGAAACAAGATCATGCGCTATGGGTGAGGACTGAGATGCAGCTACAGGACTTTTGAGAGAAGGTATGAAGTTGTCTTACTGGTGAGAGCAGAAAGGAATAGCCCACAAAATGCTGAGTGCTAGTGTTTGGTGCCTTTCTGAGATGGGAGGCCATGAGTGCAAAGAAAAACCTGTCCACACAATAGTGTTTAACTCCAGTTAACCTAACATTGCTTGGATATAGGCACAAACTAAACGAATGGTTTAACTAGAGTCAAGGCTTTGCCAGGTGAGCACAATAGCAGAAAGAAGGGTAAGAATTAAAGGTGTTTGGAAAATAATGATGGACCACTGGCTCAAAGCTGGAGAGCTGATGGATAGTAAAAGTGGTGGGGTTCATGAATTTAAAGATCCAATGGGACCAAAGAACCGACGGCACAGCAGTAACAGAGAAAGTCATCTGTAAGATCAGAGTGAAATGCTTGAGGTGGTAGAGGTTTGGAGCTCGTTCAGTCATAGCAAGTTCAATTAAGGATGTGACCGTGGGAGCAGACAGCATGGTGCTGGGAAGGATGGCTGAGATGGCGTGGAGGAAAAATCACAAAGAAACAGGAGGCCAAGAAACTGAGAGAGCTAAGAAACTGGATAGACAGGAATGCTAAAGCCCTCAAGAATGAAGTTCTAAGTACGAGTGGACAGGAAGCCTATGAACCAGACCCCAAGATTACCAATGAATGACAGAGAACAACTGAGAGAGCAGTAAATGTCAGGAGCAAGGAGGGGCTCGCGTATTGTTAAGCCTGACACACAAACTACAGAGGGAAGAGAAATGGCTTCGGAGCCGCAATCCAGAACAAGAATATCTACCCCACCCAAAGTACATGACACGTGAAAGAGGAAAACAGAGCATCTACTTGAAAGGGCTACAAGAGAATGAGTATCATTCGGAAAGAGCCCGATTCCAACTAAGGAAAGGATTAGAGCAGCTTTTCAAAGAGAAAGTGAGAATATAATGTATATGTATACCATCTGGGTGTGGTTCCAGGCGGTTCCATGGAAGGGTTCAAGAATGAAAATTTCCAATTAAGTAGCTCTGAAATTTGTGCTATTAAAGTCTCTCTACTATTATTCTGATAAAAATCCTGTAACAATTTTGGGCTTTATTTTTGGTCACTGATTTTTATACATCATGTATAATGTATTCAAAACCGTATTAAGATAAAATTCACATACAAGTACGTACCTCTATTTCTGTAATTTTTTCAGAAGGATTATCAATTAAGAAACGTGCTAAAGTCCCAGGAGTAGTTCTGTAAGTTAGAATGATTGAGTTTTTAGGGTCCTCACACCACTGAATAAAGAGATCTCTTGAAAATCCACATTCCAGGTCGGGTTGGCTGGCAAGTACCACTTTTGGGCTAGGTACTCGAGCCAAGTCAGAAAGACCGTGACATAAAGAGAGATGGCGAAACTGAAATGGATTATTTCTTTTGTCTTCAAAACATCTCATCAATTTGTCACTCATCCATTCTACCTAATAAGGGAGGAAAGATGACAATGAGAAAAGGCTGTATTATAACTTCAATGTCTTCTACAAGTCAAGAAGTTCCAGTTCTATCCCAAATCTTCCCCCGCACCCTACTGGTTGCTTAAATTTGTACCTCTTAGACAAGCAGCGTACTTTCTGCTTCTGTTCCCCATTAGATCCTGCCACCCCCATGCTCATCCCTAAAAATCCAATCTTGCCTTATGTTTCACTTATGAATTACTTTCAATCTATTGAGAAGGTGATGTATAAGTTCTAAATGATTATCTTACCGCAGACATTGCTTTTTCAAGGACGAGAGCTTAATTCAAAAAGAAAAGTGAATTCTAGCACTTACAGCCTATGAGGTTGGTTTAATGTTCATCCCCATTTTACAGACTGTGACACTAAGTATTAGAGGAGCAGCAACTAGCTCAATTTGTAAAATGGGGAAAAAAACAGAACCAACTTCATAGAGTGTATAAAGATTAAATGAAATAATTCAAGTAAAGCAGAAAGACTAGAAAGGGGTTAAATTTTTAGCTTTTATTATTATTGTCATCATCAACCTCTTCACCAGTAAAATAAAATCTGAAGGGCAATTAAAATACTGTTTTTCATAAGCTCAATCTCTAGCAAACTTTATTACAAGTGATACTGTAAAAAAACAAACCTGGGACTTAGAAAACTCCACCACGTTGTAGCTGACATTATTCAGGAGTGCCAATGAGTAAACTCCCAATCCTGCATCTTTAGTTCTCCAAATCTGGTCAAGGAGTTGAGCAAGTTCCAGAACTCTGCCTGCGGTGTCCACTGCTATTAACACATTCCCGTCGCCTCGAAGTGTTTCCAGGACATTTGCTAGAAAACAAGAATGTAAAATCTCTATAGAACACAACATACTCTACTACAAAATTAAAGATAACTTTATCTCCATGTTTTTACCATAAAAACTATAATTTATAAATAAACCATTACTAGGCCAGGTACAAAATAAAAGAATTCCATTGAGGCTATTGTAAATACTTTCTATTCTCTGAATATGTCTTTCTAGGAGTGAAAAACAATGCCATTAACTCTCAGGTTTGTAAGTCACTGGTTTCCAAATCCAATCACCCACAGTACACACAATATTTTTACAGTACACTGGAAAAACAGAATGAGAAGGTCAAGTGCAACCACCCGGGGTTCCCAGGTCACTGTAGTGCTACCTGTCCACCCCAATGAACTTTGCTGTTATAAACCATTGCCAAACTTATACTCACATGCGTACTTCATATTAATACATACATGTTTTGTATGTATGTATGTTTGCAGAATAAAATAGATCATATTCTCTGTTCAAACAAAAGGATCTTTATAATAGATTTAAATAGATTCCCTTGCTCTAGATGGAAGTCTGCTTGAAAATATTTAGTAAAACCAAACTCTAGCAAATACAAGAATTGCAAACCTTCTTAAAGTCAGTCTAACATAGCATACATGTTCTATTTTTTTAAGTAGATAGACAGAGGCAGTGGCTTCAAATATGTTTAAAAGTGGAATCGAACTTTCCCTGTTGAAATCCCATGTAGCTTGTAAAAAAAAAACATATAAGGCAAAGCAACTCCAGACAAAGCCGAAGCAGCCAGGATGGCCGTGAGGCACCCCTTCAGAGCCAAGACAACTGGGTTAGCATGTAACACACCCAACACCAAAATCAGTGAGCTATGTGTACCCTCGTTTATCTCCTTCATTCATCTTTCTTTTAGGGCATGTTTTTCTAAAAGATTTATCGAAGCGCTTCCTATTTGGCATGCCCTAGACCTATGCCAGTGAATGCCAGGGGAGCTCATTATGTGCCGAGTGGCAGGGAGAAGCCAATCTTCGCACCTATCCCACAAAAGTTAAATTCAGACCAAGAAAAGCTTCTTTTTGTACAAAATATTAATATGGTCACACAGCATTTTTTTAAAAAAATACTAGTTAGCCAATCTCTTAGACAAGAAAAGTGTTTACCAGGACAGAGTAAGCAGCAACTCACACTACCATGCACTTCACAGCTCTTTATAAAGGACATTACATAATACATACTCAGAAGTTGCTCATCTCTCTGTTTTCTCCTTGGCTGCACATACGTAGCATTAAATGAATCTGTGATGAGTAGGGAGGGTCTACTTAGCATTTCCAGGGAACATCCATTTAAGTGGCTGTAACAAATTTGAAGAATATTTTATATCACTTCAAATAAACAACAGTTTATGTTACCTAAAACTAAGCAACTTCTTTAATAAAGTTCTTTCCTTTTCTAACTATAAAAGTACACATACATGCACACTGGTAAGAAAATTAGGTAAATTTAAAAAAAAAAGGAAAACCAAGATCTTACAGAGTGCTATCATTCAGATATAATTGACATAATATGCTGAAGACAAAATGAAGTATTTAAAATTAATCTCTTGTGTGTCCTTTTAAAGGAGGTTTGACTTTAAATATAGTTATATTAGATGGTAATTATTACTGACTTTACCAAAAAAAAAAAAAATTGCAAAGTTCCTTTAAATGGCAGATCAAGAGCATATACAGTATAGTGTGTTGTACAAAAATTAATCTCCTTTACAACATCTCCAGGGAGAAATCTGTTTTTTATAGAGTAGATACTAGCATGTAAATTTCAAATATATCTTTTATCTCTTTCATCATAATTTCCCCTTACAATGCAATTAATTAATTTATTTTGAAAATATTCACTAGCTGGTGCTTTTAAATTGCTTTAGATTTCTGGATAAAAAATAACGTTGTTTCTAATTTTCCCTCAAAGTATAAAGTATTACTAATTTTATTTCTATTAGCTTTTCTCTTGATATACCTACATCTCCCTCTTGTGGTTGAAGTCAACCGCGTAGACAATTTCTTCTTCTCCATCTTTGACTATCTTCCATATTGTTCCTCCAATCATATGACCAGCGGGCAAAGGTGTGATAGATAAGCCATGTCCTTTACCTGTATCAACAAGATATTGGCAGTACTCAGATTTCTTTTAATCCCTGAAGAAAAGTTATTTATTTGTAAGCTACTTTTTAATAGGTAATATATACAATTATACAAAATTCAAAAATAAAAAGACAGAGTGAAACGCAAGTCTCGGCCCCTGTCCCATGACTACTCCATCCCCTCATGGAGGCAGGTGCTCCTGTCACTTTAAGAAGTATTCTTGCAGGCATATCTGTGCCTATGAACAAAAGGCTAGAGACTGGACTTAAAGTTACTATTACTAGTACCTTAATTAGCATGAATTAATACATTTCAGTATTTATACTGTACACACAACTATTAAGTGCTTCCATTTTTGCTAACCTATAACTGACCATTCAAATCTCATTACTGTAAAGAATTTATCCTGTAGCCAAATTCAGCACATGCACAACAGTTGAGGCCACTGTTGCTTCCTGGCTTAATCTTCAGATTCTGTTGTTGCACCGTTTTCTCCGTGGCGGGCTCGTATCTGAAAACCTTAACTACAAGCTTCTCTGTAGATGAAAACACATACTTAATAGGTAACTTCCTGACCCAAGGGAAAAAAATGAATTTTTAATGCTTGACTCTAGAATTCAGGCATTTTGTCCTCTGTGCTGCCATCACTCTCCATTTCCCGGGGTCACGACATTCAGTCGTCTGAGCCGCTTCATCTCCGCGACCTCAGTGGGAGCTCCTGGAAGGCGGGTCTTCTGGCCCCGTTGCCTCTGCGCATTATACAGGGAATTTTCTTTCCCAAGTTAAAAGGGAAGAGGCCTGAGTTGTTTACATTTTGTTAGTATTTCGTCTGGAATATTTTTCAATCTAAATGACCAGGGGGAGGTTCAGAGTCCTATTAAAAAATGCTAATTTTTTACCCCTCAGATTGTAATGCCTACAATTTTTACTACAAATTTCCCTTGTACTTTTCAGTAAATAAACCCCATTAGTCCAATTATTTACTACTGGAAATATTTTTTACCTTTCAAATTCACAATCTGAGAGAATTTCAACTGCTGTATTTTATCAAATGCTGCATCCACATCATCTAACGTAAAGAGCGTAAAATCTTCTGTATTATGTCGAGACTAAAAGGATAACACAAATAAAGGTTAAAAATAACCAGTGCAGAAGTGTAAAAAAATTTTTTTTATTGCTTCAATTACCTGGTAAAGATCGTACATGAACATCTGTCCCATTTTATAAACTGGAATGGTGGCATAGATGGCGCAGTTCAGGCCCAGCTTGCCCACAGCATAGGGGAGGGCCCCAAGGTGGAGGGGGTCGGGGTGCGAGAGCAGCACCGCGTCGATCTGGTGGACGTGCCTGCGGGGACACACGCAAATGACCATGTCCCAAGCCATATTTTAAGGGTAAAGACAGGACAGTCAGAACTATTTCACCAATTCTGACTCCTCTCAGTATTCTGAATTGAAGACTATGCTGGAGTAAAAAAGCTAAAAGTATGATGCCTACAAATTTTAATGATTACTTCCCCTGTTCTGTAGAGATATCAAAATTATTATGTAAGTCACACATCAATATATAATGTCTGGACACATTTAAAAAAGAAAAGTAAAAGCAACAGTAGACACCACGTGTAAGCTGACTTCAAATGGCTATCTTATATACTATTAACTTAAGTTCAAGAACTCAGCTTGGGCCTGGCTGGTGTGGCTCAGTGGACTGAGTGCAGTCTGCAAACCAAAAGGTCGCTGGTTCAATTCACAGTCAGGGCGCATGCCTGGGTTGGGGGCCAGGTCCCCAGCTGGGGGAGAGCGAGAGGCAACCAGTCAATGTATCTCTGGAACGCTGATGTTTCTCTCCCTCTCTTTCTCCCTCCCTTCTACCTCTCTAAAAATAAATACATTTTTTTTTTAAAAAGAACTCAGCTTGGAATTTCAGAAATTAAGGAGATGATATTTAACCAGCCACATATTTATTGAGGATCTTTGGCCCAGCTCTTTGCCATGGTAACTGATAGCACACTCATTATAGTAAAACTTCAATGGAGCAATGAAGCATGTTCTCACTGAAAAAAGAAAACAAAAATTTGCTACAAGTTCTAAGTTTTTTAAATGTTTAAGTCCTCTTTCTTTCCATAATTTGTACAATACTGCAAACATAACTGAATTTCTCTCCAGTGGGTCAGTATCTCATGGTCATTATTCTGAGCCCCGATTCTCAACGTCTAGCACCAGAAGATCGAAAAGTAAGCTACAGTGATCTGACTGCAGAACTTTCACCTGGAAAATTTTTTCTCCCTTCAAATTCTTATAAACTTAACCTTGCTCTTTTCTAAAATTTGGGCCCATGAGCCAAAGAATGATTAATTTAAGATTACGCTGAATTTCAAATAACACAGTTTATAAGTCAATCAAACTTTACAAGTGAAAATAGTCACTCTTTGGCTCTTTGGCATAAATAAAGCTAACTCTTTTACTACACACTAAATTAGAGGAAAAAAGAAACACTGTGTAACATGAAAATAGTACTACAGTGTAGAAAAGTTGATTAACTGACAGTCTAGATACAGTAAAACTTACTTCCTCAGTGAATCGATAATATCCATAGAAAAGTGCTCATCCCAGCCACAGTCCAATAAAAATCTAAATTCATCAACTTGGAGAAGATAACAAAGAGCAGACTCCTCTTGAACCCCAGAGAGGGTAGTTAATTTGATAATGGATGTCATTTTTGGTCCAATAACAACAGTCCAAAAGGCTCTTTCAAAAGAAATAAAAATATAATTAAGCATAACAGTACAGTCTGATATACATAATAGACAAATTAATTTCTAAGTGGGAAGAAATTTGATAAACATGGAAATCAAACATTTTGAAGACCCATTTACATCATTGCTAAGTTTAAAAGTACAAACATCTTACACACTCCAGTTTACAACGAGTCCCTCAGTGGCTCCACACTGTGATTTGATGAAATGTAGTAAACTTTGGAATCAAGACAGACTCAGATTTAAATCTATTCCTGCGTGGTTCTGGGCAAGTTAATGAACCTTTCCTCACCCATGTATCTCAGTCTATAAAACATGAATATTAATATATACGTAAAAAGGATGTTAGAATTTCTGTGGGGATACCTACTACACATTTTTCAAGAAGATATAACATGAACGCTGTTGCACTCAAAAGAGAATTGTGGGCTAGTAAACCAGAATTGTGGGCAGATGTTATAAAAATATTTATTAAGAAAAAACAGCTCTACAGAAACATTCTAGATCTTAACTCCTTAAAATAGCCCTGGCTAGTATGGCTCAGTGGATTGAGTGCCAGCCTGCTAATCAAAGGGTCACTGGTTCGATTCCCAGTCAGGGCACATGCCTCGCCTGTAGGCCAGGTCCCCAGTAGGGAGCACGGGAGAGGCAACCACACATTATGTTTCTCTCCTTCTCATTCTCCTTCCCTTCCCCCCTTTCTAAAAATGAATAAATAAAATCTTTAACGAATAAATAAATAAATAAATAAGTCTTTCCTGGCTAGCTAGGCAGGTAGGAGAGGTCACTGCACATCTAGTAACATGTCACCGTCTATCTGCCCATGGTCATGTCCACTAAGGTAAACCGACAGCTCGTCTTTCATAACAGGCTGTCAGGGGGCTAATTTCATCACCTGCCCCATCTGATTCTCCTCGGCCATAGCCCAAAACCAAGAGTCCGACTTATTCGTTATCGGCAATGTGTGCACGTCCTAGCTGGACCCAATCCCTTACTCTGCAGTGTGCCTCTGGGGCAATGATTATGTTCACCTGTTACTTCAAGCGCCTCTTCGATGGTTCTTTTCACCTGCTTATCTTTAGAGATCTGACTTAATGTGCTCTACTATAAACGTGCTGTTTCTTAATTTCCTCACTTTGTCCATTTCCTTCTCTCCTTCTAATCCCGACGCTAGAACATGGACTCCGTGAAAGTGAAACCATGTCTATTTTGATCATGATTATGGTCCAATGCTTCCACCGTGCCTAACATAGAGCAGCGGTCAATGAACGCTTCTCGAATGGAGGAAGCATGCCTAGGATTAAATGAGCTTTAGAGCCCTCCTCACACCATTAACAGTTGCCTATTCATATGTATTTCCTCTTGTTTGGGAGATGTCTCCAGAGCAGGGCTGACCTTGACCTATTTTTGTATGCTTACTATATTAGCACAAGACTTGCTTCAAGAAGTAGTTGTTGAAACAAGTCAAAGTTAAAAATATATTGAATTAGCATGTTCCTATTTGGAAGGTATGAGAAGTACAAAGGTACTTATGTCCTACTTGATAAGAAAAAAAAAAGTGTATAAATACAATTTTGGAAAAGAAGCTAAGAAATTCTCCCTGCCAAAGAGCTTCTCGTACCACAGTTCCTGCAGGGTCACTGCCTTTCGCAGGCGCTCGGTGGCTGCGACACCACGGACCCCAGCACGTGTGGTTTGGACCCACACCCTGCACAGCAGGCGGCAATGGTGACCCACTGCTGCGCTTCCTTGTCCTTTTTTTGGTCTATCATTTTACATTAAAAGCCCTATGGTGAGACGGTCCAAAATGAAATGTGAGGTAGTGCTGAAAGATGAGACTCACAGCTCGTTAGTGGGGAAAAGCAGAGAACAAGCACAAATAGCGCTGTTGCTAATGACACAGACGCAACTAGACCAAAGCCAAATGGCTTCCAGCCACTGATGTGCACAAAGGCAAGTACGACTCTGCACAGCACGTGTAATTGGAACATGGAACCTAAGAAGCATGAACGAAGGTCAACTGGAAATGATAAAGCAATGGAGCATCTAAACACTGCAGTGCTTGGTGTCAGCAAACAAAATGGACTGGAATGGGACAACTACTACGGTGCTACTCTGGAAATGACAACTCAGAGGAGATAGAATGGCTGTAATACTGCAGCAAGATGTAGCGCAGGCATTTAGGGCTTAGAGTGCAATTTCTGACGAAATATCATCTCTCAGTCCTCTAGGAAAACCTTCTGACATTGCCATTGTTCAAGTCTACACTCCAACTACAGAGGCTGAAGATGAAACTGAAAGCTTTTACACATGCACCCAAAAGGAAATTAATAACACACCAAAACAAGACACATTGATAATTACAGGTGATCAGAACACAAAAGTAGGAAATAAAGTAGAATCATATGTCGTGGGACTATTTGGACTAGGGGTTAGAATCAAAGCAGGAGGTTGGCTTGTGTATCTCTGTGAAGCCAACTCATCCATCTCAAACACATGCTTCTAACAACTGACAACTGTATACTCAGACATCGCCAGAAGGCTGATATAGAAATCAATAGATGATGTAATTAAAAACAGGCGAAGGAAAAGTTGTATTCTCTCTGCAAAAATAAGAGCAGGAGCAGACTGTGGTCCTGACCGTGAACTGTTAATATCGAGCATCAGAGTAAAGCTGAAGATCACTAAAAGACTCAAAGTACCAAGATATAATGTAAATAACATTCTTGATGGATTTAAAGTCCACATTAAAAAAATTAAATTTAATTGACTGAAAACCAGAAGTCCTGTGGATTAAAACTAGGAAATTAGAGAAGAATGTGAAAAGATAGTGGAGGAAGTAAAAAGGAAAGAAAAATTGAGATGGATGACAGAAGAAACACTAAAAATAGTTAGACAGGCAAGAGGCCAAATTAAAAGGCAATAGACGAAAGCGAGTTAGAATCTTGAACAGTTTTTCAAAGCCTACCACAAAGACAAAAAGAGAATTTACAGGAGTCAACAGAAGAGCTAGAAGAGAAAAAAAAGGGGGGCAGGGAATAAGAGACCTCTACCAGGAGATTCAAGAAACAAAAGGGAAATTTAAACCTAGATTAGGAATGCTGAATGACCAATAAGGAAGCACAGTATCTGACCAGGAGAAAATAAAGGGAAGGTGGAAATGGAATACTGAAAATCTATACAGAAGAAACAGAGGACGACAGGTACCTTGAAGAAGATTCCTATGAGGAAGAACCTGTAATTCTAGAAGGTACAGTGAAAGCTCCCCTGAAAGTATTGGGAAGAAATAAATCACCAGGGCTAGATGGGATACCAATAGAATTAACTCAACCTACAGAGCCTGAACCTGTCAAAATCCTAACAAGACTATGTCAACAAATATGAAATATTCAATATACATCCAAATCTTCAAGCAAAGAGATGCCAAGCAGTGCAAAAACTATTGGGCCATTGCTCTAATTTCCCACACAAGTAAAGTGATACTCAAGTGATACAACAAAGTCTTCTATCTCATATGGAGCCAGAAATGCTGGATGTTCAAGCTGATTCAGAAAAGGAAGAGGAACTTGAGATCTAACTGTAAGCATTTGTTAGATAGATACTAAAGTGCTCAAAGACTTTGAGAAGGTCAGTCTGCGTTTTGCAGACCACAATAAAGGCCCTGGCTGTGTGGATCCTGAGAAGCCGCGAGTCGCTCTGAAAGAATTGGGTGTGCCTCAGCCCCAGCCAGTGGCTCGGCTGGTTCGGGTGCTGTCCCAACACGCCAAGGCTGTAGGTTTGATTCCCAGATTTACAAGAATCTATCAACGAAGGCATGAAGGAGCGGAGCAACAACTCAATGTTTCTCTCTCTCTCAAATCAATAAATAAAAAATTTTTTTAAAAAAAGAAAGAAATGGGCATGCCTTGGTACTTGATTGTCCTAATGCACAACCTGTGTTATGACCAGGAAGCCACCACAAGGACAAAATATGGAGGAACAGAAAGGTTTCCTCTCAGCAAAGGTGTTCAGACAGGGGTGCATTCTGTCTCCCCATTTGTTTAATCTATATGCAGAACATGCCATGTGCAAAATTGGGCTAGGCTCAGAAGAAGGAAGAGCAAAAATTGGTAGAAGAAATACCAATAACTTAAGATTTGTAAATGACACCATCTTACTGGCAGAAAGTAGCCATGATCTGGAACGACTTCTGACGAAAGCAAAAAGTGCCAAAGCAAGACTGCATCCAAAGATCAAGACGACAAATATCTTGACTAAAGAAGAAATACAGAACTCTTACACAATAAAGACATTAAAATGGTTAAATATTTTGCTTAATATTCCAGTTCAGTCATCAATTCAAATAGAGACTGCAGTTAAATCAAGAGAGGGCTGAGGTTCGGATGAGCAGCAATGGAAGAATTAAGAAAAGTCACGAAGAGCAAAGGTGTGTTATTAGAGACCAAGGCTAAGGTCATCCACACCTCGCATTCCTCATCACTATGCAGAGATGTGAGAACTGGACAGTGAAGGAGCCTGAGAGGAAAACATTGATTGATTTGAAATGTGGTGTCGGAATAGAACTTGACTAACACCTTGAATGGCCAGAAGATGAACAAGTAGGTCCTGGAATCAATTAAGCTTGAAACATCACTAGAGGTAAAAAAAAAAAAAAAAATGACAAAACTAAAGCTGCCCTACTTCGCACTCTTCATGAGAAAGCAAGGCTCTTTGGAATGGCAATAATGCTGGGAAAAATAGAAAGCAGCAGGAAAAGACCAAATAAGAGATGGACAGACTCCACGAAAGAAGCCATGGGAGCTGAGCACGGCTGCTGGGGACAGGACACCATGGACGTCACTCATTCACGGAGCGGCCAGGAATCGAAGCCGATGACATGGCACGTAACACACACCACAATTACATTTCATGGCCTAAGAAAAGCTCTTTTCTTTTCAAATCTGCCTTACCTCCCACTTTCTTTACTTACATCATGAAGTGGAAATACCAACTACCTTGCAGATAGAACTGAATGAGTTCATGTTAAAATATTTTGGCAGACAGACTCTGATTTCAACATGTGAAAAGTATTTTTATTACAACTGCTCAGAATATAATAAAGCTATTTCTTTACTAGACATTCATTACTTACTGATATCTCAGTCATATATAGGGTGCAACACCATGAATTCAAAGGAAGAGTTCTTTATAAATCTAAAAAATAAAGAAAAAAGAGTTTCATGAGCCCTGGCCAGGTAGCTCAATTGGTTAGATTACTGTCCCGATACACTAAGGTTGTAGGTTCAATCCTCAGTAAGGACACATGCAAGAATCAACCAACGAATATGTAAATGGAACAACAAATTGATGTTTCCCTCTCCCTCTTCCTTTCTCTCTCTAAAATCAATAAACAAAATTTTTTAAAAAATGAAATTGAGTCTCATGAATAATGATTTATTTCAGTTTTAATTATGCTGTTTAACTTCTATGTCTTGCCCTAAGATGAACACCTTGAGTAACAACAGGTAGTAGTACAGTATATGGTCATTTTTTAAAGAAGAAACTTGTCATAATTTTACATAAATTATATAAAGCTTACATAAAATAAACAAGGATAAGATAATAAAAGATATAATAAAAGACTAAAGTAATAATATACCAAAGTAATAATCAGGGGCTGAAATATGAAGTTTAGGAAACAAGATTTTTAAAATTGCTATTAGCGGATGTTATTGAAAATCATTTAAAAAGGTGGGATCTTAAATTATTCATTAAGGATTCGTAAGACCTGGGTAGAAAGAGACAAATAAAAAAATTATTCAAAACAATAACATGATCAAAGGCACAAAATAAAAAAATTACAAATTATAAAAAACTGGCCTGGCATATGAATAGAAAAGGGTCAGATAACAAAAGGCCTTGGAAACTTTGGATCTAGTTCTACAGTAACTGAAACATTTTACGGTCCATTATCAAGTGGAAGATCACATGATAGAGGTAACTGTATTTTAGGAAAAATTGGCTGGTGTGTATGATTGATAAGCAGGTACAGAAAGCTGGGAGATCAAAAGAGGGAGTACTTAGCAGACTACTTCCTCCTTTCCACTTTACTGGTTCTCTTTTGAGGCTAAATTTCTTTAGCCCCAAATGCGCTTTTGTAACTCTACGACATGAATTCATTAGTTGTTATCTAAGTAACCAAGCCTTGTAACTCTACATGTCTGATTTCTTTGTTCACTTCTTTTGAACAGTGTTACCAGCTCCTGATTACCTTTCCCTCAGAACACATTGCACATAATCAGTTTCTTTCTGTTTCTGCTGCCAGGACCTTACTGCAGGATCTCACTACCTGACGTGTGAGTTTCTGCTTCCCCTCCCCAGCCTCTGCCCCCTTATCTCAGCTTAAACATTCCTGCCAGATGGATCTTCACAAACACCGCTGCACATATTGTCCTCTGCTCAGAAATCTAGGAAGGTTTCCTACTGCTTGAAAAAAACAAAGAAAAAGCCCAGAAGCCTGAATGGCTTTCCCTGGCTGTGGAGGGCGCCGGTCAGCTGCCCTGACATGGCTGCTCACCAGCATCTCAAGGCTCAGCCCAAACCCCGCTTCCTCTTAGTTCCTCCATCGCTAGTCTACACTACAACAGTCTAGTCCAACAAACATATCACGCAAGCCACAAGTGTAATTTAAAGTTTCTTCACACCAATGGAAGTTTTACAGGTGAAATTAATTTTGGTATGTCTTGACTTAACCCAATTATCCAAAATATTGTTTCAAGATGTCATCGTTACGTTATTGAGATATTTTACATTGTTTTTTGTACTACATCTCTGAAAGCTAGTGTGTATTTCCTACTTACACATCTCAATTTGATCTAACCACAATTTCAGGTGCTCAAGAGCTACAGGCAACTCTTGGCTACTGTAAGAGCACAGGTCCAGAGGCTAAAATCAATGCTTCGGAATGCAGGGCATTGTGTTCTGCCAGTCCTACAGGGCAGGCTGGCACCCTTCTATTTTTATGGATATGTCTTAGGCTTGATTTTAATGGGATCACCGACCATTTAGTCTCCCAGGCTGAAAATTCTGGAGTTACCGTCCTCCCACCAAATTGGCTGCCACATGTTGAATCCTAGTTGATATGTTAAGAGGTGTCTCTCTGACATCCTTTACTCTCACACCTCAGTTGAGGCGCTCATTACCTTACCTGAATGAGTGCAATTTCCTCTCATCTAGTTTTCCTGTTCCAAGTTGATCCTCCATACAGATGCCATCCTAAAAAAACAAAAAAAAAGGAATACTCATGCCCCTTCCTTGTGCCAAGTATTCACTGGCTTCCTGCTAACTATGGAATGAAATCTCAAAACGTCTCAAATCTTTGCATCCCTGTTCTCCCTCCAGGAATGACCTTCTCTTGAGCCTAGTAAGTTCCTTTTGACCCTTTCATGATCAAGCTTACATTTTTACTCTGTAATAAAGCTTTTTTGGTGTCCTCAGGCAGTATTTTATTCTCACCTAGTACAAACTGGCCACAAAGAATGTGTCGAATACGCACATGCGAAGGGTAAACGTGAGCCCACCTTCGCATACCCATACCCAGCACAGCACCGAAAGCAACATAAATGTGTAATAAGGGAAGGAACGAACGTTAATCGTGTCCTAAGTTCCTTCTGGGCAGTGATTCTGACCCAAACTACGATACTTCATCCCAATTATCTCTCATAGTTACTTGCTCTCTCAATAACGACCCTTGCATGTTGATGACAACTAAGGGGCATTCTGCAAAATGCCAGGGGAAAGGAAGGGGTCCGCGTTGGCCTCTGAGCTCACTGAGTGCGGAGTCTCTTCCGGGTCAGTTTCGGAAAGGCAGTGGTTTTCTAAAGGATCAAAGGGGTTTTAAAAATAAAAATAAAAACTAGGAGATGGGCAATTGATAATGCAGGTTCACCAGGCCACGGGAGACAGACTTGCCGGGCTATGGCTAGCCTGAACTCCTGTTTACTGAAGAGTCTGAAATAGGCTGGCGGGGCTGGGGAGCGGCAGACAGGAAGGGCCGAGACCGTTTTCACTAAAAAAAAAAAGCCTACTTTCTTCCCAATGCTTAGTAGCCTCCTGGTCTCCCAACCCGACACGATGTATAAACCTCGAGTTAGGAGGCCGAGAAGACGCTAGCCAAGAGACCGAGGAGCCAGACCTGGCGTCGGATTAACCCCTCCGGCACCGCGAGCCTGAAGGGGCAGAGGGAAGCAGCAAAAGGGAGGGAAGGAGGACGAGAGAGTGAAACGTATGGACTGCCACACAAGGCCGGGAGCTTCAGACCCACGAGGAAGTCACTTCTCTTTCCGTCGCTGAGCACTTCTGCCAAGAAAAACCAGGACAGTCGCAACCAAAACCCCGGGAGCGCATCCCAGCGGCGTCTGCGTCGGAGCTGGAGCCAGGCTGTCCCTGAGTGCCGAGGACGCCCCCTCCCCCAGCCAAAGCTTCGCTCCTTTCTTCCGCCCTCACTTGCCTCGTCTGTCCTCCCCCAACACCGTCCACTGCCCTTCCCAACCCCTCGTCGAATCCAGGTTCAAGAGCGAGGAAAGCTGACGCTCGCTCAGCAGCAGCCGTGATAATCAGCCAACAGAAGGTCCTCAATGGCGGCCGCCATTTTGAAACCGGAGTCCAAACGCTGCCGCTGAGGGAACCCAGGGCGATACCACTTTCGGGGGTAGTGTCTGGAACGAAGTTTTAGGAAGGAGACGGCCCTTACACAAGCCTCATCACCTGTGACCTAAATTTTACTTTTAAAGAACTTGTAATTGATAAATCTTACATAAGTATGAGAAGAGTTGAATATTAAAAGGAAAAAGAGGTATGGTGTCGCGATGCCACCCCTGTTTTGGAGCGGGCGCGGCGAATGGCGGGTCCCAAGGCCCTGGCTTCCGCCGGCGCCGGAGGCTGGACTTGCCGCTGTCCTTGGTCGTGGGGTCGTAACTGGCACCCGGACCGCAGGTGGGTGCAGGGTGGCCGAGGGGCCGCGGGCCTCTGTTGTGCAGGCGGGGACGGTGCACTCCTAGGAAAGCCCTCGACGATGGAGTCGGGGAGCTGGGGGGTGGCCTGGGCCGCCTCGGGTTCAGAGGGAAGGAGATGGAAAAAGGCGGCGGGGGGCGGGGGGCGGTTTCTTCTGGTGGACGGCTGGGCGCTCGTTCCCAGTGTGTTGAATAGTAGTCTGAGGCTGTCGTAACTGGGAAACGTATTAAGAGATCGCGCGGCGACCGCCCCCGACTGGACCGGAAAGGATAGCGGCAGGGACCCCGTGCTAGGTTGCAGCTCGGAGGGAGCATCCGACGTTCGTCCCCGCCCCTGCGTCTGTCTTCCTCGTTCCCCACCACTGGAAGCTGACCTTGCTCCCGCTTCTAAATCTGAAGCCCTCCTGAGCCCACCATTCCACAAGATGTGCACTTTGGTGGAAGAACGTAGTATTTACTTTGTGCATGGTTTCTTGGGTGGATGTGTCGTGAAGACAGGTGACGTCAGGGGTTCAGTTTCTCCATGCATCCTGTACTCCATTGTATAGGTTGTCAACACTTTTTGAGTAAAATATATAAAATGTGCTAGGAACCAATTAGAAAACAGAAATACATATATTTAAATGTCTAATCATCATTATTTTTCCAACGTGAATTCGGGCTCGCTAAAGTACACACCAGATGGTTTTATTTTTAGAAGTTAAACGGGAAAAACTGGGTTGAAGAAAAAGTAGTATGTACTAGGAAAAATAAGGTGGAGTGAAGAGCGATACTGATACGAATATTTACCTCTATACTTACTGTAAGAGACAGTAAGGCACAAACAGAGTTTGGATCAGAGAACCTATTAATCCCAGTTCTGCTGCTTACTGCACCTGTGACCTTAGGCGAGTTGACCGTCCCTGGACTTCCTCACCTGAGAAAAAGCCTACTGCGTTATTAATTAATACTTGTCTAGTACTGTGGGGATCACATGAGTTGGTGATTATGGAAAACAATACGAATAGTGCTTCACAGAGCGCTGTAAGAGTCCACTCTTTCTAGAGCTAGGAAAAAAACGTGGTCAGTTTTATGATTTCTTGAGTCCATGCGATAAAAACCAACATGCAGTATCCCCCTGCTGGGAATACCATAGCTACTCCCACTTCTGAAGTATGGAAGAGCAAAATTTTCCTTAGGAGTCTTCATATAGAGAAGACACTAATACAGGTTGGGCAAAGTAGGTTTATAGTTCATATGGAAAATAATACAGTAATTAAAAATAATAATACCAAAATAAACAACTTTAAACTTTCTTTTGCCCACCCCTGTGGATGTCACTCTGCATCCAAGCCCGTCCCAGGTCCTTACTGCCCTTACCCACCCCTGCAGCTTTGGGCCCGTCCCCAGGAGCCTGAAAGCCTGCCATGCTCCCTCTCCTGACCATCCTCCAAGGAGTCATTCTAGCCCAGTTTTTACGTCCAAAAATCTTTGCCTCCCCTGGTCATCCACTCACAGTGAAAAAACAGGAAAAATTACGTTTAATGCTACTGCTCCCAAAGTTCATTAAATTGTAGATTTTACAATAGTAATATGAAATAACTCTGGGACTAAGATTGGTCATTTACTTCTTAGGGATGGAACCAGGCTTCCTTCATGGTGGTTTAATCCCACTCTGGATTTTAAATGTACAGCATCCTTTTATCTATCAGTCCCACTGTCTTTACCTGTAGAATCTCGTAAGACCTTTATTCAGCAGGAGCCTCAGTGGTGTGTCTGACCTCCTCTGCTCTGAGTTGAGCCAGACAGAAGTTTCCAGCCATGTTGGAAGAGTACCAGCATTCGTGGGTGATAGCCCACAGGTGGTCATGGGCTTATTTAAAACAGTTTTGAGTTGAGAGTCCCCAAGTACTTGTTTGCTGTTAGTTAATACAAACAGTATCTAACGGTTATGCTGAGGGCTAGAACTGATCCCTGTTCAGAAGTTTAAGGAACTTAAGACGTGGCAGAATAGATGGCGATGGACTTCTACAGAGACTTACATTGTCTAGTGTTTTTGCAGTTTAGTGCTTTCAAAGTTACATTTTCCTGTTTGACTTAGGCATTCATTGTTATTCCAATACTTGACTGGCTCAAGCTTATAAAACAAGTGGCTAACTTGATGGGCAGTGGTCAGAATCATAAAAAGTAAATGATCTAAGTGTTCATCAGAAAGCACTGAAGAATCTGAATGCAAATAATGCTGATACAACTGTGATCTTCTAGGAAGTAAGGTAAGATTAGTTACCTTTACTGGCTGATACGGCTCATTGATTGAGTGCTGGACTATGAACCAAAGGGTCACCGGTTCGATTCCCAGTTAGGGTACATGCCTGGGTTGCAGGCCAGGTCCCCAGTAGGGGGCACGTGAGATGCAACCACACGCTGATGTTTCTCTCTCCCTTCCCTTCTCTAAAAATAAATAAATGAAATCTTACAAAAAAAAAAGCACAAAAAACAGATTAGTTACCTTTACATTCATACGTCCAAGAACTATTTGCAGCAAATCAGCAGGAGAATTAGCTCTTCCAACTAGACAGACTTTTCCAGCGCATCCCAGATGTAGGGCCAAGGAGTCCCTGTTTTGAAAAGGACTCCTCAGGTGATACTGATGTGCAGTCAAGCTCGAGGATTCCAACTGTAAACAATAGACTAAAACTAACAGCATACTTACTAATACTAATACTAATACTAAACTAATACACCATAATTTTCTATATTAGCGACAATGAGACCGGAACCTTCTGTCATATTACACTTTATGAAGGACAGTGTACAGTATAGCTGTCCTTGTTTATTGCACTTTGCTGTATTGCATTTCACTGGTGCTCCATTTTTCACAAATTGAAGGCTAGACCCTCCACCAGCAAAAAGATTGACTCACTTTATAGGGGCACTTGCTTTATTGCAAACCAAACCTGCAGTATCACCAAGGCATGACTGTAATGGTGAAATTTTTAACTTCATGGCCATTTCCTAACCCAGTGTACTTAAATAGAAGTGAGTGATTAAAGTTTGAGAAATAAAAAATCAGAATGTGTAAGTGTGAGAACCAGTGTCTTAGAAGGAGAGGCAGGATTCCAGTCTACATGATTCTAGCACAGTTTAGGGCTAAGCACTTTGGGTGACAGTAATGTACATCCTGCGCCATATAACGACATTTCATCAACAACAGACCTTATGTGCAGAAGATTATAATGGAGCTGAGTTTCCCGTAAGGAATGGAAGCATGTGTGGTACAGGAGGATTTCTTTTTCTCTGATGGGATGAGTATCTGGGACTTGGCCACAGGTTCCCTGCACAGCAGCTCAGTTTCAGGTGCACAGGTGATGTCCTGGTCCATCAGCCAGTGACATGTTTTGCACAGTGGGGGAACTTTGACCTGTGCCCCAGATCTGTCCAGTCAGAGGGCACTGCCGCCCTCCCAGGTCCAGCTCGACGGTCTCCAGAGAACATTGCTGTAAACTGTTCTTTGGGGACCTTAGACCCTGTACAAGGACACAGGTCCACAGGACCTACCTTAACACGTACTCAATGCCGACACTTTAGTAAAAGCCTTCTGTGGTAGCAGAGAGGTAGCTGGTTTGTGTACTTTGGAAACATTTTCAGGTTGTAATGATGTAAAGCACAGATGAGTTATTTCTTCCATCTGCTCGGTGCCAAGAGGGCCCTTTGTGCCAGATAGGGTCAGTGGAACCAAAAACAAACTTCCAAAGTCAAACTGTTGTGTCCTGTATGCTACACCCTGTCCATATTAAATGCTTTTTTTTTTTTCCTGGCTGGTGTAGCTCAGTGGATTGAGTGCCAGCCTGTGAACCAAAAGGTCACTGGTTCAATTCCCAGTTAGGGCACATGCCTGGGTTGCCGGCCAGGTCCCCAAGGCGGGGGGGTGGGCTGGGGTGGGGTGGGCGTGTGAGAGGCAACCACACATTGATGTTTCTCTCCCTCTCTTTCTCCTCTTCTCCTTTCTGTAAAACGTAATAAATTAAAAAAATCTTTAAATTAAAAAAAATGCTTTTTTATGAATACCACAAAGTTCCTCAATCTGACCGCTGCACCAATATGCAAGAGCCAAAACCACATTGCCTTGACAGCCCCCTATGTTCCTTTATCTCTCCATCTTGATTTCTTATTCCCGCTGACCCTCGGGCTGCCTTTCACCCCTCCTGAAAGTCACCGCTACAGTGTCTACACGTTGCGCAGCCAGCTCCCCCTTGGCCCTTCCCATCACCCCAGCCCCACTCCCTCCGCAGGGAGCGGAGCAGCGCTGACAGCTGCTGTGTGCTCTTTCCGACCCTGCCGGAAGGAACCGGGGGAGGGCATTTGGGACAGTGTCTGTGAAGCCCACGGCAGTGTCCAGCAACGTCCACTCGCCACCCACTCACTGACTCACGTGGAGCGACTTCTTGTCCTGCAGGCTCCCTTCACGGCCAGTGCCCTATCCAGACGCACCGTTTTTTACCTTTTATATCATGTTTTTACTGTACCTTTTCTATGTTTAGTTACACAGTTACTTCCCCTTGTGTTACAGTTGCCTGCTATTTTCAGTACAGCAGTGAGCTGTACGGGTTTGTAGCCTGGGAGCCACGGGCTGGACCGCATACCCGGGTGGGTAGGGGGCTATGCCAACTAGGTTTGTGTCAGCGTACTCTGATGCTTGCACAGTGACGCAGTCACCTCAAGGTGCATCTCTCAGAAGGTAGCCCTGTCGCACGACTGAATTCTCTTCCTAAGGTGTCCTCTGTCTTCTCAGCCATTCTCTATGATTTATTCATTTGTTTTATTGATGGATCTTTTAGAGGGGGAAGAGAGAAACATCAATTTCTTGTTCCACTTTATGCATTCATGGGTTGATTCTCATATGTGCCCTGACCAGGGATCAAACCCTCAGCCTTGGTGTATTGGGACCGCATTCTAACCAACTGAGCTACCTGGCCAGGGCCTGCTTATTCACTTTAGATTCATGCACATAGGATGTATTTTGTGTTTTTGTTCGTTTGTTTTAAAGATTTTACTATTTTTAGAGAGGGGAAAGGGAGGGTGAAAGAGGGAGAGAGTCTTTGATGTGAGAGAAACGTCGGTGAGTTGCCTCTCGCACACACCCGACCAGGTACTGACCAGGTACTGACCCAGGGACCTTTTGCTTTGGGGGACAACGCCCAAGCAACTGAGCCACACCGGTCAGGGCCAGGGGCGGATTATGATTTCATCTTTAGGTGCAGATTTTTACAGAAAAATGACAATTCAACTATGTTTTTATTGAATTAGTGCAAATTTATTTTCCATATGATGACTTCTAGTTCTCATATTCCTCCTCCTCTGCCTTTGGAAACTTTCAGGACTTAAAAGCTCTGAAGTACCATAAATATCGGTTCAGGGAGGAGTCTCTCAGAGAGGTATTGTGGTATAACGAAGGTATCCAGAGCTTTGGAGCAAACTGGAGTTTGATTTCCAGCTCTGTACTTAATGCTTATTTGGGTTAAGTTGCTTTCTTATTTATATTGAAGATGATAATAGTTATTTTATGCTATATATAGGACTATACTGTGATGTCTCTGGTACCTAATAGTCATTTTATAAAAGTAAGCTCTCTCCATAGCTGCTGTAGAGTCATTTAATTGACTTTCAGATCTACTGTGGCATTATTAAATATGTTTGTTTTAAATTTCTCTCTGATCTTTTCATTTCCTTTCAAAAATTAGTTTTCGGCTTTGCACTGTGGCAGTATGAGAGCACATGAGGTTTATTCAAGACAAGATTATTGCTAATTGAAAAATTAACATTCAGTAATTATAGCTTTATCTATAGAATTCTGCTTCTTCCCTGGCTGGTGTGGCTTGGTTGGAATGTTGTCCCATACACCAAAAGGTTGCAGGTTCAAGCTCCAGTTCGGGCGCATATGGGAGGCAACCGATCAATGTTTGTCTCTCACATTGGTGTTTCTCTCTCTCCTGACGCGGACGCTTCTTCCTCTCTAAAATCAATAAACATTTTTTTAAAAAAATTCTGCTTCTGGCAAAAGAGTACTATTCTATATTTGTTTTAGCATTGTGAGAGTTTCTAAAAGTATTTTACACATTTAAAAGTTTTAAGTCAATACTAGGTGGGTACAAATACTCAGCTTTTGCTGGTAGAATTTTTTATACTCCGCATTTCTCTGAACTGTATCATATCACTGATGAAAGTAGGGGAAAAGTTAACAAGTTGACTCAGTGCATTGTAATTTTTATATTAATCACTTAATCATTGTCAGCTATATAATCTTCAAGTGGATTTTAAGTAGTACTATGTGCTGATGCCAAGCAAATTTAAAGAGGCTTATGTTTTTAACATCTGTTCCTATCTTCCTGTTTCAGATGCAATTTAAAAGATATTTCAAAGGCAGTTATATTTCTGACAGTTTCTTTCTTTATAGCATTCAAGATGAATTTAATTCAGATGGTGCGTGACCACTGGGTACACATACTTGTCCCTATGGGATTTGTCGTTGGATGTTATCTAGACAGAAAGAATGATGAAAAGCTAACTACCTTCCGGAACAGGAGTTTGTTGTATAAAAGGTTAGTTTGGGCATCTTTTAAATCAACAATTAATTAGCCAGCTTTTGGAAGTATTGTTATTACCATATATGTTTATGTTAATCCCCCTATCGCAAGGGCTTAGGTTTAAGTGGTATAATTTTGTGGTTTTGTTGTTTAATACTTGTATAAAACCGTATAGTTACATTTGGAATGTAAACAAGTCTTCACTTTATAAACAGGCTATTTCAGATCTTTGAAAAATCCCTCTCCCCCCGTTTTTTTTAAATTCAGGATGCATTTTAACGTAGAAACAAAGTTTTAAATTAAACCAGCCCACTGAGGCCTACTTTCTATACAGCTGTCACATATATTATCATATCCTGTCTCACTTAAGCCATTGTGGAGCTGAAATAAATGGTAGCAGTTGCAGCTTGGTGCTCAGTTCTCAGCAACACAGCTTGAGAGCTTTAGACATGGTGGTTGAGTGACCGAATGGCAACTGGTAGCCACCTAGTTCTGCTGTGTCTCTGGAGGTGGCTCCTCTGGCAGCGGAGAGTTAACAAGACAGGGTGTCTGCCCCTGGAAGACGTGCAGCTGGGTAGAAGGAAGCTCAGGGGATAGGAGAGCGGAGTGGCGGTCGCAGTCATTGTAGGGGAGGTTCACAGTCAAGGATTTCAAGAAAGATAATATGAACTGGACAGGGCCTAGAAACATTAAATGAACTCATTGAGCTTTCATATGAAGATAGACTAAGAAATTAGAGTTCTTTAATTTGGAAAAATATAATGGAAAAGATTGGGAACGTTTAAAATCATGAGAGAATAGAATGACTATATTGATTCAACATAAAAGAATTTAATGGGTCAATTTAGTAGAATATAAAATATTGAATTCATATTATTCTGATTTTCCTTTTGATCCCCTTATAAAAGTTTTATTTATACTTTTTCCTTTCCTTTTTTCTTTCCACACAGGGAACTGAGACCCAATGAAGAAGTCACCTGGAAGTAAAGGCTGGAGCTGAATTACAGAATGTTCACAGTTTTTAAATTTTGAGAAAAATAAAAACATTTAATTTAAACAATTTGGAATGGGATTCTTTTAATGCTGAAGTAATCTTTCACGTTTCAAGTAATAGGCACACTAGCTTTAAAAATAATCACTGAGTGCCAGATTGTGTACATTGATGCTAACTTTACAATTAGCATTTAATTTGCTGTTACTTATTTTAGATCACAATACCGTTAAGTCATGTAGCCAGTTTTTTTTCCTCAGATGTTTTTCACGAAAATGTTTTCAAACCATGTGCTTCAAGGAGCTTTAAAAGGGTGATGCTAAGATTTCTTTTTGCTAACACTCATGTAGCCGAGAATTGTAGTGATGTTGTGTTCGGTAAGATTTCTTCAGTGTAATACATAAAACATGAACTAATTTTAGAAATCAAGAAATTGTACTTTATTGAAATTAAAACTTTTGCTTATTCAAAACATTAAGAAAATGAAAATGCAGCCACAGACTGAAATAAAATATTTGCAAAACAAAGAGCATAGGATCTAGAATATGTGAAAAACTCTAACAACTGAAGAAGAAAAACCCAATTTTTAATATACGCAAAGGGGTTTTTTAAAGATTTTATTTTTCGAGAGAGGGCAAGAGAGGGAGAAAGAAAGGGAGAGAAACATCAATGTGTGGTTCTCATACACGCCCTACTAGGGATCTAGCCTGCAACCCAGGCATGTTCCCTGAACTGGGAATTGAACCAGTGACCTGTTCATTTGCAGGCCAGCACTCAATCCACTGAGCCACAACAATAAGCAAAGGGTCTTAACAGTCACTTCACCAAAAAAGATAGGAGGGTGGAAAATAAGCACATAAAAATCTGTTCAACATCAGTAGTCACTAGGGAAAGGCAAATTAAAAACACGAGACACTACTACACACCTATTAGAATGCTTAAAATTTAAAAGATTGGTCTTATCAAGGATTGGCAAGGGTGTGGAACACCTGAAAATCGCAAGCAGTTGCAGGTTAAACATACACCTACCATATGACCCAGCCGTTCCACTGTGAGGTGTCACCCAAGGGATGAAAGCACATGTCCATGCAAAGACTTTGTCATGAATGTTCATAGCTTTATTTGTAAGTTAAGAAGTAACCAAAAATGTCCATCCAAGAATAATAACCCTCCCCGGAGCACGTGGACCTCACTAGCAGTATCCTTCCCTTCCCTCCCTGGGCCCGTTCTGTTCTGAACCCACACTTGCTAGTCACCAGTGGTCTCCATAGCAAAATTTAGTGGGCCCTTGTCCTTATGTTGCTGGCCCTCTCGATAGCAACATGGCTGCTGCACGACACATTCCCTTTTCAGGGCTTTCGTACTATTACATGCTCCTGCTCTTCTTCCCTGCTCCTGGGCTAGTCCTCTGCTCTCAGGGCTCTGCTCTAGGTCCTCTTCTCAACCCCTTCGTTTTCTGCCTTGGTGATTTTACTCACACTTGTGGTGTCAATCACCTTTTCTATGGCAACAACTCCCTGTCCACCGCCAAACCCCCATTATCCAACCATTACTCGACATAATTACTTAACCTGGTTTCAGTGTGCAAGATCTGCTTCTGTTCGATGCCTTTAGCTTCATCAGCATCCCCTGCACACACTTTACTGAACTTTTCACATCCCTCAACTGACACTTCCTTTTCAGAGTCCCAACACAAACCACCTGTAACTGGATTTTGACTGCGGCCCAGAACCTTGGACACTGTGCTCTCCAAAACCTGTGTGTCAGTTTTCTCATGTGTAAAATAGAGATAATAATGCTTGCATCAACTGCTGTATTAAATTCATTAATATATGCAGAGCTCTTAGAAGAGTGCCTACCCTGCAGTAAACCCTATATAAATATTAACATTTTTACACAAGTGGTATGTATCGGGAAACGCAATGACGCCTGTTTCTCTTTTTTAAGGAAACTGATTGATTTTTAGAAAGAGAGGAAGGGGGAGAGAAAAAGAAAAGTTCGATTTGTTGTTTCATTTATTAATGCATTCACAGGTTACTTCTTTTATGTGCCCTGACCAGGATGGAACCCACAGCTTTGGGGTATAGGGATGATGCTCTAACCAACTGAGCTACTGAGCCAGGGCTGATGCCTGTTACTTAAGGAGGCTTTTAGTGGAATGGAGGAGGACTATATCAAATAATTGTAATCAGATATCATAAGTAGAAAATACAAAGTAAAGTGAAAAATAAAAAGAACATAGAACCCAGGAGGTCCTTAAGAATCTATAGCAATTGGTGGGAAATGGAGAAGATCCTCCCAACGGCAGGTGGCGCTGCAGCACCCTCAACCCGCCAGCTAACAGTGAATGGGTGGACGTGCTACAAAGGTCACGTGTCTCCGCCTCTACAGCCCTGGCGTTCCCTCACCGTTCGTTCCACGTGACTCTCATCTTCGGGGATGATTGGTCTACGAGAGACACGTGTCCAGGGGCGGGCCTAGTTGGGGCGGGGTCGGGATGAGAGGAGGGGTGGGGCCGGGGTGGGGCTGAACAGTAGGGGGTGGTCCGGCGCGGGGGCGGTTGGCTCCAGACAAATAAACATGGAGTCCATCTTCCACGAGAAAGTGAGTGTATGCGGCCGGGGGTTACCTGTGTGCAGTGCCGTGGCTGACGTGGCGCGGTTCGCTGCCTTCTCGAGAGCTGGGTGGGGCTCGTGTCGCCCCCATCCCGATCTTGCCGCGGGGAGGAGCTTCACCGGGAGGGGAATCTTCACCGAAGCCCCCACCGCACTCTCTGTCCCTGAGGCCCGTGCCCGAGGTTCCTGGGGATCCCAGGGCCAGGGACGTCCCAGGTGCCGGAGGGAGTGAGAGCAGGGCCGCGGGGCACCAGAGATGGGGTGGCACCGAGTGGATTTGCTCCTGTGCTTCCTTTCCAGTTTCCGTAGGATTGATTCCTTCTCCAGTCCCTTTCTCCCAACTATCCGCAGCTCGTCACCTCTCGGACACCTCCCTCGATCCTTCCCAACTCTTCCAGTCCCACCCTTGGCAGAATTAACTTTTCCATCTCTGGGCTCCTCAAGTCTACGTTGGAATCTCCCATACAGTTAGCTCCCCGGGGCTGTATTCATGTCTTTCTGCTGCACCAGATCTGTGAGTCTCTGAGTTCTGGGAGCTTGGCTCCATCCCTTGGAGGGCCTGCCATGTAGGGATGTGAAGTATGCAGTCCTGTGCGCCCGTGAACAGGGAAGTCATCACAAGAGTTTTTTGTTACGAAATGTTTAGGTTTCATTTCTTTCGGTAGACCCATCTTTCCGGATTAGGAAACCAGCTTATTAGGTATTAGGGGTGGACTGGAATGATAGTGTTTTGGTACGCCTAGCCTGTTTTATTTTAATTCTTCAATGACCACGCACTCGAAAAGCTACTCTGTGGCATGTGGAGAAACTCGTCTTTTCCCACATGCAATTATCAAGCCATTTATTTGGATGTGAGTGAAACCTTGCTCGGGACGACTTTGGCACATGATATTTTGTTTCATAAAAGTTTCATGTTTTGAAAGGGTTGCTGGTGAAGGCTCCTATTTGATAGGAGAAAAGAGGTTTCCTTTTGTTAAATACTTGTAAATGACCATTTATCTATTTAAAAAGACTCACACACACAACCATCAAATAAAGCAATCAGAGACTAAAAGAGGCACAGCATAAATCTAAACAAATTGTTAAATGGAATGCTTTTCTTTATAGAAAACATTTCAAAAAGTTTTGGCGCTAGAATAGACCAATTTTTGTGTGTGAGGAGGAAGGACTCATTGGTAGAGTTATCACTACTCTTGATTGACATGATTTATGAAACTTGGACAAGAAATTTAGTTGCTCGGCTGAGGAGATTGGATGAAGAGAACCCTGTATGTACAAAATTTTATTAACTGATTTTCAGAATCTTTGGTATAGGACCAAATGTTTTGATGCCATTTATTGAGAATTATGCAATGTATACTGTAACAATATTGTTCCTGTTTTAGATACATTTCAGTAAAGGTAACTACTAAACGGAGGGATGAAAAGAAACAGAGCGATAGCCTTATGGAAATCTAGTTACTTGAAAGAAGCCACTGAATTACCAGTATGTTTGTAAACTTAAAGATACTTCAGGAATATATTTACCCTTATCGTAAACTTACATGTGCTTTGCAAATGAAGGCTCTTTAATTAAAGTTCTTCAGGCATATTTCAGGAGTTTAGAAAGCACCTTTAATCATAAGGCCCATTGTTAATCTCATCACAGTTTCTTGTGGGATGCTTGAACTGAATGTGCCTTTTTTCCGCATCCTCCCTTTCCCTCCACCGCGTATATTTAAGCCTTGCTAGGTCCTGGGTTTGGAGAACCAGAGGGCCAGCTCTGGCTCTGAGGAAGCTGTGCATTTGGGGGTACCTGCCTACAAAGGGGACCTGCAGCCATTTTCCCCTTGGAATGTTGGTTTCCCCACATTCAGAGTTGTCACTTTGAGGGTCCTTTTATAAAGTTAAAATGTAAACTCAACAAATTGTTTACTGCTATATCTCCATTACCTGTTTTAGAGCCTAGCACGTAGTAGATGTTCAATAAGTATTTGAATAAATTGGTTCTTTGAGCATCTAAGATGTATGTGGTGCTGTTTATCGAAACAATTTTTCTGTAAATATTTTAAGCTTTGCAGGTCGTATATGGTGTCACATGTTCTTGTTTATGTGTGTTTTCACAACTGTATGAAAATATAAAACCATTCTTAGCTACAGGTGCAGGTTGAATTTGGCTCAAGATTGAGAGTTTGCCAGTCCCTAACTTAAACCCTGATAGTAACTGGCCACTAACTGCTTGTTTTGTTTTGTTTTTGTTTTTAGTTCTGTTGCCTGCTTTCTGTTGCTTTTGTTATCTCTTCTGTTGCTGACTGATCTCAGGTCACTGTGCCATCGGAACTGGTACTTTTACATAATGTAAACTGAGGGTGGTAAACAAACTTGTTGGGATTATATTTAAAATTAGGGAAAATACTGAAAAGATGCTGAGCATTGACTTTATGGCATCTATTATGCTCTTTCCTGACTGCTGGTTCTTGGCCATCTTCAGTCTAGTTGAGGTTTAGTAATAACCGCATTCCACCTGAGTGGCTTGAGGAAGTGATGATAACACAGACTTGAAGCTCCTGCCTGGGCTTGGAGCCTAGCTTTGCCACTTACTACCTGTATGATCCTAGGGAAGTTACTTATTATCTCTGTGTTCTAGTTTCCTTCTCTGTGGGTTGAGGATAATAAAGTGTCTGCCTCAGAGTTCTGAGTGGTTGGAATGCTAACTGGCACATTGTGCTGTGGAACTGCTGGCCATTGTTATTCAGATGCGTGTGTTTGCTGAACCTCACTCTGAGTATGGGGTGGGACCTTATTGTTTTTCACAGGCGTTGAAGTGCTGCTCGGTTGGCTCATTTCAGAGCACACCCTTAGGTTTATGCCTAGTTTCTGTTGTCAGTAGTGTCTATGGGAATTTGAACTAGTTTCGGGTTGGCCCTGAAGACTTTGAGGACAATGGAGGGATGATTTGGTGCTGTTCCCTTTTGTGGTTTTATAAAATATCTTGGTAAAACTGGAGATGCAACTTGTTCATCCTCTGATCCCAAGACAAAGTTTGGGCCTGAAATCATGGAATTTGAATGCCTGTGAACTTTGACTATAGCAAAGTGAACTTCTATGTAGCTTTGGTTAAAGCTGCACGAGGAAGAAGTGGCTGGGGAGTTTGCAGGAGAGGCAGCTAGATAATCTTAACAGGGGCCATTGTACAATTTTTTTTTATCCATGTAGAATTTGATTCATCTTGTGACTTTAAAAAGTGATTTTAAATTTGGATGGGACAATTTGTTCTTTCTTTCCATTAAATCATAGTACAAGTATAGAACGATATTATTTCCTATAGCAATACAGTTTTACTTAGACAGGGTTTGATTTCAAGTGCATATTTTTCTCCTTTGTCAATATTTTTATCCTTACCTGAGGATATTTTGTCACTGCTTTTAGAGAGAGAGGAAGGGAGAGAGAGAAACTTTGATGCAAGAGAGTAGCATTGATCAGGTGTCTCCCATACATGCCTAGACTGGGGATCATACATACCTATACTCAGGACTGTACCCACAACCTAGGCATGTGTTGTGACCGGGAATCGAACCTGCAACTGTTGGGTTATGGGTTGATGCTCCAGCCAACTGAGCCACACTGGCTAGAACTCAAGTGCATAATTTTCATTTTTTAAAATCAAATTCTTGGATGTCACTGTTTCTATATACAAAGTCTGTCCAGAAAGTACCCAGCCACATACTATGAAAAATAGAGGCATTTACTGAAGATACAGATACAAGAAACATTGTACATAGGGGACAGTGATGCCTCAGTTCCCTTCAGAGTAGGCACCTTGGGACCTCACACAGTTCTCCTAATTGCCATCAGCTGCCCCATCCTATTTTCCTGAATCTCATTGATAGTCTGAAATCTTTCCCTTTCAAAGGTGATTTTAGTTTTGGGAAAAGCCAGTTGTCACAAGGCGTGAAATCTGGGCGGTAGGGGGGCTGAGTCACCTGCGTGATTTGATGTTTTGCCAGAAAGCACTGTACCAGACATGATACATGAATGGGCATGTTGTCGTGATGAAGCTGCCAATCACCAGTTGCCCATAGCTGTGGCCTTCTGAATCATCCAGATAGTTTCCATGGAAGAGTGTTTAACCTTAATGCAAAGTTTGATGCAGATTTGTTGCTCTACTCGCTCAGTCATTATGAATGTGACAGCCACACAGTACACATGCTCAGTCAACAGTGTCTACCACCCCCACTGACTAGTACAGTTAAGTCGTCATTCACCCATGTGCATTCCAGTCCACTCTCCTTGGCTGCCTGGTTACATTGATGTTATGCAAACTGTTCCAGTTACGCTAACAATGGTTGGACTTTTTCCAGATGGACATCGTATGGTATTAAACACATTAAACACGTTAGTTTCTGAGCACTAAACTGAGGCATGTAGCCCAACAGCAGGGCAGAAAATTTGCATTAAGACTGCTCCCAGAAAATTCATTGTCTGGTCACCATATTAGGTAGCTTTTGCTGTATGCAATAGCTGAATCTTAGCAGAGGCTTTTTTATTGTTTGAAATTTTTTAGTTTTTATTTATTCACTTTATAAATAGGGAGAAAACATCAGTTTGTTGTTCCACTTATTTATGCATCCACTGGTTGCTTCTTGTGTGTATGTTCCCCGATCAGGAACTGAACCGGCAGCCTTGGCGTATTGGGATGAAGCTCTAACCAACTGAGCCACCAAGCCAGGGCTGTTGTTTGAATTTTTAAAATAAATATAACACATGTAGGGGCACACAGGTCATAAGAGTGCAGCTCAATGAATTCTCTCAAAGTAAACATGTGTAAATAATACTGTGATTGAATAACAAACACGTTTTTCCCTGCATTCGCTAAGCCCCCTTACTCACTCTTTCATCCCTGCCTCTCCCCCTTCAAGGGTAAACGCTCCTGAATTCTAGGATTCTACTAACATTGTAGATTAGTTTTGCCTGTTTTTGAAATCTTGTAAATGGAATCATATACTGTGTACTCTTTTGACTGTGTCTTCTTTTGGTAACATTGTTTGAGTCACCCATATTGTTGAAAGTAATTGTAGTTCATTCATTCTCATTGTTAATGTGCTATTCCTTTGTGAATATAACACAATGTATCCATTTGACTTTGATCGGCATTTTAGTAGTTTCCAATTTGGGGGCCATTATGAATTAAGTAATGCTTTTTTAAACATTCTTATATATGTTTTCTGATGAACATATATTTGCATTTCTTTTGTTTGCATTCTGTACCTAGTAGTGGAATTGCTAGATCATCGGGTATGTAGATGTTAAGCTTTAGTAGGTGCTGCAAATAGTTTTCCAAAGTGGTTATACGCATTTAAACTTTCACTAGTGGTAAATGACAATTTTGATGTCTCTAGTTCTCTCCAATATTTTAGCCATTTTGGAGAGTGTGGAATAGTAATGCATTGTGGTTTTAGTATTTACATTCAATACATTTCCCTGATGGTTATGAAGTTGAGCACCTTTTTGTGTTTTTTAGCCATTTGGCTCTCCTCTTGCGAATGCTTGTCTGCCTTGTTGTTTTTCAGTAGACCACAAGTAGGATGTCTGTGTGTACTTCAGTCCGCATGTAGTGATCAGGGGGAGTTGCTCTCTGGTGTAAGAAAACAGCAGAGGGAAAAGGAAGTAGACACAAGTCCTCTCTCACCATCATACCAGGTTATGCAGTTGACCTTAGCCAACAGGCCTAGGAGGGACCAGGTTATGAAGGTAAATTTATTTCGGCCTCAGACTGTCTCAGTCCTGCTTTCCTATTCCTTATATATGTATCCTTATGTCTTTTTCAGCAGCTGAATTTTGTTCCTAGAACATTAACTCATCAGAAAGAATATATGTCTTGCAAGGAGTTCTTCTTTGGGGTCACTATCTATTGTGTAACTTAGCTCAAAACAAATTGCAGGCAGGCTGTCTTATGGAATAAACTTTACTGTGGAAAGAGAGCGCTTAGAGGGCCAGGGTTAGCAGGAGGAGGGAGAACTTGGTCAGGGTTAGCCGGAGAACGTGTTCTCCCCTCTGCCATCCTCCCACACAGAGGCAAACCTCCAGCCTTTGTTCACAGGAGGGATTTCATTCACCTGCGAATCTCTCCTTATAAGGCAAGCTTGCGAAGGTGAGCTTGTAGAGTGGTGATAAGAGGCTGCTCAGTGCCAGGCAGCCTGGGTCTAGATTTGGATTGTCTTGTGTAAGCCAGCTGCCCAGCACGCGAAGGCCCTGGGGCCCTTGGGAAGTTGTACTCCGCCGCCTCTTAACAGGAAATCAAATCAGTGACTGTGTGGGGACTGAGCTTGGATGCAGCCCCCGGGATCAGCTTGTCCAGGGGCGAGCACCAGGGGTGCTTTCGGTCGGTCTTACTATGTGTGTATTATCTTCAGAGTTCCCTGGAGAAAACCTCAATTCTGTAGCTGCACGTCTTCATTATCATCCAACAGAATTTTTCTGACCTGTTGTCAGCTCTTGAGATAGGAAATTACATGAACAAGCATTTAGATCAAGTAGAGATTATCTTGTTAGAAGAACAAATGTTTTAGGGATTAAAATTTCTTTTCAGCATTAGTAATTTGCCATGGGATGGCTAAAGGTGACTTTATTTTAGGCACCAAAAGTGAGGGAGGATAAATGCTTATAATTTTTAGTGAAATATGAAATTTGGTGTATTTTATAGATGTTTGTTTAAATCATTCTTAAGTTTTTGATCATATAGCTAAATTATTGTAGTTTCATTAATGGTAGAATTATAAAGTAAATGTTAAATGAAAATGCTTGTGCCTTATGTTAGTCCCATTAGTCTAAAGCTAAAAAGGTTCAGTTTTGACAGTGTTAAGAAGTTAATGATTAAATTCCCCTTTAAGGAAAGACTCGGTACAAATCTGTTTAACAAATCACATTGGAATTTTTTTCTTTTGGAAATCTTAGCAAGAAGGCTCACTTTGTGCTCAACATTGCTTGAATAATCTGTTGCAAGGAGAGTATTTCAGCCCCGTGGAGTTGTCGTCTATCGCGCACCAGCTGGACGAAGAGGAGAGATTGAGGATGGCGGAGGGGGGTGTTACCAGCGAAGACTACCGCACGTTTTTACAGGTATTCATTTTAAACTCACCACGTTGCTTTTTCTTTTTTTAAAGTGGGTATTGAAAAAAGGGGGAAAAAAAGGAAAAATGTGGTATTGTCTAGAAGAGAACCACTCTTTCTATCAGGATCTGACTTGTTAATTACAACTCTGCTGTTGGTTTGTAAATGGCAATGCACAAGATGTTATTTTGAATGTGGATACTAATAACAGTCTTTCTTTCTCTCTCCACCCTCAACCCCTGCCTCAACTACCCATCCAAATTAAACAGCAGCCTTCTGGAAATATGGATGATAGTGGTTTTTTCTCTATTCAAGTAAGTAGTCACAAGCAAGTCCTAACTGTTGTTTTTGTCCCAGGCTCTGTTGAAGCTCAGGGGATGGTCGATATGAGCGTCTTTCACAATCACTATAATGATGTGACCCTCAGAAGTTCCTCCAATAGATTGTGTCTAAGAGTATAAGATTGTACTCTAGTGTACTAGATTGTTATACAGATAAACATGAACATTGGGGTTGTAGAACCTTCAGTTTAGAGTCGGGTTTTTTGAAAGATTATTTAATTTGCATGTGGATACTAATAACCTTAATTCCACTAAGTCAGAGTCTTTTAAACTTACTGTCTCTTGTGTAAATTTGAGAAAATGCAACACCTTGCTACCTTCCCTTTAAATCAGCCTACTGGGACTGGGTTCTTTTATTAGGGTCTGTGGCTATGCTTTTTTTTAAAAACCATATATATTACTCATAGAATTCAAAGGAAGCTGCACTGTGAGATTCTTCTTCTGGAGGTCTTTCATTCTGTTTCTAATGCTTGGGAGGTGTGTCCAGAGCTCTTTCGGGGCACCTGTGTCTGCAGATGTCTTTAGCAGCAGCCACCGCGACAGGCTGGGGCAGGCTGGGGTGCGGTCCGAAACCCAAGGGGGCTGGCACTTGCCGTGGCCTGGGAGGTGTGGCGCCCCGCTCTGCGCGCTGGCGCCAGTGGCTGCTTTCTTTGGTAGCTGCCTGGGAGAGTAGGTCGGGAATTTTCAGAGCGCTCCCACTTATTTCCAGACCGTTTGAAATAATCAGAATTCCCTTTGGTTTTTTTCCTAAAATTATAAGTATGTAACAGATGTTTAAAATCTATGGAAACTTTATTTTAAATCCCTAGAAAGAACTCATTTTAATTGACGTATAATTATCACTATTACTGACATACCTGGAAGTGAGTTGCAATACAACCTTTTTATAGCAGGACCCATAGCAGCCAAATTATTCAAACACACAGGCGCGCGCGCAACCACTTTTCAGAATAGCACTTACGAATAGACTATACATCTGGATTTTTGAGGCCGTTTTTTCTAGGAATTTCGTGGATCCCCAGAATATCCCAGAAACCTAGTGTTAAGAAGCTTTATGTATATTTTTTGGATTATGCTGTTACAGTTGCCCCGATTTTTCCCTCTTTGCCCCCCTCCACCCAGCACCCACCACTCCCTCAGGCAGTCCCCACTCCGTTGTTCATGTCCATGGGTCACGCGTATAAGTTCTTTGGCTGCTCCATTTCCTGTACTGTACTGTACATTCCCATTGTTATTCTGTGACTTCCTACTTGTACTTCTTAATCTCCTCACCTCTTCACCCGTTCTCCCCCTCCCCCCTCCCATCTGGCAACCATCAAAACTCTCTGTATCCATGATTCTGTCTCTGCTCTTCTTGTTTGCCTAGTTTGCTTTATAGCTTCAATTGTTGCTACATACGCATTTATTGCCCACAGTTTTGATCTTCTTTTTCTTAAATAATCCCTTTTAACATCTCATATGTTTGGTTTCGTAATGGTTGGACTCCTTTAGTTTTTTCCTGTCTGGGAAGCTCTTTATCTGCTCTTTGATTCTAAATGACAGCTTTGCTGGGGAGAGCAATCTTGGCTGTAGGTCCCTGCTTTTCATGACTTTGGATATTTATTGCCAATCCCTTCTAGTCTGCAAATTTACTTTTGAGAAATCAGCTGACAGTCTTTTGGGAACTCCCCTGTGAGTAACTAACTTCTTTTCCCTTGCTGTTTTGAGGATTTCCTCTTTATATTTGACTCTTGGCGTTTTAATTATGACATGCTTTGGAGCAGGCCTCTTTGCAGTGTCCTCCTGGCCCTGGAGCCCTGAGCTGGGGGGCCTGGTGTGGGGCTGGAGCTCCTCGCGCCTGAGGTGTCCCTCCCAACTTTTTATCCACCACAGGTGGGTGTGGGACAACCTGTTCCACATCTGTGCCCCTCCTGCCAGTCTGGATGGATGTGGTTTCTTTAATTCTGTAGTTGTCAGACTCCCATACAACTCAAATTCTGACAGTTCTGAGTGATGGTTATTCTATATTTTAGTTATAATTTTGTTGTGGTCGTGTGGGGAGGCGAGCCATGTTTGCCTATGCCGCCATCGTGACTGGAAGTCCCTAGAAGCACTTTTTTTAATGCTGTGTTTATATACTTTTTTATAATGCTATGTTATTTATAGATTTAGTGATATATCTTAAATACGCACACTCTTTTAAAACCATAGTCACCTGGGAAAATTGATATAGGAAGAACAGTTGTTTGCATAGCTAACATGGCTTCCCTACTTAAATTTGGAATCGAACGGTTTAGCTCATGAAAAATTGCTATTTTTTTCAACAGGTTATAAGCAATGCCTTGAAAGTCTGGGGTTTAGAACTAATCCTGTTCAACAGTCCAGAGTATCAGAGGCTTGGGATCGATCCCATGTAAGATTTTAATTCGCTTTTCCTACATTTCTTTTCCTAAATTATTTCTTAAAAGAGAAAAATATATTTTGAATGCCTTTGTTGTGATGTGCCCTGTGCCATTCCCTTTTTCACCTTTTGGGGGCGCCCTCTCAGCCATCCTGGCAGCTCAGGGTCTGTGGGCACAGAGCTAGCTGATCCTTGAATGTTGTGTGATGCCATCATTTTTGCACAGTGTCACAGATCTGCAAATAGATTTGTTCTGTTTGTACCCTTTAAGAAATCAGTGATACCTAACTGTAAACACCTTAAGTTACAAGTTTTATATAACCCTTGCCAGTAGACAAACTTAATATTGGGTCTGTATTTTTTTTCCTTTTCTAGAAATGAAAGATCATTTATATGCAATTATAAAGAACACTGGTTTACAGTTAGAAAATTAGGAAAACAGGTAACGTTTCTCCTCCTTCCTTGTCATTTTTCTCATTCCACACTTCATTTGCAGCTAAAATGTAAAGGATTAGATGAATAGAAACTCATCAGTAATGTGTAGGTGGCATAGTTTCAACCTTGATAGATAGAAATTTGCTATTTTAAAAGACAAGATTAGTTCCCCTTATAGATTCATTTGGGACAACCATATACAGTTTAACCGTATCATAAGAAAAATTATTTAAGACAATGGCAAATGTTACTTTTAAGTAAGTTTATGTGATAATTATGTTGTCAGTCAACTATTCCACTAATAGATTTGTATTTAGCATAGTAGTGTTACAAAGTCTGAAAGAGTGTCCAGCGGGAATACAAGTTTTCAACCACATTTGCTTTAGCTAAAGATTATTCACATTCCAAAGTGCCACATAAAATGCATATATCTACATAAAATCATTTCTATTAAAAAACAAAGAACATGGAGTATGTCTTGAGCAAGGCTTTTTTTAAGATCAAGAAATGTAAATGTTATTTTTTAAAATAATTCCAGTGATCTTTGTACACACAGTTCTATTTTTGAAACGGAATTATATGAACTCTGGTTTTAGAATTTTGAATCTTTGAATGAGTGTTAATGAAAGTGGGCTCATGTAATAACAAGTTAACTATCGATACATGTAACAACATGGGTTATCTTCAAATAATTATGCTAAGTGAAAGGTAGATACAAAACCCTACATACGGTGTGGTTCCACTTATATAAAAGGGTAGGAAATGCAAATGAGCCTGTAGGGATAGAGAGCAGACGGGGCAGTGGTCGTCCGGGGGTGAGGAGAGCAGAGAAGATGGAGAAAGGGGGTTCCAGGGCTCGGGCTCGGCGGGGGTGAGGGCGTCCCTCTCGGTTGCGGCGATGGTTTCACGGGTGGTGTGTATGTATGTCTGAACTTTTCAAATTGTGCACCTTCAATACATGCAGATTATTGCATGTCTATTATATCTCAATAAAGCTGTTTTTAAAAATACAAGGAAGAAAATGATGTCAAGAAAGAGTACATTGACTTAATTCAGTAAAAGATAATTCAAAAACCAAAAAAAATTGCTATTTTAATTCAGCCGCCTAAATGCAGTTTCATCTTAAATGGTTATGTCTTTTTTTTAAAGATTTTATTTATTTTTAGAGAGGGTGAAAGGGAGGGAGAAAGAGAGGTGGAGAAACATCGATGAGTTGCCTCTCGCACGCCCCCAACCACAGACCCATCCTGTAACCCAGGCATGTGTCCGGACTGGGGATCAAACCAGCGACCTTCGGGTTTGCAGGTCAACGCACAGCCCACTAAGGCACACCAGCCAGGGCCTACATGGTTATTTCTTAAGGTCCCTCCTGAGGAACTCAGAGCAAGTAGGGGGAAGGAGATGTGGTGGAGTAGAGAGTAACCCAGGCAGGGATGGACTCTAGGAAAAAGCAGGGGCAGGACACTGCCGAGGTTATTGCCTCTAGATTTCATTTCTGTTTTTGAAAATTATGATCATGTATCCTTTACTTTTTGTGTATAAGGTAATCAGTGGATTTTTTTTTAAGATCTGAAGGCTCAGATTGCAGTTCCTTTGTATTGATTTGCATGTAAATTTATATCATTCGAGAGATTTTTAAAATTTTAGTTTTTCAAAATTGAACTTTCACATTTCAAATTACTTTATCTTTGACAAAGCCAGAAAATGTCAAAGTTTGCCAATCTTTAGCTATCATTTATGTGTTTGTTTAAAATTGTATTTTTCACTATCGATTCTTTTGTCTGAGGTCCCTTGTGGGTTAAATTAGGGCTCCTAAGAAGTAATGACTAAATGATGTTAATTATATGCAATGGTAGCTTTTGTGGTCTTTCTAAAATGAGTTGGTGATTTAAAATTCTCCTCCTGGAACAGGCTGGTTTTCTCACAGTTTAAATCTTTGACCAAAATGATCAGTAGTAGGAAAAACTTTGTGTAGTGGTCATTTTTCTTCCACACCAATATAGTATGATTAGATTAGGGTTATGTTAGGCATACTTTGAAAAAATATTTAATTATAACTATTAAAAAATATACTTTAAATTACTATCAGTTTCTATTCTTTTGGGGGCATTTAAAGTTCATGGCTTAAAGCAAACTTTTACTTTTTAGAAAGTAATTATGATAAATCATTCTATTTCAGGTTTTAAAAATCACATTATTTAATTACTTTTTAAAAAAAATCTCAGTTTGATCTGTTTAGACAGCCTTACTAAGTTTAGACAGGTTATATCTATTCTTAACATGTGAAACGTCTTTATTAATTATAATGTACACTAACTTAAATGCTGGCAATTTTTTTTTCCAGTGGTTCAACTTGAATTCTCTCTTGACGGGTCCAGAATTAATATCAGACACATACCTTGCACTTTTCCTGGCTCAATTACAACAGGAAGGTAAGTAAAAATGGAAAATTTTTACAATGTTATCTTTCAAAGTAGCTAAATAAAACTAACTCATTCGATGTGAGTGTGACAATGCTATTTTTCTGGCGGTGGCACTGAGGTAATCTTCATTCTGTGCGGTGCCCTGGATGTTGTGATTGGACTGAGACTGTCTAGGGAGGCTTCTCTCTGACTCCTGGCCCTCCCCTGAGGGCGGCGCTTCCGTTAGGGCCTCTCCTGGTAATGGCTCTTTTTCTTCCTTTCCTCACACACCGCAGGGCCAAGGGGAGGGCCAGCTCCTTCTCTAGCTCCTCTTGGCCCCTTCTAGGCCACTGTTCTTCCCTAAAATCTCCAGCTCCTTTGAAATGTTACATTAAACTTTTACTCCCCGGGTTTTCACAGTCATCTGATCCGCCTCCTTTTCCACTGAAGATTTGAGGATCTGACTCACTGTTTTCTTTATGTTTGAAAGCCTTTCATCATTCTTACTGATTTCTATATCAAATATCAATCCAATCTAGTACCTTGCCTCTTACTTTCAAAGATCGTTTTCTCCACTCTTGCCTTGCCGTTACCAGTAACTGTACCAATTTTAAACCCCAGCTGCAATCATCCTGTTCTTTAGCTACTGCCTCCTACATCTGCGTCGTTTCTCCTCTGTTTTGTCCCTTGCGTCAGTCCTTGAAACCCCGCCACAAGTCCAAACGTCCCCTTCTATTCCTGCTGCTTTCCATACCCTGCTGATAGTCTATCAGTCATCATTACAGTCACTCCACTACATTCCCCAACCCCTTTATCTTTTTCTCCTGCCATCATACATTCCTATCAGAATCCCAAACCCAGTGGAAACCAGATCTCAGTCTTGTCCATTCCTGCGCCAGAGTAGCTGAACATGGCTAACGAGTAACATAAAATGTGAGACCAATTTAGCTTTAAACGTATGAGCCTTCAGCGCTGCTGCCAGTCCTACCATTTTCCCGGTAAGTTCACTTCCTCCCCACAGCGGCAGTTGCACAGCTTGCCCCTCCCCCGTCTGGCTGCCCCCCATTCCGGTGTTTATTAGCTGGCAGGCTTCTCTGCGGGGAAACCTGCCTTCATCAAGCATCCGGTTATACAGAGCAAAGGCAGGACGAATATTTTTTTCCTTTTATTGGTTTTTAAAATAAGTTCATTTCATCGTATCTTTTCTCCAAAGGTAACCAATTGGTGTTTGATTTTTTTTCTAAAGTGGCATTGTAAACCAATTCATTAGAACACATCTCATATCTTTCAGGTCATTATTATATTCATATTGATACCCAAATTGTTCCATCTTGGACTCATGGGAACCTTTTGAACTTTACTCTCAAATATCTGAAATGACCACTTATAGCCTTTTGAAGCTTTTTTGCCTCCTATCATCAGTTTGTCAGGCTTATGTTAAATATTTCCTGTCCTTTTAGGAATGGTGTTTAGCGATCACAGTTAGGAACTGGCTTGCGTATTGCTGCTGGGCCGGGTTGGTCCCCATGTAGCGCTTTCCAGTTCCTGTGGAAGATCACAGTGTTATAATCTCCTCTTGGAAGTCCAGAAGGCATTTTAAACTGAACATGTTGACGAAAGACTGACTTTCTTCTTTTCCCGCCATACATGCTATCCCTCAGGTTTTCCACTTAAGTAAGGATCACTTCCTTGCATTCTGGTTCCCATATATACATTAATAAAGCAGCCCAGAGCGATTTAAAAAAAATAATAATAATGCATATTATGGTACAACCTCACCTTTCACCATTCAGTGGCTTCCCAGCACATATAGAATAAAATCTAGTCTTGAGTGAAATCTAGGATCCTTACAGTGTGTCACCTAAACAAGACAGAGTTTCTGCCCTTGACGACGCCCTTTATGGAATGCCATGGTGAGCTGACATAGTCATTCTAGGGTTTAGAAACAGTTTCCTGGCATAAAACATCTTAAACCATCTGAACTCTGAGCATATTAACTTATTACTGTTTTGAGTTTTTCTAGTAATACTCCTTTTGATTCTTGTTTCATGATCTGTTTTTATTTTTTTGTTATTTGTTTCATTATCCATTAATGCTCACAAAGGATACCCAGTAACAAGCACCAAAGTTTAAGAAAACTTTATGCTGGAAAAACATAAATTGATTAGAATGACTTAGGTATAACCCACCCTTACTAAGTTATTTTTTTTTAAGATTTTATTTATTTATTCTTAGAAAGGGGGGAAGAGAGGGAGAGAAATAGTGACATGTGGAAACATCAATAGGTTGCCTCTGGCATGCACCCTGGTCAGGGACCTGGCCTGCAACCCAGGCCTGTGTCCTGCCCGGGAATTGAACCAGCGACCTTTTGCTTTGCTGGATGGTGACCAACCAACTGAGTCTCACCAGTCAGGGCCTTATTCTGTTTTTATATGGAATATCCAGCTGAGGAAACCTGGCTTCCCAGAATTATATTTATAAAAAATTATGCAGAATCAGTGTGGTTCTTTCAAAAGACAAACTACACCTTTTAATACTTTGACTAGATTTTAGGTATTGGTTTCTCAGATTTTGTTGGGAGTTCAGAGTGAGGAGACAGCTCTTTCCACAGATGATTTATTTTACAGATATTGCACATTATTATAGATATTATCTGATTGTGTCCTCACAACATCCCTCTGAGGAAGGCACCAATATCATTGGTTTCATAATTAAAAAAAACAAGACAAAGGTGGGCAAAGTGATTCACCAGAGATCACGCAGATAGGAAATGGAAGAGCTGGGGTTAAAATCCAGTCCACCTGGGCCCTGGCTGGGTAGCTGAGTTGGTTAGATTGTTATGCCGGCACGCCAAGGTTGCGGGTTCAATCCCCAGTCAGGGCACATTCAAGAATCAACCAATGAATGTATAAATAAGTAGACAACAAATCAATGTCTCTCTCCCTCTCTCCATTCCTTTCTCTCTGTAAAATCAATAAATAAAATTTAAAAAAAACACACAAAACAATTTGCGTGCTTCCAGATCCCTTGCTCTTACCCACTCCTTTACCACCTTTCTGTTACCATTTAGTGAGTAGCCTGCTTGGCCAAACACTGTATAAGGAAGGCCCTTTACATCTGTTATTTTGTGTATTTCTTACCATCACTCTATGAGATGGCTGTTCCCGTATTACAGGTGAGGAAAGTCAGGCTCAAAGGCTTAAAGTAATATGTACTAGGTCACCCTGCCGGTAAGTCTAAGAATCATGATTTCACCCCAGGGTTTTCTCATTTCCTCAATTTACATTCTTTCCACAATTGTATGCCATGAACCTCTCTAGCTGCAGTCATTTTTAATTGATTTGGAATCTCTAACTAGCTGTTTTAGTTTGTTTTTGCCTTTTTTTTAGGTTATTCTATATTTGTTGTTAAGGGTGATCTGCCGGATTGTGAAGCCGACCAACTCCTGCAGATGATCAGGGTCCAACAGATGCATCGACCAAAGCTTATTGGAGAAGAAATAGCACAACTGAAAGAACAGAGGTAAAATGAACTGGCCTGTGGAATATATGCTAGTATTTCAGTACAAGATCAAATTTTCATGTTGACATGGAAAGGGTGGTCATTTTATTATTGGTGATTTTTTTTAGAACCATATATTTTAGCGAAGTTTATTGGTGCAAATTTGAATCGACTCTTTGAATTACATAAATATATTAAGTTAGAGTAACATCACAACACAACTTTAATATTAAACCTAATCTGCAAGAAAATGTGTAAGTTTTTAAAATTTTATTTTTCCATTAGAGTTGACTGAAAATGTGAAAGTTTTAGCTTACATAAAATGTTCAGTTTATGAATGTCTGCGAGGCTGGCCTGCAGGCATTATCGGTGCTTTCGGTCTTTAGAATCCAGAAAACAGACCTGGAACAAGCCTTAGAAACCAATGACGGGCCGGGAGCGTTAGATGACGATGAGGAGGACTTGCGGCGGGCTCTGGCTCTAAGTCGCCAACAGATTGACATGGAAGATGAGGAAGCAGATCTCCGCAGAGCTATTCAGCTCAGTATGCAAGGTACAGACGTTCCGACGTGGTTTTTCCATTGTTGCAGACTGGATTCAGATATTTCTTGGTTTCCTGGATGAACTGTTAGAAGTTGTTTGACAATTTGACAGTTATGGAAGAAGCAATGGCTATGTGCAGTCAGCTCTTCTTTTAGTTTTCTAGTAATATAAATAACTCCTACAACCTATGTTATATTTGGGCTAGTTTATTTTTCTTTCTGGTTATTCCACTTGGTTATAATACTGTACTAACACGGCAATAAACAGAGGTGAATCTTTGAGGGCAGAAGTGGGGGGACTTTTACCCAGGGCAGCTGCTGCATAAATGCATATGGCGTTGGCCACAGAGGACGACCTGCACAGAGGATATAAATTGGTTCTACAAAAATCTAACATTGGCATCTCTGCAACTTGCAGCGTGAGTCCACCTCGATGGGCCTGCTGTTGTGGTGATAAAGCCCATCAGAGAAGGGAGGTAGCCGTGTCCCGTAGGTTGTCCAGGCGGCAGGAAATGTCTGGGACGTAGAACAAAGTGGCTTCATAAAAGCCTGAGGAGTTTCTTTTGGTAGTTTTGTTTTTATCTAATTAATAAGATTTTGCCTTCCTATTTTCTAATGAAATTATTCCTTGAGTTTCTTAAATATCTAAAAATTTAAGTAGAGGCAAACATCACCTTTTATAATGTTAGATGTTTTTGGGTAATTCATTCTTTTTACCACTTTATTGCATAATCTGTGTGAAACCTCTAGTTAGTACAATAAATGAGACCACGGAAACACACTTAAGTTGTGGTAGGACCCAAATTTTTGAGGATGGAGGAGCATAGAGAATGGGTCTGTTGTATGATCATCCACTTTAAGTTGCTTCTGAGGAATTCTGTGCCTTTGAAAGGATAATTTTATGTCTAATGAGTTCAGGAGGGCACACAAGAATGGTGCTAATGGCTCTCCTTACCAGTTTGGTTGTTGGACTTCAGTCCTCACATCTGCTGCTACATTTGGATAACAGCTTTGTCTGTAGTGGACACAAGTTGGAGTTGGATTTCCTCATTCAGATCTTCCCTGAGGCTTTGAGAGCCTTCCTTAGATTTACAGAATACTGACAGAATATTTTTAAGTAAACTTGTTTTTTAAGTTTTATATATTTATTTACTTTTAGTGAGAGGGGAAGGAAGGGGGAGAAACATCAGTGTGTGGTTGCCTCTCGCACACCCTCAACTGGGGACCTGGCCCACAACCCAGGCCTGTGCCCTGACTGGGAATTGAACTGGCAACCCTTGGTTCACAGGCCGGCACTCATTCTACTGAGCCACACCAGCCAGGGCTGTTTCTTAAATTTTTATTTATTGATCGCGGGGAGAGAGAAACAACTGATTTGTAGTTCCACTTATTTGTGTATGCGTTAGTTGATTCATGCATGCGCCCTGACTGGGGATCAAACTGGCAACCTTGGCCTGTCAGGACAACGCTCTGACCCACAGAGGGACCTTGCCAGGGCAAGAAGAAAACTTTTTAAAAACTTGTTCATGTAATTATAAACATATTGTTATTTTATCTGGTAAATAAAATGATTGTTTTTCTGTTCAATTTTCTTTTGTTTTCAGGTAGTTCCAGAAATGTATCTCAAGATACCCCACAGACAACAGGTACACAACTTACTTCAGAAGAACTACGGAAGAGAAGAGAAGCCTACTTTGAAAAGTAAAGTAGTTCATACAATATTAAAATTGCATATTCAGTATTTATTTTGGCCATTCTCTTTGTTGTGAATTTACAGCTTTGGCTTAAATTATTTATCTTACTTAGGATTCTCTTTTGTTAGAAAGACTGGCTACTGCCTGACCCTGTGAACATTTGAATGCGTTTTTTAAAAATTTACAACAAATAAACTGAAATGTAGTTTTAGGGGAAAACTTCGCCCAAATACTAATTAAATGTACATGAACTAGAGTCAAGGGAACCCTGTAAAATTTCAGTCATCAAAAGGAAAATGGAATTGGGTCAAGGCAAGAGCAATGCCTAATGATCCTTTGAATGTGCTTCTTGGTTACCTGATCCTGCACCGTTCCCAAATAGGGATGGCGGCGAAGAGCTCTGCCCCGAGCCTCTGCCCAAGCCAAGCCGAGCCAGGCGCCCAGGCCTGCCGGCCCCGGCTGGGGGGCCGGCCGCTCTTCGGAATCAGCAGCTCCTAAAGCCCGCTTTGTGTCCCGGTTATAAAAAGTGCTCTTAAAACAGAAATTTCACCCCATAAAAATACTGTTTTTTCCAGGAACTATCATTCATGAGTCGTCTTCCCTTTTTCCTTCCTTAATGAAAAAAACCCATCTTAAAGATTACAAGATGTATAATAGGTATTCAGAATCTCTGATCTCAGATCAGAAACTAAAAGGCCTGTGGCTGAATCCAGCCTGTTAATTTACTTTTATTTCATCAGTTCTAAGATGCACATATTCTTACGTTTCAACATCTGAGCACCTGAGAGCATCTTTTGGTCAAAATTGGCAGTATTTAGTCGTATTTAAGATGGAAGCATTTTACATCTGATGGTGTTGAAGATATTTACCTTGTTTTCTGTTTTTTTTTAAGTCACAACTCAGAAGTATGTGAAGGAAGGTTCTGATCAACTGACATCCTCTTAATGTGAGATATTTCTAGTCTTTATTCAGTGACAGATTAATGGACTTAATTATATATAGAATTTCAAAATAGTGCTGATTAGTGCTTTTTACTTCCTTTTTAAATTTTAAAATTAATTTTATTTTTTAAATATGATAAACTTAACATGTATATTAGAGAAACCAGCATAATGAGCCCGGATGTAGCCAATATCAGCGCATTTACTGTCTTGTATCTGACGCCCCCATCGCCCACACTCTTCACACTCCCCCCCCCAAACTGGGGTTATTTTGTAACAAATCTAAATCATCATTCCATTTTATTTGTATTTATTTCAGTACATTTCTCTAAAATATATGGGCTTTTTTTTTAACAAAGCCAAGTGCTGTCATCATACAATAATGTTAATAATTATCAAGTGATAATTATTAATGGTAATCCTATAACATCAAATATATCATTAGTGTTAAAAATAATTATATAAAAATTAATATCCTAGAAAATTTCTTTTAAGGCCTATTAAATTTAAAAGAAAACTTAATCTTACTATCCTTTAATAACTGATGTTAGTATTTTGGCTCAGTTTCTTCTAGTTACAGACACACATGTGTATTAGTTATACCCATTTTTCCCATGATAGTAAGTATTCTTTGTATTGATAAATAGGATACATGATATTTCATAAAACAAATGTATGTATCGTAACTTACATATGAACATTTTATTTTTGCTGTTATAGTTAATATTGCAACAAATAGTGTACTAACTCTATGCCTTAAATCTCTTATCATTTCTTCTAATTATTTCGAGGATGTCAGATTTTTGGGTTAAAGGACATGAACATTTTTAGGGCCTTAGTACAGATTTCTGCTTGCCAGAACAATTTCCAAGTGATACTTCCACCATGTTTTTATTTGAGACTTTGTTTTTTGCCAAAATAGAATTGTCCAAGCAGTCCTACTTTATAGAGAATCTAAAAAATTCACAAATACAGCTAAGAAAAGGAAACCATCTTTAAAGTATAAAAACAAATCCCTCTTACGTAAATTTTTTTTTTAGATTTTTTTGGATTACAAATGTGGAGTTTCCAGTACATTGATCTTTTTAGAGTAGAAAAAATAATGCAGTAACATTCCATGACAACTAAGTAAATTGTAACAAGCACAATGCTAGTGATAACTAATGCAGATGTTCTAGTCAGCTTTGCTCCTGTTTGTAATGGTTGAGTGTCGACGTGGCTCCTTTGTGGTTGGAGAGTAGCTGATTGGGGAGGAAGGTGTGCAGCGATGGTTTCCAGCTTCAGCCTTTTATCCTCTGCCTCCTGGTTTGATCTTAAAAGTACTGGTGGGGACCTAAGGAGAACTAGAGAATATTTACAGTCACATGTTGCTGAGAAGAGTTAAGAGCTAACTTCCTGGTGCATCTTTTTAATGTTTGCTAGCGTTCAAAATCTTGTAGGTCTCAGTAAAGGAGCTGAGAAACTAATACACAGTCAAACCTTCGTTCTCAAACGTCTGCCATCTCGAACAATTTGGTTCTTGATCAGGTGGTTCACAGAAAAACTGTCTGGGCTGTCAAACCAAACATCAGTTCCCGGTCCTTCATTCCTTTCATGCTGGTATCTGTATGATCAGTCGCGAGTCTCTTGGGCAACAATGGAGGGGGTGACTGAGTATGAGTATGATTCGGTTTTCGAAGAAGTTGTTTTTCGAACGGTCTTCTGGAACAAATTATGATCGAGAACTGAGGTTCCACTGTATTCACCTTTCCCTAGAATGTCTGATTACGAAGCTAGATGCGTTCTCTCTAGTTTCCATCTTTGGGAGTGTAGTTATAAGGTTATCGAGCTAACTCCTTCTGACCCTCTCCAAGCTGACCCCGGTGCTAACCTGTTATTCACTCAAATTTATAGGTTTGTGGGTTTTTTGGTAGAGTACTTGAACCATCACACTTAATGTAGTATCCACAGTATTTGTGCAAGAAGCATAAAAAAAAACTGTTAAAAATCTACTTGTACAAACTCATACATTATGAGTAAGTTAAATATTTTCATAGCCATTTTTTCAGTAGTAATCCCTAAATCCATTTTACCTATCATAAAACCCCAAGCAAAACTATTATATCAGCAGAGTCATTGCAAATCCTTCCTTAACACACGTTATGAGCATGTAAATTAAATGGGGTGTGTAAAACTACTTAGTAAAGTGTTTCACAGATATGCGTTAGCATTATTAATATCTTCTCACAGGTGTAACTCTGAAATGATGCAGATTTCTTCTTTCTGTCACTTGAAAAGTGTTTCCCAGCAAGGAGGAAACAAGTGCTGTCTTCATGGTCACGGATCGCTATGACTTTTTGATTGCCTATACTTGAGCCACCACGTCAGTGGCATGGCATCATCAAGGTTCAGTCTAAGAGACATAACCTACTAGAGGCGTTTTAAGCAGAAAAGTCTTTAGTACAGAAATTAAGGCCTTACACACTCTTAGGAAGAGCTGGAACGCAGGTGGTCGCCCCGGCCTCCAGAGGTCCAACATGCTGGACGAGCGGCGGCTGCTGCCCAGGCTGGAATGATGGCAGATCAGGACGCCGAGTTTGAAACACGCTGGTGGAGCTGAGGTGCTAGGGCCAGGACACTGCCCCCGCAATCGCTTGGACAGGAAGACTTGGGAACAGGAAGAGTCTGGCCCCCTCCGCAGCTGCCACGGAGCGGAATTCTGGGACTGGCATCTGCATCACTTGACTAGATGGCAGAGGACAACAAAGCAGCAGGAAAGTGGCTGCGCCTCTTTTCTCATTTCCCCCTTCCTTTTAAAGCTCATGCGTGTGCTTAACTGGTTTCCAGAATCCTAGGTATCCAGCATTTCAAGACACGTCATTTTTAGCTCTCTAGACCGAAACTGAAGGCACGCTAGATGGCACAGTGGGAGTGGATGCCAAGTGCTGTCCAAACACATGCTGTCTTACAGTGACACCACGTATTAAAGGTGTCAGAGTTGTTTCAAGGTTGGCAGTTCATTTACTTCCCACTTTTCATGAATTTAAGTAGAATAAAAGTTACGCCTCTGAAGTCGCTGTCACCTATCACTCCCTTGCATTTGACACGTTTCCTTGAGTGGAGGAGGAAGAGGTCCGGAAGAAATCTGATGCGCCAGGCATCTGCCTACCTCTCAGCCTGTCTCTCTCACGCCACGTTCCAGAATCAGGGTGTGCCTGGGGCAGGGGGTGCCTACCGCCCAGGGGGCAGCATCAGCCACGCACACCGCTCGGCGTGCTGGCTCAAAGGCCAGCAGGGGGAAAGAGCGATTCCCCGCTCGTTGGATTTTCTTTGTTGCCCCTATTTCAAACCCAAGATTAAGGGGGACCCTAGAAAAAGCGTGCTATTCTATTAATGGTGTTACTGGTAATTTAAAAATTCTGGTTCCTTTAAAGATCCTCTTATGCATTTTTTGAAAGCTATGGCTTCTCAGATTGTCAGCTGTTTTTAAGTTTTTTACATTTTAGCCCACATATGTTTATATGAAATTATTTTAAATATACATAAAACTAGAAAGAGTTCACAGAGCTCCTATGCCCTTCACTCAGTTTCTCCAGTTGTTGACATTTCTGAACCATTTGAGAATAACTTGCAGGCATGATTTTTTTATTTACACCTCAGCACTTCAGTGTTTATTTTCTAAGTACAAAGACCTGCATTTTACATCATAACCATCATGTTTAAATGTTTTATGACATTGTTTTCCCTGCTTAAAAATATACAGGGAGAACTTATTTTAATGCAGATAGCTATCACTGAGACTTGATAATGTGTGTTAAATAGTTTGCATTTCCTTCATTCATTAAGTATTTGGTGACTGCCTTCTGTGTGACTGGCACAGTTTTATGCCCTGCGCAATAAACGAGAGGAGATGTGCGCTCTCCTCTCACGCTCTGAGGAGGGAGCCAGATCGGGGGTAGCAGAGGGCAATAAGTTTATGCTGAGAATTAAGATGAAGGGATGAGATAGTGAGAATGCCAGGTGGCTACTTCAGGGGGATGGGCGGGAAAGGTATCTCTGAGGAGATATTTAAACTCGGATCTAAATGACAGGAAGGAGCCAGTCATGGAAGGATCATGTTAATTCACATGGTAATTTGAGGTGCTTTCTTCTTCCTTAAAGGTGCTTATTTTCAGTGACTTCCCACATTATTAAGGATCTATAAACCACATTTGCATAAAAATAGCCACCAGTGAATCCTTTTGTACAATATGTTATTTTTGCGGTTAAAAACACCTCCCTATTAATTTCTCTGACAAACTCAGATTTTATGTCTAGGTTTCCTAGGATTGCACAATGATACTTTTAACTAATATATATGTATATAGTTATTTATTTATATATAATATCAGTTATATTTAACTGATATTATTTATATCTATATCTATCTATCTTTCTATCTCAGACTGATAGCTCTAGCATTCTTTTGTGGTGTTCACGCCAGTGAATTGTGGAACCCTTTATTTTCCACATGAATAGTACTTCTCCTGGCTTTTTTTTTTTTTTTTTTTTTTTAATGTGCATTCTCCTTTGCATGTTTCAGGCAGCAGCAGCAGCAGCAGCAGCAGCAGCACCCGCCAGGACAGCTTTCACACCCATCGGAAACGCCGACCACAAGTTCAGGAGCGCTGGGCAGGGATCTAGGTACGCCTCTGACCCTACCTCTCGGTTGTTACCTCCTCACACTGTTTGACGCACAGGCTCTATGTGATTTTGGCTTTAGAGGCTGTTTTCTTCTCTCTTGTTTCTTGTATTGAAACTTTGAATGAATTTGTTATGTAAATTTCCCTGGACCAAGGAGCAGGCAGACTAGAGCACTCAAGAGATGTTTTGCTTTAAAATTATAAACGATACCTGCAGCTCCACCAGTAATTAGTACATTCTGTGACAGTTCCTCAGAGATAATGGATATTACTAGGTAGAAAATAAATACATTTTTCCCACTAGAAAACTAAAACCACCTGAGTGTAGTCTAAATAACAACAGGAAGTCTAGAGTTACTTATTAGGCCTTGGTTTAATAAGTCTTAAACTTTGGCCAGTTATTGGTGGTAGAAGTTGAGTGTAAAACTGTATTTGACAAAGGACTTCTAAGCAGAATGTGTAAAGAACTATGAACACTGAGGTAAGAAAACAACCCAAAAATGGGCAAAGGATTTGAACAGACATTTCACCGAATAAAATATATGGGTGACAGGCACATGAAAACACGCTCAACATCACTCATTATTTCAGAAACGTAAATTAAAACTACAGTGACATACCATTACACACCTCTGAGAATGGTTTAATAAAAAAAATAAAATTGAGAATGCCAGGGGCTGACAAGGATCGGAGCCGCTGGGACTCTCATCCGTAGTTAGTGTAAAAAAGCACAGCACCTTCGGAAAACAGTTTAGTATTTATAAACTTAAAGTAAACTAAACCATGTGATCCAGCAGTCCCGCTCCTAGGTGTATACTCAAGAAAGGAAAACAAGGTCCCAAAAACACTTACCTGTGAATGCTTGCAGCAGCTGCCCTCGTACTTGCCTCAACCTGGAACTGGCCTAAATGTCGTCCGTCAGCTGGTGACGGCTGCCCAGCTTGTGGTGCATTCCAACCGCAGACCGTGTCAGCAATAAAGAAGAATGGCCCGGTCCCTTTTTCTACTCACCCCAAGCATTTGTACGCAAACATGAGAATCTGAAAGGTAGAGAGAAGACAGATGAGCTAGGAAGCTTGGGCCCAGGGGCTGATGCAGTCGTGAGTGGCCTGGGTTCTCCTTTCACCTCATCTGTCCATCTGTCATGGACGTCATGCTGGCAAAGCCCCGGGCGCAAACCAAGAAAAAGCCCCGCAGAAAGCCTGCTCTGTGTGGTCCAGACGGACCACCTAGCAAGACAGAAACTTTTAGATAATAAACACACTAGTCAGCCAAACAGTACTAGGTAAATAAACTGGTTCCACTGCCACCTCAACTGACAGGTGGGAGCCTAGACCTGTATCCCTGCCTGGCAGTCGTGAGGCGCGCCCTCCCCCACAAGTCTCCTGGCCAAGGCGGTGTCAGAGGAAGCCAGGTGGGGCGCGGGAACTTTTATTTCCACTGGGAGACAACCAGGCCCCCTTTGCCTTGGTGTCGGTGGTCACACACAGGGAGCCTGGACTCGCACCAGGCAATGAAGAGGTGTCCCTCTGCCCTCCTGCCTGGCTGGTGTCAGGAGAGACTTAATGGAGGTTGATGACTCTCACTGGTTTGAGGCAGTAATGAGGCCACCGCCACAGTGTCGGTGAGACACAGTAACAAGGCCTTCCCACCCCCTAGTTGGGTGGTATCAGCGGAGGGCAGTGGGAAGCCAGGGCTCCCACGTGTGCTCAGCAGTTAGGCTTGCACACGCCCTCCCCGCGTCCGGCAGCAGCGAGGGGACACCCATCCCCCACTGGCGCCCTGTCAGAGGAGGCCGGCTGGAAGAGATGAAGACCCACAGTCTTAGAGTACCCAGATGTCCCGGACCCAATTAAAAATCAACGTGTCATTCCAAGATCCAGGAAAATTTCAACGTGAATAACGAAAGACAGCTACTAGACACCGTCACCAGGATGGCACTAATGTTAGAATTTTCTGACACAGATTAATTAAAAATTTTTATTTTATTTTATTTATTTCTAGAAAGGGGAAAGGAGGGAGAAAAAGGGAAACACCAATGTGTGATTGTCGCTTGTGCGCCCTCTAGTGGGGACCTCGCCTGCAACCCAGGCATATGCCCTGACTGGGAATCCCTTTGCTTCACAGGCCGGCAGTCAGTCCACTGAGCCCCGCCAGCCAGGGCCTAACACAGATTTTTTAAGGCAGCCATCATACAAATGCTACAGTGAGCAATTACGAACATACTTGAAACAAAGGAAAAAAACAGCAAGCCTTGAGAAAGAAATAGAAACTATAAAGAAGAACCAAATGGAACTTAGAACTGAAAAGTAATAGTACCTGAAATTTTAAAACTCAGTGGGTGGACCCAACATGCAAATGGAAGGACAGGAAAGAATCAGTGAACCTGAAAACAGAACAATAGAAGTCACCCATTCTGAGCAATTATACTGGAAAACAAATAACAAGGTTTGAGACCTGTGGGACTATAATAAAGGGCCTAACAATTGTGCCATGGGAATATAGGAAGGAGGTGGCACTGAAAAAGTATTTGAAGAAATAACGGCTGAAAGTTCTCCAAATTTGGCAAAAGATGGACACCTACAGATTCAAGATTAGTGGATCTCAGACAGGCAAAACCCAGTGGAATCCACACCAAGACACACACACAATCTAATTTATGAAAACGGGACCAAAAAAAGAAAAACCTTGAAACCAGCTAGAAATACCTTAACCTACGGCAATTTACATGACTAGATTTCTCGTCTGAAGTCTTGGGAGGTCAGAAGGAAATGGCACATTCTCCAAGTGCTGAAAGGAAAGAACTCTCGACCCAGATTTCTAAGTCTGGTGAAAGTTTCCTCTAGGAATGAAGGGGAAAAATCAGAGAATTTGTCACAACAAACCTGTCCTAAAATAATGGCTAAAGGAAGTTCTCTAAACAAATGATAAAAGAAGCAATCTTGGAACATCAGGAAGGAAATAAGAACCATCGAAGGAATAAAACTATGGGTAAACACAATAGACTTTCCCTTTGAATTTTTAAAATTACGTTTGGTGATTAAAGCAAGAATCATAACATTTATTTGGTTTCTAGTGTATGTACAGGAAATATTTAAGGCAGTTGGGAACTGGGGAGAGGAAAGGGACCTAAAGGGAGGTCAGGTTTCTGCATTTCATTTGGATTGGTGCAGCCACTCAGAAGATAATTTGGCAGTTTCTTCAAAAACTGAATGCACACTAATCACAACCCAGCAGCTAGGCTCCTGGGCATTTGTCCGAGAGAAATGAAAATTTTTGTCCATGCAAAAACCTGTACATGAACATTCATGGTAGCTTTACTTGTCATAACCAAAAACTGGAAACAAGCGACATGTCCTATAGGAGGAATGGTTAAATGAACTAGGACAGCCACACTATGGAACACTGCTCAGGATTAAAAAGAAAACAATGGTGGGCACCCTCCTTGGAACATGCCTGTGCCCTTCTCTCAGGCACGTACTTTTATAAGAAACACTGAAGGAAAATAAATAAATAAATAAATAAATAAAATTTAAAAAAGCCCTGGCTGGTGTGGCTCAGTGGATTGAGTGCCGGCCTGCAAACCAAAGGGTCACCAGTTTGATTCCCAGTCAGGGTACATGCCTGGGTTGTGGGCCAGGTCCCCAGTGGGGGGTGCATGAGAGGCAACCACACACTGATGTTTCTATCCTATTCCTTCTCTCTCCTTTCCCCTCTCTCTAAAAATAAATAAATAAAATCTTTTTTTTTTTTTTTAAAGAAAACACTGAAGGTCCCCACAAGGCTTTCAACCAGGGGAGCAGTGTGCAGCAGCAGCTCCTCCAAGACTAACTCCCCTGCCCCGGACCCTGTCTCCAAGGCCCGCTTTTGTGTGACTTCTCAGTGAGCCAACACAATTCTACCTAGGCCTGGCCCTTCTGCGTCTTTCCCAAGCCCTGTGTTTTACCATTCTCAGCTGCTGCTGCTTTTTATTTATTTATTTGTTTGTTTATTTATTTTTAGAGAGGAAAGGAGGGAGAAAGAGCAATGGAAACATTGATGTGTGAGAGAAACATCCATTGGTTGTCTGTTGCACACCCCCAACCAGGGACCTGGCCTGCAACCAGGCATGTGCCCTGACCAGGAATCAAACTGGCGACCTCTGTTTGCAAGGCAGCACCCAGTCCACTGAGCCACATTAGTCAGGGCTTACCACCCACAGCTTTAATAAGTATGTTCTCAATATAAAAGTAAAAAATAAATTTTAAAAAAGAGAAACAAACTGTTGATACATGCAACAACTTGGATGATTCTCGAGGGCGTTATGCTGGGTACATAACAAAACCAACGTCACAAGGTTTCATACTGTATGATTGTATTTGTGTAACATATTAAAGTGACAGATTTAAGGAAGTGGGGAACAACTTAGTGGTTGCCTGCATTTGGGGAAGGTAGCAGGGAGAGAAGTGGGTGTGAATATAAAGGGAGAGCAGGAGGCAGGTTTTTGTGCTACTTTTAACAGTTCCCTGTCTTGGCGGTGGTGGTGGCGGTTACACAAATCTGCAGTTATGATAAAATACCATAGAACTATACACAGCCTTGTACCGATGTAAATATCCAGGTTTTGGTTTGAGCAGCACTTAGGTGAGATTGGGTGAAACTGAGCTGAAGTGTGCCAGGGTCCTGTCTGAACTATCTTTGCAACTTCTGTGAATAAATCTTTGAAAACATTTAAGTAATGAATTGTTGATACACACAGCAAAGTGAAATCTTCTTTCACTTAGCTTCACTGCACTGTGCTAAAAGCAAAAGAAGCCTTACTCAAAAGGCCCCATGCACGCTGTGTCTTCCCTTTATGCTGATGTGCAGGAAAAGGCAAACTGTAGGGCAGCGAATGTTTCAGTGGTTGCCCAGCATTAGGGGTTGGGGACGGACCACAAAGGGACAGCACGAGAGGATTTGGGGGTGGGGCGGTGGCAGCGGAACGGTTCCATATCTGGGTGGTGACGGTGGTTATCCAACTGTATGCATCTGTCAAGACTTATAAAACTGGGAAAGAGTAAATTTTACTGTATGTAAATTTTTAAAAATCAAAAAAGGAAACTAGTCAAATAGATTTTGGAAGAGCTGACCTTTTGATAACTGCTAATTTTCCAGAAATTTCTAAGAAATGTGTGTATTTTCTTTCCCAACAGGTGATGCTATGAGTGAAGAGGACATGTTTCAGGCAGCTGTGACCATGTCTTTAGAAACTGTCAGCAATAATTTCATAACAGAGGAGAAACAATAACTTACACATCTCTAAAATATTCATACTTTCCAACATTATCCTGCGTGATTGAAGCAGGGGGTCCATTTTGGTAACACGTCAAAGAGAACAATGTTCAACAGAGGAAATAAGACTTTTAGGTGGTTTGCAAAGAAAAAGATGAGAAAGTGGAAAAATGTGTCAGTTGTAGGACTAAATAATGATCCTTCAAATACTAGCCAAAGAGGCATTCAGCAATTAAAGAAATTTAAATAGCTTTTTAAAATGTTCCTTTTTTTGTTTTTGAGAGTGCAATATCTAGTATGTCTAAAATTAGGGCATCTTTCTTGGATCTTTTTGCAGACCAACTAATAAGTTCTTGCCACGGAAATTTTTCCATACATTTTGTTTTCTTCCCTTCTGTGTAGGTAATTGGGCTCACTTTCATCACCTACTAGTTGCTTCTCTTCAGTTAACAGCCTCATTAACTAAAGTGACTTTTTTAGGACAGTGTCTCTTCTCTATGTTGGTTAATAGTAATAGTTCCGGAAGGATGAGTGTTCTCCCTCCACCTGTGTATTGTGCACTTGGGTGTTTTCTCATGTCATTGTCTCTCTGATCACAATTTATCTGCTACCTGGTTTTTATTACCTTTCTACAACTCTTTCAAAAGATGGTTATCTTTCTTAAGGTTTTGCTTTTTAAGGCCTCCAAGATGAGATCATTATTTCATGATTCTGGGGCATTCCTAAACTCTGACATCAGCTCTGCACAAGTATTTAAGAGTAAATGAGCATTTCTAAAACGTGTGAGCACATCCCTCCCCACGTGCTTTACGGATGTCTTCTCAGCTGTGTCGTAACTCTCTGTCCAGCACCTTGTTGTTTCCCCTTTCCCAGCTGAGAAAAACAGAAGTGTAGTATGCAAGCAAGTTTCCTGTTGTCAGATGACAGAGAATCCCCACCATGGATGTATAATACACACAATTTGGCCTTCAATTTTAGTAGCAGATTCATTTTCTTTTTTTCTCTTGTGACTGGAGCTCTGTTCTATTTACAGCTGAGCCCTAGAGTGTAGATGCTTGCTTCTGCTGTTCATCTTCTCATAGGAACAGCTTGCCAGAGATGATGATCTGGGACATGAAAATAACTTACTAACAAAAATCTGTTTAAATTTATACTGTGATTTAACACTTGCATCATGTTTTTAAAAGCTTAAAATTATAGTAGTCACACAGTACTGAATGGGTCTGTAAATAAGGAAGTCTTTAGTTTTGATGAGCATTCTTTAATGAGGATGCAGTTTCTTGCTAGGTCAATACAATGGTATGATTTAGGTGAAAATTAACCATGTCTTTCTGAAATGGGCATTTTATCTGTCATCTATTCTGCATCCCTCATTCTCTATTCCCTTTTGAATGTTGAATTGTTCATAAGCTAAAATTTAAGTAATTTCAGCCAATGACTTAGAAAATTAAAGTATGGTATGTTGCCATACTGGTGGGTGGCAACACACATTTTATCAGGGAAATTTTTTTGATCTAGGATTTATTGCTAAGCAAAAAGATGAGAAAATGCCTTTTATTTATGATTATGATATAGCTTTTTTTTTTGGAAAGAGGCAGATTTTTTTAGTCATTATTTTGTGCCAAATGAAGTTTTCTGAAGTTTCCCTTATATAAAATTAGGCCATTTTACTTTAATACCTAGCTTTCTTTTGACAACTGAAAACGTTTCAGAAGAATTATAAAAATTTAGAACTGCAAGGGATGTTAGTGTTTTGCACTGCTCAGGATGTACAAATGAAAATAGTATTTGGCCTTTACCTTTTCCCATTGGAAATTTACATAAAACTCTTCATATACTTTAATTGATGAGCTATCTAATATAAAAATGAGCAAATATGCATAAGTTTTAACTTTAGAGCTTATAAAGTTCTTATATTACACACCCTTGTTAAAGCCTTTAAGGAAATGTGATACGTTGACCTTCATTTGTTAGGGATTTTTTTTAAAGCAAAGCTGAGCATACACTGGATACGTATGAATGTGTTTATTTCGTTTGTTGGGACATTGTTGTATTTGGAAGGCAGTTACAGAAACACTAGTACACTGCTGCCTTGTTTGGATTGGCCTAAATTTAATTGAACATTTCAACTCCACTGATTGGCCAGTATGAAAAGATGCCAGTGCTCATAACCACAATATCAGAAAATTTAAAAGTTCCACAAAGCTGCAGGTCACACATCGGAAACTGCTATTTACAATAAACCACCTCTAAGAAAGTCGGGAACAATGAAATTTATAACTGTCCTGCTAACAACTTTATATTAAGATTTCCATTCTGTTTTACTAATTGGGAACATCTTAATGTTTAACATTTAAACTCTTGGTATCATTTTCTAATGTATAATTTGTATTACCAGGATAAAATACGTATAGTGGCAATGCCAGTGTTATAAGTAAAGGTAAAACAAGCTTTAGAAATGCCACTTTCATATTTTGAGATATCATAGATTTACTAAGTAGTTTTTTATGTTTTAAAAATTCAGAATAATTTCTGATCTAAAACCATCAATATACATTTTTACAGTAATTAACTTATAAACAGTTATGTATAGTATGTTGTTTGAAATGGTTGCTGTAGGTAAACTATTTTTCAACTCTAAGATCTTGGCCAAATAATTTACAATTCACAGAATATTTAAGGAGGTGCTTTTTTTTTCTTTAAAACTTGATTTTTCTTCATTAAGACTTTATTCATGCCAAAGTTAATGAGGAAATAAGCTCAAAACTAGTTAAGAATCATGGTAGGCAAAACTATCGATGGTCTGCATTGTTTCATTTAATATTAAGTTCAGTAAAGCAAGTCACATTTTTAATGTCTGCGTGCTTAAATAGTATCATGCTAGTGCCAAGATAGACTAAATGTCTTCAGATTGGCCCATTGAACCTGTGCAGATTCAAAAAAGAATTGACTTAGTACATAAGCAAAATATAGTAACTGAAATATCTTCAGTTGAAAAATCCTGATGTTTTAAATTCTTCAGATTCAATAACTAATATTGATGAATTCCTATTAAAAACTTGACCTAAGGTTAGGGAGGCTATAACCACTACTTTCAAAGTAAATCATTGTGTCTGGGCCCTAACAAGTAGAGGGATGTTCTGTGTGTGATCTTAATTGAGAAAAATCAGATTGGATCAACTAATCATCTCAGTAGTGTAAGTAATGTTTCATATTTTCAAATAAAAACTTTCCTTCATTCCTGGTCCCTTTATAATCAGCCTCTTTTGCTAAAGAAGTTAACTGTCTTGTATTGTTTTTTAAAGTCTTACACATAAAAATATTTTTATCCCATTCTGCTTTCATGAATGAAAAGATTGACATGGTTGGTTAATTCTTAAATTTCGATTTTTTTAAAAATTTGAATAAACCTTTGCTGTTTTTATTTTTTTTCCAAAACGATCTGTCATTTTAAGAATCAGTGCTAGTAATATCACTTTTAAATGTACAGTAATTGGCATGCTAAATTAATCATGTATCAATGTTTTAAGACTATGGACTCATGGAAAGGAGTAGGGAGCAATAGTGAAATATATGTGGAAATTCCTGAATTATTGAGGAAGCACTTCGGTGGTTTATTGCATATTTCAAAGGTGAACGCTTCCAGGTGGTGTTTTTTTTTTTGGTTTTTTTTTTTTTAGTTGAATTTACTGGGTGACATTGGTTCACAAAACCATGCAGGTTTCAAGTATCTTAACTCAAAACCATCTGCACCACGCACCGTGCGCCCGTCGCCCAGAGCAAAGTCTCTATCCCGTCTCTCCATTTAGCTGGCCTTTGCCCACCTCCACCTACCCCCACCCCCTTTCCCTCTGCTAACACTACCCTGTTGTCTGTCTATGTGTTATAATACATTTTTTTTTTTTGCTTAATCCTTTCACCCTCTTTCATCCAGCCCCCCAGTCCCTCTCCCCTCTGACAGCTGTCCGTCTGGTCTATGTGTCCATGCCTCTAAAGAGGAAAACGTACATTTGAATGTGATTACCTAATTTCTACAACACTGGGTTACTAGGAATAACTTCAAAAATTACTCTTCTGTATAAATACACTATTTGAAATTCAAGTACAAAAAACACCTGAAATGAAAAGCCTTGTCTTTTGGCCATGACACAAGTGCACCGTGACAGTGCTGTTTGCTCAGGACTTGACTCCGCAGCCCCCCCGTGTGTGCGCCCCTCGCGTTCTTTTGCTGTCATTACACACAACAGGCCTCCTGTGTGGCCCTTAGGAAAGCTGGGCTTCCAAAGCACCGTTGAACACTGAGGATTCTATTGTTGATGTGGATGTTCGATAAGTTGTATTTTAAATATCAAAGATTATTAAAGATGTTTGCTTTTTTATTTTCGTTTTTTGTGGTGTTCATTGATGGCCTTGCCATTCAGAGTTTGGAGGACCAGAAGCGTTTGCAACACCGGAGAACTTTTCACAACTGCAGCATTTGGGCCACACCCCTGCCTGCTGTGAACCTGTGTCTTTAACAGAACCCCTGGAGGGCGGGGGGTTCCTGTGCAGCTGGCCAAGCGCTGTTTGAAGCCCGGGCCCAGCTAACTGCTGCCAAAGGGCTCTATATGACTGGAGCCTCTGCTCTTTTCTACGAAGCTAGGAATCCCACATTTTTATGTGAAATTAAGTTTTAAATGTTGGCTCAGTTATTTTTTGGACCCTGAGGGCCAAACCACATTTGCAACGATTTTTAAGAGTGCTAGTTTTTATTTTATCCAACTGGACACGAGAATCCAACTAATAATTGGACTCCACCTGGACCAATGGAGGATGATAGGATCCGCCAATTTTATAATGAGGGTTGTATGTCTGTTTTAGCCTTAATTAGATGATAGAGCCATGCAAGGTGCGGCGCCACCACGCCTTCCTGAGGAAGCAGCAAGCCTGATGGCTCTGCGGCGGGGGCGGCTACTGGTTTCTGGGGGACAGAGAGAAGGCCAAAGCAGCTGGCAGATGGTGACCAGAAGAGGAAATCGGGATGGACCATGTAAGGTTTTAGCAATAAAGTATGGACCATGTTTATATTTTATTATACCAAGCACTCTGGCTTCACTCTCTAGAATATTCCCAAGACTTGTTAAAAATTTTTTTAATTTTTTACTCCTCACTACATCCTCTACCAAAGAGCATGCCAGGTCCACCTCAAGTAACCACAAAAACTGGCTGAACATTTAACGCTACAGATGTTTAACATGTTAACACGCGTCAGCCTAGAATTTTAGTGAAGACTCCCACTGCCCACTTGTGCATTTTGTTTTTCTTCCTGTTAATTCTACGCAATTATTTCCATCACCATCAGACAATGGTTCCGTTTTGTTTTTTGTTTTTTTAAGATTTTATTTATTTCAGAGAGAGGGGAAGGGAGGGAGAAAGAGGGAGAGAAACATAGATGTGAGAGAATCATTAGTTGGCTGCCCCTCATGCTCCCGACTGGGGACCTGGGTCACAACCCAGGCATGTGCCCTGACTGGGAATCAAACCCATGACCTTTTGGTTCACAGGTCAGCACTCAATCCACTGAGCCACACTAGCCAGGACCAGTTTTGATACCCTAGTGTCATTTTGCTTGTTAATCCACATCATCAACTGTAGTAATTAGCAGCTGTGTTTCTCAGCCACTTCTAGTCCCGGACATTATCATATCACCTAGGAACATGTGTAATAACAACCCAGCTGTTCACTTGGCCTTCAGCCTCTCTGTTTTTGAGTCTAGCCTTCCCAAAGCTGTGTTGCCCCATCACTCCAATTACCTTTAAGTGAACCTCCATTATTGTCAACACATGTTGACAATATGTGTAAACATTGGAAGGGATGATGCCAAGTTATTATTTGCTGAAATGACTGTATGCCTAGACAACCCAAGGAAATTAACTGAAATGCTGTTGAACTAATAAGGGAGGTCATTTTACAAATATACTGATGCACAGAGAGGTTAAGTAGCCTACTCAAGGTCATACAAGCTAACCAGTGAAAGATACGTGCAGTCAGCCCCGGAGTCTGCACATCTAACCCATGGGCAAACATTTAATAAACACTTCTGCAATGAGATGCAAGTGTTCTTTTAAAATCATTTCGATTTCAAGGAGAGCTTCTATTGCCTCGTGCCATCGGATTCCTACTACTGGAGGCATTGCCACATTCCATTCACGAACAGTGCACTCTGGTAGTCCCTCCTGTGAATAACATCAAAGAGAAAAGACACCAGTACATTTAGTGTTATATCTAAAAGACCTGCAGACTTATCCTCTTCTTATCAAAGCAAAAAACGCTAGTAGTCTCTCTGGCCAGCTAATGTGTGCCCTTGTACCATTGCAGCAATAACTTGTAAATCACGTGATATTTCTTCCTTTAGGAAGGAAAGCAAGCAAAGCAGGACACTCTGGTGTGTGCAATTTGTGTAATAGCAAGTGCACCAATACTGCAGTGAGGCAGGATGGTAAGAAGTTAGGAAAATTCCTTGCCAAGCGGAATGAAGGAAACTGAGACAAGACAGTTAAAGAAGGCCAAGCAATTAACAGCCTACTAATAAATTGCAAGATCCTATCTTGCCTAACCCAGGACACTTAGGAGCAAACAGTACACACCTCTCTTCCCCAACCAGAGGGCAAGTAGCTTAAATCACCCTGGTCAGGCAGGTAGATAACAGAGACCCAGTTGATGCCATTAATGCCAGCCAAACCACAGAACGGATGAAGTCGGGAGAATAACAATAACCAAAATACCGATTTGAGCCAGACAAATCCAAGATGAAAGTGAAGCAGTGAAGCTGACCAGAGAATGATCCCAACTCCCCTATAAGCTCATTTTGATATATCAACATATTAAAGGACACACCTGGAAAGCTGTTGAATATTCTGTCGAGACCTTCCCCTGAGAACTCCCCTAAAACTCCTGCTTTTAGAAAACAGGTAAGGTCCCTCCGGACAAGGACCCGGCATCTGCTCTCAGGCACACCCGTGCCCCGCTGTCCTCAGGCGTACTTTTTTTGCTCTCTTTCCTCTAAGCTCTATGAGGCTCCATGAGACTTGCAACCAGGTGAGCAGCGGGCAGCATCACTTTGTCCCAGGCTAATCTCATGAACTGTCTTCAAAGGCCTTCCTTTTGTCGAAATTCCTTTCCTGAGTCCACACAGCCCAAAGGGGCTCACTTCTGCAAGTGTAACTGGTTTCCTGAGTCCCTGAAGCCCAGCCTGGCTCACTTCTGTTACCCTGACTTCCATTCCTGAGCCTAGGCAGCCCAGTCTAGGATCACTCCTGTTGCTGTGATCTTGCTTCTTCCACCTTAAGTCTTTCCTTTGTTTAACTGTCCCCAGGTTTAGTAAGTGAACTCTCAAAATCACCTGGACTCATGTTATGAAATCATGCCTACACAAAGTCAAGAACCCACACACTTCAGCCCATGCTAGGACAGACCCGCCTCAGCCCTGGTCCCCTTTTCGTGTGACAACAGAGGAGTTTCCATTAGAACAGTGTTTCTTCCATATTGTTGTCACGCTGTCCTCTAACGAATTATTGGGGGAAAAGGTGGTCTGTGTTTTGAATTTCATTGGTTAAGCCAGCTTCATGAATAAAGGTCTTCGTATATTTAGGAAGGCAGGGTTTCAACCCTGAGCTGGAAAGCCACCAGAGAAAATTTCTACTATAAAAGGTAATCCATATGGGTGTGTTTCCTGTCTGGACGCTTGAATTTGCAATCCATCCTTTCTGTGTATCCGCAGCAACTACTGTGAGCCGGCCCAGAGCAGAGCAGCCCTCCAGAGGGTGTCCAATAATGGATACAGTAACCTGTGATACGTGCTTCCCGTAGGGTGCAACGACCCCGCCTTGTCCCCTCGCACCACTGCCACCGCAGGTGTCAGAATTAAAACACTCAGGTCTCACCAACACAGTAAGTCCACGGGGTTCCCGAGCCACGCCGGCTTCGGGGACGCACCCACCGAGGCTCGGCTTTGCCTGAAACACAACTGATGCTTGCCGACAACGTCCCTAGGCCGCGGACTCCTGCGGCTAGTCCGCCGCCCTTACCTGCGGACAGCGGCCCCTGCCGAGTGCACTCGGTCCGCCGCGATCCCACGCTCCCTTGCGCCAAGGACACGTCCGTCGGCTCCGCGAGGCCCTTCTACACCACCGCGGCGCCTCTCTATGATCCGTTGCCGCGTTGCGAGTGGGTGTCATGGCGGCCGGCGTCGAGTTGGCAGTAGTTGCCCACGGAACTGGGGAAAGTCACTAAACCAGAGGAAGAAGTGGCCCAACCCGGACGGTGGGAAGTCGTGGGAATGAGCAGAGGCCCCGCGGGGGTGACCGTGTGACAGGAGGCGGGCCCCTGGTAAAGTCTCAGGCCGGGCCTCTGCGCTTCTATGCAGAGCCGGACGTTGGTGGGAGCCCCCGCGAAGCCGGCGTTGCCTAGGAACCCCTCATTGTGTTATCGAACCTTGAGTGTTTAGATTTTGGAGCGAAGGCAACCCTTCGAGGACATTTGGCGGGGTCGTCCGACGGTGCTGGTCGCTTTTCGCGGAGCGGACCAAGTCGTTTCTCTAACCCGCAGCGATGTCGTCCTGGTTTGGGAGCCTCGGCTCCGGCTTGGGCCAAGTAGGGGGCAGCCTGGCTTCCCTTACTGGCCAGATTTCAAACTTTACCAAGGATATGCTGATGGAAGGCACGGAGGAAGTAGAAGGTAACAGCTGGAGCGATGGGGGAGGGCTTTTCTGGGACCCTGGGAGCGTCCGTTTGGTCCCCGCTTCCATCCGTCAGGAGACGTGGACGGGTCGCAGAGGAGTGTCACTCCGCCTTTTTTTCCTTACACTTCTTTCGCCTCTTCCTCACCGGTTTGCTCTGATGAGAGACCACGGGCGCCCGAGGAAGAGTCCTAGTTCTCCCTGTAAATACTCTACATCTCTCCGAGCTGAGTGAAACTGCTCCGACGTGGAGTCGAGTTTATTTTTGTTTGATTCCTCCACGCCCACCGCTTACTTTGCCCTGAACTTGGGGGCGGAACTTATTTTGATACTCCGGTTATACGGGCAGTTAAAAAAAGTGATTCGTGTATGACAAATGGTCACTTTCTTCTGCGATTTACGTAACAATTGCAGTAACTCATGAGTTATTTAGTATCGTTTACCCTGTCCGACTTGAATATACTGTTAAACATTACCTATGTTTAAAAATATTTTTGCTTACACTGGTGACATAGCGTTCCAACTGAAAATGTATTTTTCTGCCAAATTGCCCATTGACCAAGTAGAACAAGGGAGATAACTTTATTCTTGGGTATCCTTAGCAACCCTTCGCTCATTTTTGAAGTCCTCATTTTGTTTTACTAATAAATAGCGACTCACAGTTACATGGTAATCGATAGTTAAGTTAGTTACTATTTGATTTCCTGGTATTTCTTTCAGCAAGTAATATTTAGGTCAAAAGAGGTCTTTCATTTCGATCTAGATCTGCCTCCAGAGAAGGAATGGGCTGGCTTTTGGATGAGAGCAGTGCCTTTGATGGTTTTATTCTTTATACATTAATAAATTAGCATTCTGGTTTAATTTTTTAAATCCTGATTGACCTGAACCTTCATGTTTATTTGGCTGAAGTAAAGTTAGTTAGATATTCAAAGATGGTATTTATACTTAGAATTTCCGTGGGGTCTGTTGAGAGGGGAGGACAATTGGGAAGCTGCCTCAATCCATTTTACTGCTTGGGGCACCCCTGGGTGGGAGGCAGCTCAGGTGGGGCAGGTTGGGAATGGGAGTGAAAGGGTCCTTCCTGAGTTCAGGCAGGAAAGGGCCATGTGTCCTTGAGGGCAGTCAGAGCAGAGAAGGGCTGGGTGACCCAGCAAGTGACCCGTCTTCCCTCGACTGCTGCGGAGGGGAGCACAGCTGCCAGTTCCCTTGACCCTGAACAAGAACATACACGTCCACCCAACCTGGATGGCCCGCAGGCTGCAGGTGGAATGCCCTTTCTCCTTCCACCAAGTATGTTCCTGTGTTCTCAGTCCTAATGGTTTCACCACCTACCCAGTCTCTGAAAGTAGAAATCTTTGTCATCTTTGCTTTGCCTCATTTTCATCTCTTCCGGGCAGTCATCAAATCTTGTTCACCCTGTGCCAGAATTGCGTCTTTTATTTGTGCTTTCCTTTATTACTCCTATGTCTTTAGTTCATAGCCACATAATTTGTCCCATGCGCTATTTCTCTGTCACATCCTGGCATCCATTTCTCCCTACTTCACTCCGTTTGCTGTTGTGTTGCTAGTTACTCTTCTAAAAAGGAATGTGCTTTAAAATCTCTTGACCCTGTCACTTACGGGATAAAACTCAAACCTCTTGGTTTGGGAGACCAAAAACCTAGCCTGTCTCGGTTCAACCCACCTTTTCCTGTCTTACCTCTTGTTCCCTCCCCTTCTCTTCCAGTTGCCAAACGTGTGCACACAACATACACATGCATGCTTGCACCCAGAGCTTGTGCCACATGGAGCTTTGTGTACCCACACAACTTAAAACCTCTGCATGGGAAGCCCTTCCTTTACTACTTCTTCCTCTGTCCTTCTTTGCCTAGAAAGTAATTTTTCCTGTATACCCTGCTCATGTGTCAGGTAGCTAGTGAAACCATTCTCACTCTACGGCAGGTTGAATTGATTGCAGGAGATCTGTGTTCTAACACAACTTCGGGGATCTCTCTCTGACAGCACTTGCTGAGTTATAATTTATCTCTTTCCTTGCTTGATATCCAAGGTAGGGACTGTATTTTATTTATCTTTATGTGACCAGTATGTGGCATCTCTCCCAGTACATAGTAGGTGCTCAGTAAAAATTTCGCTCTGTTATTAAAAATCTGCGAAGTTGCTTAGTGCTTTTGTTTTTCTTTGTATTTTTTAACACCTAATTTATTGATTCTGTAAATCATTTAAAAATAGGGTCAGAGTACTGTTCATTTATTCATGCAACAAGTATTTATTGAGTGTTCATTCTTTATCACCAGTGAACAAGATAATAGTTCCAAGATAGCACTGTTGGTACAGCTATTTACATATTTACAATATCAGAAAGTTGCTATTCTACCAGACACTGTGCTGATTTATTCAAGGTTAGGAGCTTGGGATTTTAAGTCAGATATGGGTTGAAATTCTAATTCCATGCATTAAAAATTGTGGGATCTTTGGCCAGTTATTAAATACTTAACCTCTAAAAGGCAAGGTTTCCTTATCTGTTAAATAGGGATAATCATACCTATGATGAGGTTGGGAGGAGTAAATAAAATCATGCCTCACACTGTGTCTAGAAGATAGTAAGCATTAATAAACGGTAGCTGTTGTTTTTGTTTTCTTTCATGGAGGAATAATTTTTTGTTTTGTATAACATCTCCCCTTTATTCTTAAAAAGACCAGGGTTTTTGGGGCAGAGGATGAAAGAGGGAGATCTACATTAACCATTTTTATCCCTCTTTGAAACAATTGCTGCTTCTATAATTACCTTCCTAAACAGATTAGATTGTAATTTGTTCTCTTCTGAGTAGCAATTAGACAGTCTGTCAGAGTCTTAAGCAAGAGGTATAAACAACCACAGAAGCAACCCCACCTGGTGATTTTCAAAACAAGAAGAGTGGGTTTGTCACTTTTATTAAATGCCAGTTGTATTTTCTTTCGATTTAAACTGTAATTCAGAGAACTTATTTTTATAGTATTAAAGTGTGATGAGTAATGAAAAAATACTAGTACTAAAAAAAAACCTAATTGGTGGATGATGATTTTTCTGGCAACATCAGTGGTGCCTTTTTGCCACTTCTGGCTTCTGGTTCTTCTTCTAAATGAAAACATACAAAACCAGACTGAGTTATTCCCATTTTAAATAAATTTTGTCTATGTTACTTGAAGTAAGTTTTCTTTAGTGTGTTTTCATTCTTTGCCTATAGGTTACTAATTATTTGACAGTACTGGGAGCAGAAGACGTTAGAAGTAAGGCCTTAAACCCAAGTTGCATAAATTTCATCTAAACAGATTTAATTTGTAAAACTCAATTTCCCAAATTTTAATGAACTCTTCCAAAGGATAAAGACAGACATGCTAAGGTGTGGAAGATAGACAAAAAGAATGCCTTTATGACAACAGAATATTTGTGTCAGTAGAAAGTTGTGATAAGATTAAGTGATACTTATCTTCCAAATATGTTCGCACATCAGCATGCCATTCTATTTAAAAAGCTCAATGAAATATATTTCCCTTAAAATGTCTGTTTATTAATTTACATGGTGTTGATCAAATATTCAATATGTGCTGCTATTTCTTTTGTAGCAGAATTACCTAATTCTATGAGAAAGGAAATTGAAGCCACTATTACAATCTTGAGATCGGAGGTAAGGAACTATTATGTCGGAGGTAAAGACTTGTTAAATTAGATTTTTCTTTTTCTAAGCCATGAAAGTTACTTATGCTCTATTTCCATCTTCTCTATTTAATGCACTGCTTACCACTCTTTATCTCTTGCTCTTCATCTAAATTTTTTTTAAGCATTATCATCTTCCTTTAGATGAAGGATATATTTAGATGTTGCTGCATATCGCTATTTAATAGTCCCATTTCTGCCTCTATATGCTAGAAGAAAACTGCCAAATGCAGACATAATAGTGGCAACAATTTATCATTGTCAAAGATTTACTATGTTTTAAAAAGTGTTGCAAAATTGCAGTACTACCTTTGTTTAATGTGAAGAATGCAGTTCTGTTTTAGAGCTTTTAATCCCCTAACATTAAAACAGTGCAATATTTATATACAAAGAAGTTAATAATATAGGAATAGCAAATTAATTTTATCAACTTTTTCATTATTAGTCAGTGCCTCACGGGACTGGTTTTGGACATTGTGCTTAATAGGGATGAGGAAAACTTGGAAAGGGTTCAGAGGAAAGTCATAAAGAACAAGAAAGGATTTAAAGTGGCATCCATTGTAAAGTACTAGACATTTAGCAATTTAGTCTTCAGGTAAGAGCAGTGAGGGAACACTTGATAGTATTTCAGCAAAAGATATTCTTAGAGGACTGTGGTATGCACGTTTTCCTGTCTGTTAAGCCCATAAAAAGAGAAAATTGAATTTAAATGTAAGAAAATATTTACTTACAAGAAGCATTTTAAAACTCTGGTCTAGATTACCAAGGTAAGATTGTGGAATTTGAAAGTAGAGGGACCTCTCAAGAGGAATTACAGTAATATTCTGCCTTCATAGAGGATGGCAGTTTGGTGTCACTTAAAAGACCTTGGCTGTAATTACCTGATAAATAGGTGCTTCAGTGACAGATGAACTTAATAGCTTCTTTTCTTTGTAAGGCCGAGATAGGAAATTGTTCCTGTAGTCCCTGGAGAAATCTTTACTACAGGCCCACTGAGAAGAATTATGTCAGAGCTATGTGTAGTGGCATTAATTTAGGTAAATTTGCCAGTGTACCTCTCGGGGGTGGGAAGTAAATAGGGTTAACCTGCTTAATGAGGGTCTGCTCTGTATTGAGCTTGAAAAGGGCAAGAAAAACCTTCTGTCCTTCTGTGATCTCATGTCTGATGTCTCACAGGGCTATCATTGGACTGCATGGCAAATACAATTCCAGTGTTTAGAAATACATCTTTTCAGTATAACACATCCCCAGATGAAAGCCAACTTCCTCATTTGGTGCTTATTCAGAATAATGTGAGCTACTCAATTACTTGAGGGAAAAAAGACTATTGGACTTCCCAAGGGCTTTATTTTGTAAGGTGATTTAGACTATACGTGATTCTTGCCATAAGTCAGCACATCAGCGTTTCACACCCTAAGCCTTTGTGTGACAGTGCAATGAGAGATTAAGGTGAAGGTATGATGGAAGCAGTCGGGAAGTTTACAATATAACATTCTACTTCGAAACTTTTAGGATAGACAGAGGGTACTGTGTTTTCCACAGGAAATTAGATTTGCACAAAGATGTTAATATTTGAAGGTGACTAAATTAATTGGATCTCTTTAGTTGCAATAACAGCAACCAATCTAAGCACATTTAATCCTATATACCAAGAAAAATAGTTATTATAGGTACCCTCTGAATCCAATGGGTTCTTAATTTTTTTTATGTTAAATCATTTACAAATAATTTATAGCAGCAAGAATAAAGTCATAGTGAAAAACTTATTCAAGTCGTAGACAGTTTAATAAGAACTTACATATAGCAAATCCAAATCTTTATTCTGTATGTTTCTGGTTTTAAAAACATATACTCAAAATAGGCAAGTTTCCTTTAATGCAGTTTACTGTTTATTAATTCTCATGCATGAACTGGGGTGTATCTTACCTTGTAAATACTGATTCTAGATTAACTTACATCTTTAATAGATTTTAGCTTATCATTACTTCCTGTTCCTTTTCTTTACTTGTGTCATTAAACCCAATACTTTTGAAAGCTTTAATAGCTTATGATTTTGTTGAAGAGGCTTGTCACCAAATGACAATAGCTTTTGTCGAAAGCTGTTTTTGATAAAAATAGTTATTTTGTCCTCTTTGCTGCATGATTACAAAGCATGTTTACTCTTAGATTTATAAACACCAACTTAAATGATCAGTCCTCTGATTTGTTTTCATTTTTATGTCATCTCTTTCCTCCCAGTCACGTGTCTTCAGCATTTGTCCAGGCATGAACTATATCAAGTAACTACTCAGACATTCGTAATGGAAGGGCACTGTCACATACCCATTTAGCACCGTGGAGATGGTTCAGGTCCTTGTCAAAAAAACGTTGTGAGATAAAATCTTTTTTGTTGATGTGAACACTGTATTTCCTTTTCGTTCTTAGGAACATATTGTGCCCTCTTCAAGTCTTGAGTTCGAGAAAATTTACCTAGGATATTGCTATTTGAAGACTTGTTGGAGATTTTGCTTCTAAACTCAGTTTTATTGTAACCTTTAGACTCTAGAATGCTGTTTTCTGTCTCTTCACATTGATCTTCTTAGTTGTGTAATAATTGATTAATATTTTTCTGTTTTCTTCTCTTTGTTGAAAATTGAAGAATCTGAATTTTCAGTTGTGTTCGATGAGGCAAAAAAACAAAAACAAAAAAAAAACAAACCCTACAAAGATGATATCTCCAGAGAGCCTTTATCGTTTTAAAAAGGTGAAAGATTCATATGGTCTGGAGAGAAACCAGAGAAGAGTTATGAGTATCAGTCCCTTTAGATAGTTAGGGCTACTCAACAAAGAAACTCAGAAGCTAAAATGGTTCCAGTAGGTCTGGATGGTATACCAGGGGTCTGGCAGGATGGGATCATTTAAGGATATGGGTATCTCGTGCATTCCAAGTGCAGGAATTGTAGCCAGTTTTTAGGAAGGGGCTGCAACCAGAGCTGGAGCCCCTCAGGAATCTTCCTCTCTCATTATTGCTGCTCCCTGTTCTTTGTGTAAGTTTATTCTTTTCTCCTGTCAAGACTAGCCCCCTCGCTTCATATTCTACATAATAGAAAACGGCCATGACAGCTCCTGGTGTTTTTGTCAGTCAGCCACATGAAAAGAATCTGTCCTTCATGTGCTTGGTCAGCCTTTCTGACTCTCAGGGCCAAGGAGATGGGGCGGGGGGGGGGGGGGACAACTAACTAGGAATTGGCAAATTGAAAGTCTTTGAGTTCTAGTTACTAATTATAGTTAAACAAATAGACTTAGGTATTTTATTTAAAAAGCCTAGAGTGGATTCTTATGACTAGGTTTTGACTTCACTATATTGCCTCACTTCAGTTATGCATAGTGCTTTTCTTAATAGAAAATCATGTAAAAGCAGCCAATAGAATAGAAAGTAATTAGTTGTGTGAACATTGGTTCTGTTTCTTATTAATATTTCTTCAAGATAACCAAGATCCGTGTTAGATTTCTGAAGATAGGCTCCCAAACTAGGATTTGTGTATGTTGTAATTTTTCCATTAATTTAGTCCACTGATTTTATCTAGGAATTCATATAATCTTCCTGGATCATAATTTTCACGTCTATCAATATAAAAAATTCCTGGAATTTTAAGAGGAAAACATAGATCTTCTAGCAGCAGCTTCCTTTCCCACCATCAGGCTCCTTACTTATTCTGAGTTATAATTATTTGACTGTGTTGGTATATACATTGTATTGGCAGAATTCTTAATAAATTATTATTCATAATAATGTATAAATTCCTTTTTGCAGAAAGTTTTAGTGTCCATTTCACTTGTTCCATTATGTACTATTTACTCATTCAAGTTTCAGAGAATGATAATAAGTTAAGGTAATTTTATATTTATGTACATAAATCATAAGTTTTTTTTCACATATGTCAACATCTTTAAACAAAGGTCTGTGATACCTAGATTCATTAAAGTACTCTTAGAATGTTTTGTGTACTTTTAACTGTAGTTTTCAAACCAAATTGTTTACACACTGGATTTTTTGGAGATACCTCAGGAGCCCCTGTGGATCAGGCTGACAAATGATGTGAGGCTTTGGCTTTCTGTCTGAACTTTAGCCAAAAGTTTTTTAAAAACTAATTCTTTTAAAAAGTTCTGTTTGGAGAGAAAACAAAAGTTTAAACATGTAATTGAGTTAATACCAGACAATAACTACCTGCTAAATGCTAGACACTGAGTATCGATAATGGGGAACATTGATCAGTGGCTTTTTCTCAGCAAACAGTCAAAGTGAGTTTTTTTTTTAACTTTCATTCAGAACTATACATGATCTCTATAAACACACTTATTGCACTAGTAACTCTACTGAAAAATGTATTTTAAGAATTCTGTGAGACCTATATATTACATCTTCTTTTTTGTATGAAACAATGTGTTTCATAATGCCATGCATATAACTGTGATATGTTTTACTTTTTAGTCCTTTTGTTGAAAATACTTTTTGCTTTGCTTCTAGAATGAAAGACTTAAGAAACTTTGTGCTGATCTAGAAGAGAAGCTTGAAGCTTCAGAACTTCAAATAAAACATCAATCTACAAGTTATCGAAATCAGCTACAGCAAAAAGAGGTAAAGGCTGTTACAGTCACTCCATGCTTATTTCATTCTAAGGTATTAAGCAAGTTTGTTCAGAGTTATAATAGAAATCAAGCTTTATTTAGGCTTTGGCCTCAGTGAAGACATAGGTAGATGCGCTTCACTTCCTCACACAACCAAAAGAAGTGTAACAACCAATTTAAAAACAGAAACAACCAGAACTGCCAGAAAATCAAATTGTATGGAAGCCCAACAACTGAGGAGTTAAAGAAGAAACATTCATCCAGACGAGGAGGAGGGGTAGAGATGGGCAGGGGTGGAAAGGACGCGGGGCAAGGCAGTGGCTGGTGGATCAGGCAGGCAAGGTGGTGGCTATGGCGGCTGGCAGACTAAGTGGTCCCACTTAGCGTGCGGATAAACCAGGAGGAGCAACTGGGGACCAAAACAGACTACGCAACCCAGGGTTCTAGTGCTGGGAAAATAAAGTTTCAGAACCTATGGCTGTAAAAGCCTGTGGGCGTTGTGGCAGTGGGAGAAACTGATGGTCTCACAGGAGAGTCCGTTGGAGGGGCCCACGGGGTCCTAGAATGTACACAAGCCTGGGAACCAACACCAGAAGGGCCCAATTCACTTGTGGGTAGTGGGGGAAGTGACTGAAAGCGGGGCAAGAGCGAAGGAAGTGGCATTGTTCCCCCTCTGACCCCTCCCCCACATACTGACCACTGCCCCGTCCTGGCGAATACCTAAGGCTCCGCCCCTTACAACGAACAGATGCACCAAGACAAAGAAATATGGCTCAAATTAAAGAATAGATACAGACTCCAGTGACAAGGAGTTGGCCAACCTGTCTGATGCAGAATTCAAAACATTGGTAATCAGGATGCTCACAGAAAATGATTGAGTATGGCCGCAAAATAAAGGAAGAAGTGAAGGCTATACAAAGTGAAATAAAGAAAAATATACAGGGAACCAACAGTGAAGGGAAGTAAACTGCGACTCAAATCAACCATTTGGAACAGAAGGAAGAAATAAACATTCAACCAGAACAGAGTGAAGAAACAGGAATTCAAAAAAATAAGGAGATGCCTGGGAACCTGTGGCATAACATTAAATGGTCCAACATCCGAATCATAGTGGTGCCAGAAGAGAAGAGGAAGAACAAGAAATTGAAAACTTACTTGAAAAACTAATGAAAGAAAGATTCCTCAATCTGGTGAAGGAAATAGACATATAAGTCCAGGAATTTCAGAGAGTCCCAAATAAGTTGGACCCAAAGAGGAACACACCAAGTCACATCATAGTTAAGTTATCCAAGATTAAAGATAAGGAGAGAATCTTAAAAGCAACAAGAGAAAAGGAGAGTTACTTACAAAGGAGCTCCCATAAGATTATCAGCTGATTTTTCAAAAGAAATCTTTCAGGCAAAATATAAGAGGCTGGAAAGAAGTATTGTAAGTCATGAAAAGCAAGGACATACATCCAAGATTACTCTATCCAGCAAAACTCATTTAGAATGGAAGGGCAGATAACATGCTTCCCAGATAAGATCAAGTTAAAGGAGTTCATCATCACCAAGCCCTTATATGAAATGTTAACAGGATTTATCTAAGAAAAAGAAGATCAAAACTATGAACAGAACAGTAAAATGACAGCTCACAACTATGGACAGCTGAACCTAAAAGCAAAAACAAACTATGTGAACAACTAGAACAGGAACAGAATCACAGAAATGGAGATCACATGGAGGATTAGCAGCAGGGAGAGGGGGGAGAATGAGGGGGAAATTGTGGGGAATAAGAAGCATAAATGGTAGGTACAAAATAAACAGGGGAGGTTAAGAATAGTATAGGAAATGGAGAAGCCAAAGAACTTATAGGTATGACCCATGGACATGAAGTAAGAGGTGGGGGGTGGGAATGCTGGAAGGAAGTAGGGTACAAGGTGGAGGGGGATAAAGGGGAGAAAAAAATGGGGCAACTGTAATAACAATAAAATATACTTAAGGAAAAAAACAAGGTTTATTTAGATCCATAAAATATTGAAAGGGTGTTGAAAGTTAATAATTACCAATGCAGTTTGATATCACTAATTTAACAAGAACTCTAAACATTATGTAACATAATGTTTATGTTACATAAACTGACCTTTATGGAATAATTTCTGTTTCCCAGAAGAAGTCTTTGTATAAAATACCTTTAGGCATCTGTTGCTTACAGTTTCTCATTTTATGAAACCTGATTTCTCATCTATTTACCTAAAATTGTCTGAAATCAGTATGATCACTGCTGATGGTAACTGCAAGTGTTAAAATATGCTGAATTGGCATTTACTTGATTTACTTGATTTTCCATGGATAAACAGAATGTTGAGTGTTTTATAGTTTACTTATACTGTTCTATACATTTTTTCCATTTAATAGAAATATTATTTTGGATTTGGCTTACCTTTCCTTTCCAGTGCCACTAATAGATATAATACAATATAACCAATGTTACCATGATTACTGAAAATATAGACTATATATATATCTATGTTGCATTCTGTTGTTGAATTCTCTTTAATGTTCATTACATAACCGGAATTTAGTAAACACTTCTATTGGATTGAACCATTTCTTGTTTCATTATCCAGATCATTTGGGTGTTCTTCATTTTGTTAATTAAATGTTCATTTCTATCATAAATTCATAATTAGGTTATTAAAATTTAGATGCACTGATTTTTAGTTCCTTTAGTGACATATTTAGATGAAAAATTAAAGCAAACCATGTTAAAGATAAACATTTAAAGAGCTTAATTTCAAATCTGTTGAGAATTTCATAAAGTAAAATGAATTACTGCAAAAAATGAATGTAAAAAAGCAAAACTACAAGTTCCAATTAAAGTTAAAAGCCCGCCTTTTTATTTTTAAGACTCTACAGGTGTGAAATTACTCTGTAAAATTGCTTTAAAACTCTTTAAGCCTCACTCTTCCAGCTTCTGTGCCTTTCATGGACGGGGAGCAAACATTCTTGGCATCAGTCCAGCGGCCCCCCTGAGCAGAACAGACTGACAGCTGTCACAACAGGGCAGTCGTTCCCACCAGGGGTCTACAGCTGAATCATGTGGCACTTCAAAAACCCATACATGCTTGTCTTTTCCAGGAGATTCTGATTTATCTTACTGGGAAAGGGTTCTGGTATTGGTGTTTTTTGAAAATTCCATTGGTGATTCTGATGCTTACATCCTAATTGAAAGCAGTGCGGTGGAAAACATTGGCATGTTATATTCTACTTAACTATTGATATTAGAAGGCAAATTGAGCATTCAAGCCTAGAAATGCCTCTTTATTACTAAAGCTTACACTTTGTAACTCTGCAGCTTGATATAAATGTCTACTGTGTAATAAGAACTTTCTTTGTATTACAGCGACCTTTGGAGAAAAATTGTGGATTTTGGTACTTTTATTACAATGAAAGATAAAATAAGAATATACTTAGCAGAATCTTTAGCTCTGCTATTTTCTGAGTGTATTTGCTGTCCTCGTTGTGATGTTCATATTCCCTAAAGATGCGGTTTACCTCACAGCATTTATAGGAAGTGAATGAAATTTCTGTATTACTATCAACCTCCATTAGAGAAGGCACTCTGATGTGAAAAAACTTGTCCGTTATGACATTTAACAGAGTTATGTTTGGTTTTTGTCTAGTTGCTTGACATTACACGTGTAGAAATACTATATTATATTACTTGTCGGCTTGTCTCTTCAAGTATCCAATTTTCCCTCTTGGTGAGGGTATCTTCTGGACTAGCCCGAATATTTCACAAAGCTTCAATCAGGTCTCTCTAGCTTATGTCTATGTTTTGTCTCAGAATGTATGTGACATTATGATTAAGTCCTATGTTCGTAACTTCTTTTGGGCAATGAGTTGTCAGAATTGTGCTTGGGGTTTGAGAATGTTTATACTGTTCTCTCCCTGAGTAAAGTCAAATTCTCACTGGCCCCTCTTTGCCAAGGTTAAAGTCAAGGCCTGTTTCTTTCTTTCTCTCTCTTTTTTTTTCATTTAATTTCTTTTAGAGAGAAGGGAAGGGAGGGAGAAAGAGAGGAAGAGAAACATCGATTGATTGCCTCTCATACACCCCCAACCAGGGACCTCGCCTGCAACCCAGACATGTGCCCTTACTGGGAATCAGACCAGCGACCTTTCAGTTTGCAGGCTGGCGCTCAACCCACAGGGCCACATCAGCCAGGGCCAAGGCCTCTTTCAATGCATGATTTCCTTATAAGATTCATAACCATAGGTCACTGTGTTATTTACCTGGATTAATAAATCAAAGCCTCCTTCTAGCTGTGCTATACAGACCACTACAAAGTTACTCAGGATTCATGTATATTTTAATCCTCAATCCAGCCGTAATTAGTTACTTAAGACCCTTCCAACAGACGTTCTCAAGAAACTTTCCAATGCATAAGCTAACTCAGCTTTCACTTTATCTTCATTTTGAGGTTCAATAATCACAAACAGAACTCTGAGGAATTGCCTATCCTACGTGATACATAGAAGATAGTAAACCCGTGTTTAACGAGAAGTTCATTGCTTTAGTTACCCATGAGTGAACTTCTGATATTCATGCTATTCAAAACATTATCTATACTTTATCTATGGTAATTCCGTTTTTTTTTAAACAAAAATGTTATGGTTGACATGTTATACAATAGGAGATTTGGATTCAGTTGATAGAGCACCATTGGAAAGAATTAACATTGGATAATGTTAGGTGAATTATAACTTAATAAAACTTAATAAAATGTTTATTTTAAAGTGCCTTCTCTAAAATATGGGTTATAATTATGTAGGTAGAAATCAGCCATCTTAAAGCAAGACAGATTGCACTGCAGGATCAATTGCAGAAGTTGCACTCAGCTGCCCAGTCCGTAAAACCAGGAGCAGGCAGTGTACCAACAACCCCAGCGTCTTCATTCGGCTACGGTATCAGTCACCATGCTTCAGCTTTCCATGACGATGGCATGGACCTTGGTGACATAATTTCATCACAGCAAGAAATAAACAGACTGTCAAATGAAATTTCAAGACTTGAATCTGAAGTTGGACATTGGAGGCATATTGCTCAGGTAGGTAAACTTTTCATGAATTCTTGGAAATAGTGAAAATCCTGGTGCTCTGCTGTGTGTAGGGCTTTTGGTGTTAGAGAGAACTCTGGGTTAGGAAACTGAAGCCTGTTTTCTAATTCTGCCAGTAACTTTCAACTTTCTAAGTGATTTTAATCAGGTCGTCTTTCTCAGCCTCAGTTACCCCTTCTGTACAATATTTAAAAGAAATTTTCAAAATAAAAAATGAAGTTGCTATGGTTGAACCAGCACCTTCTCCCCCTGGAGTTCGTAAGACTTCACTGGTGGAAAGCAGGGCTCCAAGGCATGCGATGTGAAACCACTCTCAGATATTGTCTGAGGTGCCTGTTTGCAGTAGTTATATGTAAAATGAAAATCTGATCATTGGTATTACAAATTTGTGAAACTATTTTATGTTGTTTCTTATGCATTAGAAATTAAATCCTTGATATTTCGTTTTATATATGCTACTTAGGTTGTCAATAGACATAAGATTCAAAATAAATTGGGACAGTGTTTGGATTTAATTTCATTAGTGTAGAGAAAAATAAAGTATATAAGTAAAGAGATTATTTTTTATCTTTTGTGAGCATAATCTAATTGTGTAAAGAAGAAATTGTCCCAATTAAAATGACCTCCTTGCATCCCAAGTGGCTAGACATTCCTGTACCCAAAATAAATCAAGAGAGCCCTTGCCAGGTGGCTCAGGTGGTTGGAGCGTTGTTCCGCACACCAAAAGTTGTGGGTTCTGTTTTCTCTCAGGGCGCAGCACTAGGCTGAGAGTTCAGTCCCCAGTTGGGGCGTGCACAGGAAGGGGCTGATAAGGTCCCTCTTACATCACCGTCTCTCTCCCCATCTCTCCCCTCCTCTCCCTTCCTCTCCCTTCCTCTCTTTCTGAAATCAATAAAAAACGTGTCCTCGGGTGAGGATAAAAAAATAATGAATAAATAAATCTAAAGAGAATGATCTGTCTGCCCATCTTATCTCTAAAAAAGTAATTGTTCTTAAACTTTGTATGTGTAAGAATAAACTGGGGAACTTGGTAATATTGAAGATTCCCTTTCCTTCCTTCAGAGATTAGGATTTTTTAGCCTATTTTGGGTCATTGGGAACTGTATTTGCACAAATAAACACCCTAGGTGATTCTGAATAGGAGTACATTTTAAGAAACAGCTTAAGGTAAGATTTCGTAAGGAAGAGGTGAACTTTGAATACCTACTATATGCCAGACCTGTACTGGGAAAGCACAAATGGGACCTTTCAGGGAACTTCATTTACTAGCAAGGCATAATAAAAGTTTATGTTATACTTTAGAAGATGTTTTCATATATATTATTCCAATATATGTTATATTATCCTTAGTAGGTATGTAAAGTATTTATTATTTCTGTTTGCAGATGAGCAAGTTGAGAGTTTAAATAATACACCCATGATCACAGTGATTAAGTTGCTATTCAAACACATATATTTTGACTCCATAGCCTATGTTCTTTCTGTTATACTGTGTTCCCTCTTTCATCCAGAGAGTCGTTTTTTGGTTCCTCATCACACTATATAGTAAATGTTGACAGAGGTAAATGAACAACATACAGTTTTGAATGAGAAGAGAAGAATCCAAAAGTCCTTTTATTTATTTGTCAAAGCAAAGGTTATTCTATATTCGCATACAGAACTCCTGGGTAAAACCATTTTTAAAAGATTTTTACTGTTAATATCATTAATATTGGGTAACTTTTGATTTTAGAAATACCTTTTAGGAAGCTGCTTGACTGTTATCAAATATACATTTTGTTAAGTAAAATATTCTGTGGTGCTTTCCTCCTTATTTTGTAAAAATGTTAACATACTCTTAAATGGCATTTTTTTTAAAGAGTTTATTTATTCTTAGAGAGAGGGGAGGGAGAAAGAGAAGGAGAGAAACATTGACGGGTTGCCTGTTACACATGCTCCTACTGGGGACTGAACCCATAGCCCAGACATGTGTCCTGACCGGGAATTGGACTGGCAAACTTTCGCTTTGTGGAATGACCCCCAACCAACTGAGCCACACCCGTCAGAGCTTGAATGGTATCTTTTATTTATTATGTAATGCTCACTATTGGACTTAGTTTCTGAAGAGGTGCTTGGCATTTTTTAATCAGAATTTGTCTAGGAAATGCCCTATTTTTGAAAAGTATCTTTTAATAAAGTTAGTCTGTGACTGTCTTTTTTAGAACAAAATCAATATAATTTTCTAATTGTTTTTCTGATCTAGATTTCTAAATCACAAGGATCAAGTAGCTCCGATCAAAGTGAAATATGCAAACTGCAAAATATTATTAAGGTAAGGCAGACTGTTGGAACAATGGCTATTCTACATTTAAAATTTACTTATGAAAACTATAAGCCTAAATTAAACAAAATCTCAGTTATAAAAGTAAATACATTATGATATTCATTTCTTTTTGCTGTTTTGTATCATTTTTTATTCTTTATGACAACTAAGGTATATAAATAAAATATATCTCTCCAAAATCATTTGTTTTAAACATTTATTTATTAGGTAGTTTATATTCTGTCTGTTTTCCCTTGTATTTCATAAAACAGCCTTTATTAAAACAGAATTCCAAGGTTGCCGAAGTTTCAATGTTGAGGGTTAAAGGATACTGACAAAATAAAACGCTAATGTTATTTATTACAACTAATTATTTTCTCCTAATGCTGGAATTTTGGTAGTTTGTTTCAATTATTTCCTTCAAGAAAAGTCTTAATTACGTATACTTTTCATGGCAATGGATTGTTTTTAGTGTATATACATTTTTAGTGTTTGTTTTTATTATTATAGTACTAGTGTAGGTTCTGAGTCAGACCTGTGTTTGAATCCAGGCTCTGTGTACAAGCTGTGCTTCTTTGGGCAACTTCCATTTTATTATCATTAAAGTAGATGTCATCTTAATACTTCCTTTGTAGAATGGTTTGGAAGTGTAAATGTAAAGCTCTTTGCCAAGTGCTGGCACATGAGTGCATAGGATTAAAAAATAACTTCACTTGTCTTCTTAGAAAATAGAAGGTAATTTACAGATTAGGACTCTTCATTACAAGCAATGAAAACCATCTGTGGCAAAGTAAAGCAAAAGAGGATTGATTGATTCATTGATTGCCTAATTGATTGAAAGGACCTAGGGTAGTTTGTTCCCAGGATTGAAGGAAGAGTTGAGCATTTTGGCCTCAGAAAAGACAGGAATGGGAAGAGCATCGGGGATTTAAGAAGTGGGACCCAGCAGACAGACTCTTCAGGGCGCAGCTATCAGAATGCTTCTGGTGACAGCAGTTTCCCTCTGTGGGGGACTCAGCCCAAGATCTAGCTTCCTAGGAAGAGATCTGGGGGTTTCGACCTGGGTAGCAAGCCAGCGTGGTTGACAGTCGGGGGTCCCATCAAGACTGGTGGAAGGAGAAGCTGAGCAGGAGGATGGGGTAATGGGACAACAGTTACACATTGTCCAGAAGGTCGACCCTGATGTTGGTGGAATGTCATTAGCAGAAAGTTGTTCATAGTCACAGACACTAAGGAAAAGGGATATTCTTGCTCACTTTTTATTTCAGTTTTTGCTTGCTGGTACTCCCTCATTAAAAGTAGAAAAACCATTTTCAAGGCCTAAGAAAGGAAAGAATGAAGTCCCAGAATTGTCCAAATTTGGGGCTTGTGTTTAAATTCTTTTCAGCCTTAGCATGTTTGGAGAATTATTAATAATACAGACTTTTGGACAAAAATGAGATAGCTTGGGTAAATTCATTGATTATTAATGTGGTTAAATTTGTTTTTATTTCTTAAGGAACTTAAACAAAACCGAAGTCAGGAAATCGATGATCATCAAAATGAAATGTCAGTTTTACAAAATGCACATCAACAGAAATTGACAGAAATAACTCGTCGGCATCGAGAAGAATTAAATGAATATGAAGAACGAATTGAAGAGCTGGAAAATCTGTTACAACAAGGTTATTAATTTCATTAACATATTAGGTGAAATAATTAAATGACCAACCTAACACTGTAAGGTCAGGACATTGATGTAAAGTTGGCGAAATTCTAAAGAATGCATGAATGACTAATTTTGCTCATCTGCCAGAGATTTGCGGTGGTACCACTGTTGTCGTGATTCTGCAACATTGGAAAGGCCATTTTGCCTTTGTGGTAAAAAGTTATAGTACAGAGACTCTTTTGCAGTGTTTGATACATTTTCACTTTCTTTCAAACTCAGATACATAGGCTTTTTAGTATTTGATTCAAATATCTTTCCCCAACTACTTACTTTTGAATGCTTTGCTAATTATAATGTCATTATTTAACTTTTTTTTAGACTTAATTGTTTTAGAGTATTTTTAGTTTTACAACAAAATTAAGAAGAATGAGATTTCCTTTCTATCTCCTACCTACCCCTCTCCCCCACATGCATATTCACTCCTACCATCAATATCACTCATCAGAAGGGTACTTTTTTTTAACCAAGGATAAAACTACATTGACACATCATAATCACCCAAAATCCATGGTTTACTTTAGGGCTCATTCTTAGTGTTGTACATTTGGGCAAATGTATAATGCCCTAAAATCCTCTTATTCATTCCCTTCTTTATTCCCTGCAACTGATCTTTTTACTTTTTCTAAGTTTTTTTTCTTTTGTTTTGTTTTTTTAGGAAGAGTGGAAGGGAGGGAGAAAGACGGGGAGAAACATCAGTGTGCAAGAGAAACATTGATTGGTTGCCTCTCGCACCCCCTCAACTAGGCACCAGGCCCACAACTCAGGCATGTGCCCTGACTTAGAATAGAACCTGCGACCTTTCCATTTGCAGGATGGCGCCCAACCCACTGGGCCACACCAGTCAGTGCTGCAACTGATTTTTTACTGCCACCATAGTTTTGCTTATTCCAGAATTGTCATAATTGGAATCATATAGTATACAGCCTTTTCACATTGGCTTCTTTCACTTAGTAATACACCTTTAAGTTTCCTCCATGTTTTTTCATGGCTTAATAACTCATTGCTTTTTAGGACTGAAAAATATTCCATTGTCTGGGTGTGTTTTGGTTTATTAATTCATTCACCTACTGAAGGACATTTTGATTGCTTCCAAGGTTTGGCAACTATGAGTAAAGCAGCTATAAACATCTTTGTTAGAGTTTTTGTGTGGCTATATGTTTTCAGCTCCTTTGGGTAAAAATACCAAGGAGTATGATTGCTGGTTCATATGAAAAGAGCATGTTTAGTTTTGTAGGAACTAAACTGTCTTCCAAAGTGGCTGTACCATATTTCATTCCCACAAGCAATGAATCAGAGTTCCTGTTGCTCCATATCCCCACAAGCATTTCTTGGTGTTAGTGTTCTGGATTTTTACCATTCTAGTAGGAGTGTAGTGTTATATCATTGTACTAACTTTTCAAGCCTTCCAAATTCTGAAGTCTATGAAATCTTAGTGCTATATAGCAAGCTATTTAACTCAGTACATTTGTTAAATTAATTCCATGTTTATATTCTAGGTGACTCAGGAACTGCAGTAACTGATCACTCTAAAATTCATGAGATGCAAAGAACTATTCAAGTTCTACAAACTGAAAAAGTAGAGTCTTCAAAAAAAATAGAAGAACTTGAGGATACAATACAAGACATAAGTAAAAAATTATCTTCTTCTGAAAATGACAGAGAAGTTTTGAGGAAGGAACAGGAACGACTAAACGTGGAAAACAGACAAATAATTAAAGAATGTGAAAGCTTGAAACTGGAATGTAGTAAATTGCAACCTTATGCTATGAAGCAAAGTGATACTGTGAAGGAAAAGGAAATAATTCTTCCACAGAATGCATCACTTGAAGAAGACGTATTCAGACTACAGCAGGCACTGCCTGGTATAAAATGTTTGGAGCTTATTCCTGATTAGAGTTTCATTGCATACTAGTTGCTTTTAGAGACAACCAGCACTTTCTATAACTGGGTATTTTGTGGAAATGGAATTGACTGTGGAATTTGAACAGAATTGTTTGATTTAGATTCAGTGCCATAATAGATGACAAATAGAAATTTTCTGCTAAAAAGGGTTAAGTATTGGCTAGGTGTGTCTTAACCGCCCTTCCTCATCTTTTAAGTATTTATATGGAACTCATTGATTTGGGAGGCCATGTAGATTTCTGAGAAGTGTTTGTATAGACATTTCTTTGGAGGAGAAAACAGGTCTATTTCTGTTAATCTATATAGAACTAAATATTTCCTATACTAGAATTCATTAGGGCCCAGACCCTCCAGTTAGGGAATGCAGCCTACCTTCTTCAAAATTTTTATCATCTTTTGAAATACTCTCTTGAATCTAAGCCAACCTGAGAATAAGACCCATAGGTCTTCCACTATTGTCCATGCACTAGATATTTCATTACCATACCAATGTTCTGTGTTACAAAAACATAGATAGTAAATAAAATAGGCCAAGCAGCAGTATTCATTCATGCCAGGAAAACATAGTGGGAGTTCTTCAGTGGGAAAGATGCATCTTATTTTGCACTGTATCCTTTTCTCACAGTGTAAACCCTCACTATATGAACTCTCATTCCTGCTCTGGAGGTGTCTAGCTCTTGTGTGCTTGTGAGCCCCCTACCCCCATCTGTATTCCTTGCCTATTTGTTTATCATGGCTTTCTGACCTGGATGGCCAGCTCTATAAATTCAAAATCAATTTAGGTTCAAAGTCAAGTCTCCCTGTCCGTCCCCTGCCCCCTCTTATTTTCCCTACCTTGGTAATTGGTAGTATTTACCAGTCTCTCAAAATAAAAACTTTGAAGTTACCCTTAGCAAGTTCTGTAGGTTACATTTCCCTAGCTTCTCTAGGGTTCAGTGACACTTCAGTGTTGAATCCCAGAGGAGCTCGAGGGTTTCTCTTAGGTACTTCAGTCCTGGGAGCTGCCACGACAGCGAAGGGAAGGCTGTACAGTAGGATTCTGTACTGCTTTCTTATTTGACTTCCTAGTAGCTCTGGTCTTTTCAAAATAAATGTATCTATTTATTTACTGTATTCGGTGATCCTAATGAATCTACTGTCCTAGGCCTTCCCTTTTTTTCCGTGTCCACTGCCGCTGAAGAACTTCAGCCAATCCCTTTTTTTTTTTTTTTTTGGCCTGGTTATGAATGAAGCAGGATAGTATAGTGGTTAAAAAGATGACAGAGTTGGAATCCAGCTCCATCACTAACTAGCTGACCTTGAGCAAGTTAATTAACATCTCTGTTTTGGTTTTTTCATCTATATGGTTGCAATAATACTATCTTCTTCATAGTTACGGTAGTAGTAATAAGGGTTTTATGAGTGACCAGCATCTAGCCCACAGTAAGCATTCTAAAAGTGTTAGCTGTTATTATTCTCTTTTCTCCATGATCCCTTTTTCAAACAATTTTTTTCTTTCTGCAGCCAGAATGATTTTTCTGAAATGCAAAGCAGGTTACTTTCCTGAGTTTAGTACTTTGTGGCTCCCTGTGAACTTCAGGATGAAGTCTAAGCTTCTTAATCAGATGTATAATGTAGTAATGATTTGTTCCCTGTCTACCTCTTCAGTTTAAACTCTTCCTATTCTAACAGTCTAAATTTTAGCCATTTTGAACTTTCCTCATAGCTCTTTAAGCCAGCAGTGTTGTCTCCTAGCTCTGTTGCTTTTGCATTTACTGCTTTCTCTGTGTGGCATGCTTCTCCTTTTGCTCACTCTTTGCATATTAAGATTCAGCACAGGTATGGTGTTTCCTTAGAGGCACCTAGAGCAGCTGCTTCCCTGGCCACACCAGCCATCCCCCCGACGCCCCTCCCCCCACCCCGCCCCGCCCCCTCCACTCCCCACCAGTCTGGATTAGGAGTGTGCCCTCTTTGGTCTCATAGCAGCTTGTGCACCATGTATCACACTATAGTGTAATCACATGTTTACTTGTCTTTCCCTCTTGCTCCTTGAGAGCGGGCAGGGACTAAATTTTTCCATTTTGTTGTCTAGCAGCTGACCTCATATTAAATGTTCAGTATTTCCTGTACAAACATTGAATGAAGTGCTTCAGCTGAACTCACGGTATTCTGTCTTTGTGTTCTTCTAGAACCCCTTCTGTTTATGGGTCTATCTAGAATACCAGATCGAATGGTCTTTTTATTAGTAGTCATGTTTAAGTCACTTCAGAGAATGGATAGGTTATTGTATTGTCATGTATAAATGTAAATTTGTGTTTTTAAGGTTTTTCTCCTTAGTCTTAGTCATACTGTTTCCTTCTACACAAACTAATCAGCTCACTTTGAAACAGTTGTAATTGCTTTTATCAAGGCAATAACTCATGACTCACTCAGAATACAATTATAATTCTATCTTATATTGTTTCATAGAATTGGATTTTGACATAGTTTATAACTGGCATTTATATTATGGTTTCTTGGAATAGTCAAAATACAAATGCAAAATAACAAAAATATACTTCATTTAATAACACTGAGGGCTTACCAATTGTTCTTAAAATATACTTCATTTTAATTAGGTTTTATTTCTGAGTTTAATTTTAGGAAGTAAGTATTAAGATATTTTAAAGAATTTTAATGTGAGATATTATAAGGAATTTTAATGTGAGATCCATTGTTGTTTTGTTTACAGATGCTGGAAATGAAATAACAAGACTGAGTAATTTAAACCAGGTAAACTCATTTTAAGAGAGAAAGCTTTTGGCATTGGCTCACCAAGAAAAAGTATTTTGATTATTACAATTGCTTATTTTGTATTTTGTATTTTTATTTTTTATAAATTCATGCAAATTTATCCTAGGAACTTTTAGTAATTTTATGTTTGCTATTGATGACAAACTTTTTGCATCATAAATTGACAATTTTAAAGGTTGCATAATTGAAAAATGCAAGTGTATTTCTTTGAAGATTAATTAGACAAATGTTATATTTGTAGAGACAGTGGAAGCTGTGATCCTCTACCAAAGTGAGGAATGCATTTTGATTTCCCTTTATGATATTCAGGGAGTTGTTTCTTTTTCTGATGATTACAAGTTATTTTGTAAATGTATTTATATATTTTTTCCAAATGTAATAAATCTCTACAAATGTCTATAAAATGAGTGACTGGCTTTTGCTTATAATTTTTATATATCACTGAAGAAATGCTGAGTAGAAATGCACATTTGTATAGCTTGCCTGCTTCCTTGTAAACTTGAAATTTCCTGTCATTTGAAACACTGTTTTTAACATGTTTATAGGATAATCTTGCTGAAGATAATCTGAAACTTAAAATGCGTGTACAAGTTTTAGAAAAAGAGAATTCATTACTGAGTGAAGAAAAGGTGGGTGTAATAAAAATGGGGGCAGAATTGCAATGGTGTGTGTATGATATATCCGATGACAGCTAAGAGCCAGTTTATATCAAAATGAGTGTTTAGTTCCTCAGAGTCCCGAGGATAAAGCTGATCTCATTGTTAGGCCAGGTTGAAGTTCAGAGTATGAGAGGCTGGCCAGAGTTTATGTTTAGAGATAAGCCAGTAGACATACAGATACGAGCAGAAAAGAGAGGCGAAGGTTCTTTTTTGGTCTCAGATGAAGTCCTGACAGCAACAACTCACCCAGGTGGGTCGGGGGTCTGGAGTGGCCTACTGTGGCAACTGTGTACACTGCTCACGTGCCCCAGAATGTGTCTGGGGTGGTGGACGGGAATTTCTTAGTGGCGAGGGGCTAAGGAGGGACATTCTCAGTGGTAGAGATATGGTCTCTTTCGTATATTGCTAGCAAGCATAGAGTAAGATTCTGTAATGCACCGCTGGGTGTGGGGAAAGATAAGTCTTATGTTTGTACCACTTGTGGAGCTAATTCCTTGACTAAGGCAGGTGTTTAAACATAGGACAGTAGTAAGCTGATATTTATTACAGGCAGTTGTCTCAACTGTATTTAAAGTCTTAATTTTTAAAAAGTAACATAGTTACTGAGGTACGTATTCAATACTATGTTCTGGAAAACTTCAGGCAGTGCAGGTGGAGCAGCCTTCATTCCTCCATTGGCTGTCCCCTCCCAGAGGCCCTCTTTCTCACCACTTTCTTCAGTCTCCTGCCAGACTATAGCTATGTATGTATGATTTTATATGTACGGGGGGGGGGGGAGAGAATATTTTTAAGATAACAAATATTAGCATACTATGTATGCATATGTACCTTAACATATTTTGGACATTCTTTCATATTACCATGTAGGCGTTGTTTCTCAAAGGGGTGCTGTTGACATTCAGCCTGGGAAAACTCTTAGTTGTATAAACTGTCTTGTCCATTGTAGGATCCTTATGCCCACTCTTTTATACCCTGAATGCCAGTACTGTCTCCCTGTCATTTTGTATTACTATATTTTATGTACTTCCTCTGTTTTCTGCTCCCATTGCATTCTGCTCTTTTCAGTTATTTTTCTGTAACTGGCCTAGGAGTATTTAGTAGTTTGCAGATCTCTCCACATATCTGATAAGGCTTGTAACTTTCTCTTGGTATTTTTGGATTCTGTAGCTATTTCTGATAGTGGTTTCTCCTTTCTTTTGATGTTGAATAAGCCATTGTAACTCTTCATTGAATTGTGTCTGCTCACTGGTTAAAAATGCTGAAAGGCTGTATGTAATCTTAAAATCCACCTGAAAAAAAGTTTTGTTCTTTTAATTTTACAGATAGCTGTAGAAAGACATAAGAGAGTACTAGTTTCATTTTTCAGTTGTAATTCAGAATAGACTATTGTACTGGAAGAAGAATGAGAATTGTGAGGCAGATGTTCTAATATAGTTTTCATTTGTCTCGTTTGTAAGGTGTATATTAAACTATAGAAATTCAAGATTCTTACTTTAGATTCCATAGAAATTTAATTTTTCAAAATATAGTAATGAAAGAAGGCATTACAGCTTTATTACAAACATCATAATCAGAGGTAGAAATGATGTTGAAGCATAGAAAACTGTCTTCTTGGATTTTGGAGGGAAAGAATTAAATACCAATAGAAGAGAATATAAGTGCGTTAAAAAAACAGATAGCTTTATCTTTACAAAATGTTGTTTGAGAAAGGAGAACTTAGTAAGTGCTCAGGTTAGAAGGTAAAGAAAGGAAGGAGGGTACTTTGTTGGGTGAAGAAATGGTTTCATGTTGTGACCGAAACCAGTTAATACTGAAAATCCCTTTAATGAGGGAAAAGAAGCCTTTTTTTTCTTCTTTTTTTCTTTTTTTAATTAGAGAGGGCAAACTTTAGAGTGAACAAGTATTCATTTGTCACATTTTTGTCTGTGGCTGTTGGTGACTGGATGTTAGGAAATGGAAGTTAAGAGAGCCAGAAGTTATTGGATATTTCGGAAAGTATGTGTGTGGTGGGAAGGGAGGAAACGAGAGAAGCAGCAGTAGCAGTGGGATTGGGAAGTCTCTCAAATGGCAAAGGTTTTCTATGAAGAAGTTGGGGTTAGAAGATGAATTTCTAGTTATTGAGTCTTGTCTAGGGTTATAAAAATCTTTTCCATATGAATGAAGGCTGTGGTTGGTTGAATTTTATATGTCATTGCTGAGGTGTATTGTTCAATAATGTTTCTGACACAGCATTTAAAATTGATTCCCAAGTTTTGTTTATATTTTTAACAAATTTTAACAAGTTTTGTTTATATTTTGTTTAAAAGAGACACAATCTTTTGGTGTCTCTTCCTCCAAATAATAGTATGTGTTGTTTTTTTCCTTTATCATTTAAGGAAGACCTTCAGATATCACTTTTAAAACTAAAGAATGAATATGAAGAAATTAGAAGTACAGCTGTAAAAGATATGGATTTGGAATTGAAATTACATGACTTAAGACTTAATTTGGAGGCAAAGGAACAAGAACTCAATCAGAGTATTACTGAAAAGGAAATACTAGTAGCTGAGTTAGAAGAATTGGATAAGCAGAACCAAGAAGCTACAAAGGTAAAAAGTACTATATTAAAGACAGTGTGGCAGCACATTCTACTCAGTAGACCAAATACAAGATTAACAAGCAAAGGTGATTGGTATGATTCAGTTTTGTGTTTTAAATGATATTTTAGCCTATCGATGCTCTAGTTGCAGAAGTTGGTGAACTTTTTCTATAAAGTGTTAGATAGTAAATATTTTTGACTTTGCAAGCCATATAGTCTTAGTTTTATCTGCTCGACTCTGTTATTATAATATGTAAGCAAATGAGTGTGGCTCTGTTCCAGTAACACTTTATTTACCGGTGGCAGGCCGGATTTGCCCCCTTAGCTGTGGTTTGTTGACTCCTGCCCAGTGTTTAACAGTCAAAATAAACAACATATACTTTTTACCTTCTTCGGTTTTAAATTCTAATCTCCAAAATGATAACATAGATTTGCTATAAAATGTTAGCAATTTTGTTGGGATTTTTAAAAAAGAGTTCAAGAAGTATAAGAAATATCTGAGGATTATTATTTTATTGTGTATGAAATTTTATAAAATTTTCTTTAGGTTCTAAAAGAGAGAATGTATTAAAGTTAACATGCAAATTAATTTTTCTTTCAGCACATGATTTTGATAAAAGATCAGCTATCAAAACAACAAAATGAGGGAGATAGCATCATCAATGACCTGAAAAAAGATCTAAATGATGAAAAAAAGAGAGTCCATCAACTTGAAGATGATAAAATGAACATTACTAAAGAGTTAGGCTTACAGAAAGAAAAGTTAATTCAAAGTGAACTAGCCTTAAGTGACTTGCATTTAACCAAGCAGGAGCTAGAGGATAAAATAGAAAATTTAGTAGCTCAACTAAATAAATCACAAAATGATAATTTAAATATCCAGAAGGAGAACTTTGAACTCAAGGAACATATTAAACAAAAGGAGGAGGAACTTTCTAGAGTCAGGTATGAGTCAACTCAGTCTCTTAATCAAGACTCTAACAGTGACTTTAAGGATGACTTACTTAAAGAAAGGGAAGCTGACATTAGAAACTTAAAGCAAAATCTTTCAGAAGTAGAACAGCTCAATGAAAATTTAAAGAAAGCTACTTTTGATCTCAAAATGGAAAATGAAAAGTTGGTTTTAGCATGTGAAGATGTAAGACATCAATTGGAAGAAGCTATTGCTGGTAATAATCAGATTTCTCTAGAAAAAAACACTATTTTGGAGGCTCTTAAAATGGAAAAAGGACAGTTAGAAGCAGCATTGTGTCAGGCTGAAAACAGGCTGTTAGAAGAAGCAAAAAAGTATGAGCAAACCATTGAAGAACTGTCGAGTGCGCGCAATTCCAGTGCTTCTGCTTTACAGCTGGAGCATGAGCGTTTAGTGAAACTCAATCAAGAAAAAGACTTTGAAATAGCAGACCTCAAAACGAATATTAAGCAAATAGATAGCGATCATAAAGAGACTCAGAAAATTTTGTCATCTAATTTAGAAGAGCGGAAGCAATTGACACAACTTATAAATGAGAAAGAAATTTTTATTGAAAAACTTAAAGAGAGAAGTTCAGAACTCCAGGAGGAATTAGATAAATATACTGAAACCTTAAGAAAAAATGAAAATTTGAAGCAAACCTTAGAGGAAAAAGACAGAATCCTTGGATCTATGAAAGAAGAAAACAATCACCTAAAAGAGGAACTGGAACGACTCAGGGAACAACAGAATCGCGCTGCACCTGTGGCTGAGCCTAAAACCCTTGACTGTATTACAGAGCTAGAATCTGAGGTATCTCAGCTGAATATAATAAAGGGTACTCTCGAAGAGGAAATAAGGCATCATCAAAAGGTAATTGAAGATCAAAACCAGAGTAAAATGCAACTACTTCAGTCTTTACAGGAGCAAAAGAAGGAAATGGATGAGTTTAAATACCGGCACGAGCAAATGAATGTCACACACACCCAACTCTTTCTAGAGAAAGATGAGGAAATAAAGACCTTGCAAAAAACAATTGAAGAAATCAAAACTCAGTTGCATGAAAAAAGGCAGGGTGTTCAAACAGAGAATTCTGATATTTTTCAAGAAACAAAAGTTCAGAGCCTTAACATAGAAAATGGAAGTGAAAAGCATGATTTATCTAAAGCAGAAACTGAAAGATTAGTAAAAGGAATAAAAGAACGGGAATTGGAGATAAAAATTCTAAATGAAAAGAATATATCTTTAACTAAACAGATTGATCAGCTGTCCAAGGATGAGGTTGGTAAACTAACTCAGATTATCCAGCAGAAAGATTTGGAGATACAGGCTCTTCACGCCAGAATTCCCTCAGCTTCTTACACACAGGATATTGTGTACCTTCAACAGCAGCTGCAGGCCTTTGCTGTGGAAAGAGAACAAGTATTAGCTGTTTTGAGTGAGAAGACTCGGGAAAATAGCCATCTAAAAACGGAATATCACAAAATGATGGATATAGTTGCTGCCAAAGAAGCAGCCCTCATTAAGCTGCAAGATGAAAATAAAAAATTTTTCACTAAATTTGAAAGTAGTGGCCAAGATATGTTTCGAGAAACTGTTCAGAATTTATCACGTATCATTCGAGAAAAAGACATTGAAATAGATGCATTAAGTCAGAAATGTCAGACCTTATTGACAGTTTTACAAACATCCGGCACTGGTGACCAGGCTGGAGGTGTTAATAGTAATCAGTTTGAGGAGCTTCTACAGGAACGTGACAAATTAAAACAACAAGTCAAGAAAATGGAAGAGTGGAAACAGCAGGTGATGACCACAGTACAAAATATGCAACATGAGTCAGCCCAGCTTCAGGAAGAACTTCATCAACTCCAGGCACAAGTTTTGGTTGACAGTGATAATAATTCCAAGTTACAAGTGGACTATACTGGTCTGATCCAAAGTTACGAGCAGAATGAAACCAAACTCAAAAATTTTGGTCAGGAATTAGCCCAAGTCCAGCATAGTATCGGGCAGCTCTGTAACACCAAAGATCTCCTTTTAGGAAAACTTGATATTATTTCACCTCAGTTCTCTGCTGGATCATCACTTACACCCCAGTCAGCAGAGTCTGTAAGAACAGGTAAGTCTGAAACATTGAGTGAGTCTTCTCAGCAAGAGATAGAGGAGCTAAGAAAGTCGCTACAGGAAAAAGATGCCGCAATTCGGACCCTCCAGGAAAATAATCACAGATTGTCTGATTCAATGGCTGCCACCTCAGAGCTCGGAAAAAAAGAACACGAGCAAACAGGTGCAGAAATTAAGCACTTGAAAGAAAAACTGGATGTTCTACAGAAGTCACTTATGGAGAAGGACCTTTTAATCAAAGCCCAAAGTGATCAGTTGCTTTCCTTAAATGAAAACTACACTAACAAGGTAAATGAAAATGAATTGCTGAGGCAGGCAGTGACAAACCTGAAAGAAAGAATAGTAAATTTAGAAATGGACATTTGTAAATTAAAAGAGGAAAATGAAAAAGTAGTAGAAATAAACAGAGAAAAGGAAACAGAATACCAAGCATTACAAGAGACTAATATGAAATTTTCTATGATGCTGCAAGAAAAAGAGTTTGAGTGCCATTCAATGAAAGAGAAGGCTCTTGCTTTTGAGCAACTACTGAAAGAAAAGGAGGTATGTCCTGGATGGCGTGTTACATATGGAGGGAAACTGCGGGGAAAGAAGTTTGTTAGTGCCACTTTATCAATAATATCTTTGACGGGGACGTGAATTTGTTCATTTAGAAATACTTATTTCAAGGTATTGTGTTTTATTCTAAATAAATATTCTTCAGAGACATCTGGAAGTTTCCCCACTTACTAGGTACTTCCAAATATTTTAAAATACTGGGTTAATCTTTTACAGTGTGATAAGTGGAAAAGGTTAGTAGCAATTAATATCTTTCTTCAGAAAATAGAAATCTGTTACAAGAGGAAAATTGAAGTTAGTACAATTTAACCAAATTTTAAGCATATTTCAGTAGGTACAAGTAATGGTTATCATCTCGGAGGTTTTTATGTGTAATGAGCTCTGTGAAATACACCCTATGTCTTTGACAATCTGCAGTAAGAAATACAGGCCTGGCCAGGTGTCTCAGTGGGTTGGAGCGCGGTCTTGCATCCTGAAGGGCTGCAGGGGCGCACCTAGGTTGCAGATTGGATCCCTATTTGGGGCGTGTATGGGAGGCAGCTGGTCGGTGCTTCTCTCACATCGATGTTTCTCTCTCTGCCTCTCCCTACCCTCCTACCTCCTTTCCCCTCTCTCTCCCTTCCTCCCTCTCTCTCTCTCTGCCTCTCTCTCATCAATAAGCATGTCCTCTGGTGAGGATTACAAAAAAAGGATTAAAAAAAATACATTTTACCTTATGACACAGTAAGCACTTCTGTGTGTGTAAAACTGAAAAGTTTCAGGAATCAGAAATTACCCTTACTGTATGTGATGCTTTGTTAAAAAAAAGAAAGTGCTAGATGACCCAATAAATTGATTTTTATGAATCAGTCACAACCTGGTTTTTGCAAAATGTTAACCGTGTAGAGTGCTTTTCACATAGTAGACTCAATGAATACTCTAATCCCAGCTCTGTCACTGGTGTGACTTTGGGTGTATTTTGACCTTGTTGGTTTGTTTCTTCAATCATAAAATGGAGGATTGTAGCAGTTACATAAAGAATTGGGAGTTTCATATATTTCAATTTTTACATGCAGTTGATTTTGCTTGTAGTAAGAATGTATTGAAGACCTTCTAGTACATCGTACTCCGGTGGTGCTTATTACTCTGATTTCTATAGTTTTAGTAGTAGAAGTTTGGAAAAGAAATGAGAATATTGAACAGTTGCTTCTTGAATACTTACATGCTGCCAGGCACAAGATAAAAAATGATTTAACTTCTTTTGCCAGTTAAGTTCTTAGAGTCTTGGGCTAAAGTTTGGGAATACTTCATGCACCTTTCACTTTGGTAAGGAAAGTCATTTCCTCTTTGCCATCTGATTAAGTAGCTACACTGGTAGTGTTGAGGTGCTCTCCCTTAAGTGCGACTTCTTAGCTTCTTGTGGTGCTGGTCTGTAATTGGTATGAAAAAGATCTTTCTATTGCTCCCTAACCAAAGTGGGGTGTAGTACCTTAGGGCTATCAGGTTATAATAGACTAATGGAGAACAATGAAGTATTCCTTTTTAATACATTTTTTCCTTTCGTAGTTTTAGCATCTTGTACAATTTAGTTCTATTTCATGGAATTTGTAGGTCTAAAGTGTACAGATGTAATTGACTCACCTTTCAGAAAACTCTGAAAGTCGTATTTAAGTACTGTATTACTTGAAGATAATTAGTGTAAATTAATTTTTTGCAATACTCTATGTAATTGAAGAGTACCTTTATTGTATTTTGAATATAGTAAATAACATCACTTTTTTTAGGGTGAAAAGGATGTTCTTGGTAAGAGATCTTCAACTCTTTACCTTTTCGATCATTTGTTTTTTCTCTGTAATACGAAATAATTTTTAACTGGAAAACTATTTGGAAGGTACTGGCCTCACTATCGAGGAGGGGGTGTTGAGATAAAAGGAACAGATGGTTTTATGTTTTGCTTTAGCTTAATTTATTACATATTATATATTAAACAAATAGAAAGTTTACATGAAAATTTGAAATAGCACCTAATGATAGATTCATATGATATGCATAGTTAAATAGCCTGTCACTTTTTTGTGCTTTTTAGAAATCCAGCTATCATCTTAATCTTATGGCCCTATTTTTCAATGGTTATCTTTTTAAAAAAATATTTACTTTTAGAGAGAGAGGAAGGGAGGGAGTAAGAGAGGGAGAGAAACATTGATGTGAGAAACATTGATCAACATTGATCGGTTGCCTCTCACTTGCCCCGAACTGAGGACCTGGCCCTCAACCCAGGCATATGCCCAGACCGGGAATCAAACTGGTGAGCTTTTGGTGTGCGCTGGCATTCAGTCCATTGACCCACACCAGCCAGGGCACAATGGTCATCTTTTTTTCTGCTGCCATTAATATATTGTTGCTTGCATGGAATGCAATCAAGAATAAATTTCCCCAACCATCTAGCAAGAAATTATTCCAGAGTTGCTTTCATTCATTAAATTGTTGTCAAAATATTTTTTTAAACTAGGCCATGCCTATGAAATGACTTACCTGTTTTTTCTTCTCTGCCAGCATTTTAACACTTACTTTCTCCAGCCACAATTGTGAATGTCTGATGAATGGGGGACACACACACACACACTCTTTTTGAGTGATTTTGGGTTTGTGGTCACTGTTGTTTAGGGGAAATTTGAAGAGAATATGTCTTTTGAGTTCTTTTAAAAATATTTCTAATGAACTTTCTCATTAAGAATCATTTAGATTATTAGAAAAGTTGCAAAGACGGTATAGAGTTTCCATATACCTCATACTCAGTTTCCCATATTATATTACACTTGTAATAACTAATGAACCAATGTTGATTCTTTACTATTAACTGAATTCCCCTGATTTTTCACTGACTAGCTGTCTCCTATTCCATGAGGCCACCCAGGACACAACATTCCGTTTTGTTGTCATGAATCCTTGGGCTCCTTTAGACTCTGACAGTTTCCCAGACTTTCCTTTTTTGATGGGCTGACATGGTTACCTATATTTTAAAATTAATTAATGAAGAAATGTCTTTTTACAATGTACTTTTATTTAAAGCTAAAGTTATTTCTTTCCTAAAGGGTGAGACTGGGGAGTTAAATCAGCTTTTAAATGCAGTTAAGTCAATGCAGGAGAAGACAGTTACATTTCAGCAGGAGAGAGACCGAGTCATGTTGGCCCTGAAACAGAAGCAAATGGAAAACGCTGCTCTACAGAAGGAGGTACGCTTTCACCAAAGAAACAGCGGTTTAAAGACCGACTTTAATGAGTATTAAATAAGAAAACTGTAAGGATTATCACAGAACATGAATTTCTTTCATAGGTGACTCTTTCTGCGCTTTCCTCTCGTGGGCTGTGGTAGACATTTGACCTCCCAGAATGCAGTTTAATTCAGTTTTTGAAAGTGAAAACCATGATCTAATCATTGTGTTGTACACCTGAAACTAAATTATACCTTGATTTTTTTATATAAAAAAGTGAAAACCATGTCATATCTTGAATATAAGAAAAATTTCCCATTCATAAAATATGGGAAAAATTAGATTTATTGAAAACGTAGTCTGTAACAAAAAAGCCCAGTACTTTGTGTAATTCCATTTTCCATTATAGCCACAGGACTTGAGGTCTTACAAAGTAAACCTTCCAAATATTCAGGATCATTTCAGAGACTTTTTTCCTAGTATAAATACATCTTGCAGTATGAGAAATTAGTGTATAATCAATACACTTCAATAATGGGGAAAATTTTTGATAACAGTGGCTTGTGAGAGAGAGGGGCGGGAGTATTTAATAGAAGGAAAATAAAGAAATGTCCTCTGTCTAGGTTCAGCATTTGCGTGACAAAGAATTACGCTTAAATCAGGAGCTAGAGAGACTGCGTAACCATCTTTTAGAAACAGAAGATTCTTATACCCGTGAAGTCTTGGCTGCAGAAGACAGAGAGGCTAAACTAAGAAAGAAAGTCACAGTATTGGAGGAAAAGCTGGTTTCGTCCTCTAATGCAATGGAAAATGCAAGGTAACTTTCTCGTTTTTTTAGCCTTAATATTAACACTTCTTGAGGATAAGACTCAATAAGCATTTTTCATATTTTACCTCATTTTATTCTCACAAAATTTATTATCTCTATTTTACAGATGAAGAAACTTAAGGGGGTTTAGTAACCTTCCTGAGGCCAGGCGCAGAGTGTGCAGAGGTTTCGTCCTCAGACCTGCCTGACTCTTAGCCAGGTCTGGCCTTCAGAGCAGGCCTCGTGATCTTAACCTTTACCCTCGGTCATTGCTTCTCATCATTTTAGGAGACGTAAATACCAACTGATTTCAGGGACTTTTCAGACTCCAAAAGAAGGAATTTAATTAAATTTATGTGATTTCATTTCTAATCAAATGATCTGAGGTTGAACAAGGTCTGGCTCTAAGAAGGGAGAGAGTAAAGGAAATAGCAAGGTGAAGACCTATGTCAGTGTGAATTAACTCTTGGTTTATTAGAACTTTTGAGTAACCAGGTTCCCACTTAAATAATGAAAAATTTTATTTCTCTCAATAAAATGTCTTTTTTCTTATTACAAAACATTTTATTTTTTCACTTCAGGAAAAACACATAAACCAAAGGAACATAAAGCTACAGTCCCACCCACCCAGAAGTAATCTTTCTTTTTGTGCTTTTATATGCTTTTGATGTATTTGTGTATATATTCTGTATATTTTTAAAGCAAACTAGAGATCATATATTCCTACTCTTTGTAACCTGCCTCTATTTAATATGAGTACCAGTACACAGTTAGCCGTATGTTTCTGCAGTATCATTTTATGGCTACATAGTGTGCCACTTTTGGGATTGCCATAATTTCTTTAATCTAGTCATTTATTGTTGGACATGTAGAGTGTTTTAACTTTTCAGAATTATTAAGAGTGCTGTCATATCTCAAGATAGGTATTTTTTGTGTTGATGACAGATAATTTCCTTGGCTTAAAGTTTTAGAAATGGAAGTTTGGTTCAAAGGGTATTTCTAAAATTTTGACATATACTACCAAGTAATCTTACAGAAAAATCATGTCTATTAATATTTCCATTAGTGATATGCACATCTTTTTATTTATTTATTTACTATGTATTATGCTGAAGGAGACAAAAGGAGATAGTAGATGCATCTGTTTGCAGAGAGGTTATGGGCCAGTAGAGACAATACTTGAGGATGAACTGCCCCCTCACACCGTGGGGTATATCATTATTTCTTCAGACTAAGAAGGAAAACTTGTGTAAAATGGGAATGGATCATTTATATGTGTGTTTCACATAGACAGAAATCCAAAACACCCTCAGGTTCTGAAATTGATACTTCCACTTTCTACGCATTGTTTTCTCTGCCCCCTTTCATTTATCCATAATAATCACCAGATTAACCTTCATTAAGAAGAACCATGATCTTGTTACTCCTTTTTTTAAAACCAGAGTAGACTCATGATTTGGTTCCAGGCTATCTGCCAACTTACCCTTAATTCTTACTATCACCTACGTCCAGCCAAACTGTATTGCTCCATTCTTCAGATACAGCTACTATTTTTCTATTTCTCTTTCTTCTACTTTTTCATTTCATATTCTTTTTTCTACCTTAAAGCGGGCCTGATCTCTTAACAGTTTTTGTGTTAATCTCACCTTTTCTTCAAATAGCATTTCCTTCATAAAGAATGCTTTGTTTAGCACCCCACTCCTCAAATCCAAAACCAAACCCTGGTGTGGTATTTTTTTCCTTTGACACTGCGTAGTATTTTGGGTCTTTGGTAGGGCACTTATATTTTACAGGTAATTGTTGACTCATCTTACACCTCTGCTGCCCAGTGGAATGTAAGGTTACTGAGACTAGGGGTGATGGCATTTATTTTGTACCCTTCCCGCAAGCATGCATTCTTACATATAGCTTAACAGAGTTTCAGCAAATATTTGTTACATAAGTAACACAAGTCTACAAACCAGATTATGGTGTTTGAGTTCTTCCTAACAACAGTAACACGTGGTAAAATATTAACTTCTTGAGCAGCATCACAGCTCATTGCATCTTTACAATCACTCTCTGAGTGATTTTCTAGCCAGCAAAGTTGAATAAAACTCAGGGACACTTGAGGGCAGTTTTCTCCTGTTTATCAATTTACTGCTCTTTCCACAAGAGGGTGCTGTTGGGTAAAGTTTCTTCAAAATATTAATAGCTGCAGCAGATGGGCTTTGATGGGCTGCTTTTGAGTAAGAATTTAACTGGATATTAAAAACCCAGAAAAGACTTGCAATATTTTGTATGTGATAATTATATACTAAGTAAGTACGTCAATGACATGAGCCTGGATAGGTGCTATATTAATCTCTTAGGGAACTTTGATTTATCATTTGGGGCAGGTGTAGGGGTTATTTAATGTACACAGAAAGATGATGGTAAAGGATAATTAACTAGTAATCAGAGCAGCTAATCAATGCTCCAACCTTAGGAAGGCTCTGACTTCACTGTGATTTCACAAGTTAAAAGCAAGGGAGTGTCAGAATTCGTTGCTCATTGGATTTGGAAGCTGAGCACAATGACTTCCAAGGTTTCTTACAACTTACAATTTTATGATAAATTACGTTTTAGAGTTTTAGCCTGGAAACGCGAAAGTTACAGGCTATTTGTAAATTTTCCTTACAGTGACATTTCTTGTCTAGCCCTATGCTGTCTTTAAAATGATTGCCATTTATACAAATCACAGTCAGAAGAAGGATGGTTGGAGTCACAAAGATGGGGAGAAAGAAGATCAGGAGCACTCTTCAAGTTTCTTTGAAATCTAACTTGAATTTAATGCAATAAAATGTAGGGAAGGTCAAATTCATGGAGGCAGAAAGTAGAATTATAGTTGCTGGGGGAAAGTGGCGTTACTGTTTAATGAGTGCGGTGTTTTGGCTTGGGAAGGTGTCTGAGGTTCTGGAGATAGATGGTGGAAATGGTTGTACAGTAAGTGCATGTACTTAGTGCCACTGAACTCTGCACTTAAAAATGATTAAAATAGTAAAGATTATGTGTATTTTACCACAATAAAAATGTAGGGGAGAAATGTCATCTTACTAAAATTATCTAAATACTGTGAAATCTAATTTGCATTAATCCAAAAATGTAGGGAAGATGTTTCATCTTGTAAGTTACCTAAATAGAAACCGTTTGATTTTTATTCCTTTGTTTGAAGCCATCAAGCCAATCTGCAGGCAGAGTCACTGCAGGAACAGTTGAATGTAGTCTCCAAGCAAAGGGATGAAACTGCCCTGCAGCTCTCTGTGTGTCGGGAGCAAGTAAAGCAGTACGCGCTGTCGCTCTCCAACCTGCAGATGGTGCTGGAGCACTTCCAGCAAGGTGCGTGCGCAGTCCGGCAGCCCCGGGGAGGCTGGCGTCGTCGTTGGGAGTTCCGGCTCATCGCGGTGCTATTTTAGATTAGGCACGGGGATATGGCTCTCTTTGAAAGGTGACCCACTGGTAGGGGAGGATACGTAGCCATCAACAAGTTAATGTAGACTGTTTTTACAGTGAAGACCAGAGAACATAAACTATATATAGCAATTATTAAAATTTGTCTTAGTATCATAGGACCAGTTAGGGTAGGCATTGGGAAACTGCAAGGGCACCATAGAAAGGGTGACCATTCCTGCAGGAATGAGCGGGGCGCAGAGAAAGAGGGAGGCACACATAGGAAACATGGTGAGGCTTTGAGACACCAGTTGGAGGCTGAACCCACTGAAAGAGTCAACTGTCAGTAACTGCTCTCCTTTGAAATATTGAGGAACTTGTGCTTAGCTCTTTTCTATACTTTGAGGTAACTATGTTTTCTAGTCCAGGTGGAAAATAATTTTTGGAGACACAGTAACAGTGATAACCAAACATGCTGTTTCACATCTACCTCCCATCCTCAGTTACCACCTTCTGCCCTTAGGTCATTTACCCAGCTGTTTGTTTTATTCATATGTTTAGTAATTATTGGCAGTGAATTAACTGCTAGTGGGGAGCAGGTGGGTGATTAGGGGATACGAGGCTAATGAAGTAATAAGAGTTACAGCTTTGTCCCTAAGTTAAACTTTGAATTTGTACGTTTGTAGACCTTCAGAGTTACTCATCCGGTTGAAATCTTGAATTTTAAATATAAGATTTTTCTAGATCTACTCTATATAATACTGAAGTGAACATGTGTACAAAGTAGCACGGGGCCGAGGCCGTTGGGCAGGCTTTGCCGGAGAGGAGACACCTGAGTGGCGTTCCCGAGGGCGGGCAGACTGGGCGAGACGGCCGGGAGCAGGGGGTTTAGGCAGGTGGACTTCGTTCCAGCTCAGACTGCCACTGAGGCCTGCAGAATTGGTGAGATGTGGGACTTGTTTTGGTTGCATTATTAAAATTTCAAGTGGTTTAAATCTCTTAATTTTATCACACGATTGCCAAATACTATGTAACTTTTTTCTTCTTAAGAGGAAAAAGCTATGTATTCTGCTGAACTAGAAAAGCACAAACAGCTTGTAGCCGAATGGAAGAAAAAGGCAGAAAATCTGGAAGGGAAACTGATGTCATTACAGGTGGGTTGAAATAATTTCCCCTGTAAATATTATTTATGAAGCAATTTCTTTTAGAACTGTCATCCTGGAAATAATTTCCTAAACAATTAATTTAGTAAATATTGTTTGAGTGACTAATCTGTCCCCCATGCCGTGACATAATAATGAACAAGATAATCAAGATTTTCCTCATGTGATGACAGTAAATATGAGATAATGGGATATTTTAATTTTTTTGGCACTGATGAGTATTTTAGAGATCGCTGAAGAAAAAACAAATTACAATTTTAACTTTATTATTTTCTCTTTAGAACAAAATATATTGGGTACTTTATTTCACATGGATTGAAATAACAGTTATAATCCTGTTAGATCTTTTTGCACCATAAACCTTTAAAATATTTTTCTCTTTATTATGCTATATTTTATACATACAAACATTTATGTATAATGTATAAACAAAATGAACCCTCATGAAGAGATATGACACTGAAGTGACTTGCTTTTAGATTTAGGATAACCTTTTCTAAGTTATGAATAGATTTTGGTGATAGCTGGTAGGAAATAAAATTTGTTTACCCATCATTGATGGTGAATATGCTATTCAGATACATTAACATTTCAAATAAGTGAAACCACAGTCCCAGTAAAGTTTTGAAATTGGTAAATATTGAGTGGCTGCAAAACAGTATTTAGATAATATGTATAAAATATAAAAATAGGAATACAGCAAATGCCCACGTACTCACAACCCAGCGTAAGCGATACAGTGTCGTCGTCAGAAGCTCCCTCTGCATCCCCCCTCGTCCCATCCTTTCTTACCATCTCCTGCTCCAAACTGTTCTGTTTATCCACCCCTTGTTATTTTTTATGGTTTTATCACATAGATTAATATCTTCAAACAATACATTGTGTGGTTTTGCATATTTTTGAACTCTTAAGTGGCATTTTGAACTATATATAAATTGAATAATTTTTCTGAGACTTGTTTTTTTGCTTAGTATTATGTTAATGAGTTTCACCCACATTACTGTGTGCAGATGGTTCCTTATTTTTATTGCTCTATTCATTGCATGAATATATAATTTATTTACCCATTTTATTGATAAAGACATTTTCACTATCTGCTATTCAAACAGTGGGTTATGAACTTCCTTGTTTATATATTCTGGTACATATTACAGGAGTTCTGCGTGTATCTTAATTGGAAATGCTGAGTCACGGGATATATGTGAGCAATTTCAACTTTATTAAATGATGGCACGTTTTCTAAAGCAGTCTTGCTAGTTTATTCCTACAGGTGGCGCATAAGAGTTCTTGTTCTACATCCTTGGCAGCACTGGCATTATAAATATATTTTAACGTTCTGCCAATGTGGTAGGGGCAAAGGGCTGCTGCCTTATGGTTTTAGGCCTGCATTTCTCTGACTGCTAATAAGGTCAAGCATCTTAATGTTGACCATTCACAGTTACTTTCTGGTTGGCTCATGACTGCACTTGAAAAGGTACTTTATCCAGCACTTTTAGTGGTTTCCACGGGGCCCAGGGTACATAGTCTGTCATACTGTTGGAATGGAAGTCAGGTCTTCTTTTTAAACTGGGTTGTTTTTTTTTAAATTGTAACGTATATTTAGGAAAATAATAAAATGAATTGGAAGAAGCAAAAGAGGGAGTTAGTTAAGATAAAGCCTAAAATTATGAATTAAAAACCAAATAATGGTAGAAAGAGTAATGAAGTCTGATTGTTAATTTTTTAAAAAGTCTTAGTGTAGTTTAGCTTTAGTAATTTATTAAATATAAACAAAATTAAGTTAAAAATATCATTTAAACTTCCTTTACACTAAATTTAGTTTTGTGGGTTTTGAATATTAAATTTTTTATGTATGAACACATGTGTATAAAGGTACACGTTGATATATATGATACACACACCTATGAGATTTATTACAAGGAATTGACAATGTGATTGTGGGGCCTGGCTAAGCAAGTCTAAAATTCATAGTCCTGACAGTCAGAATAGGAAGATCCCAAGTGATGCAGGCTGGAGCTTGCAGGCGTGGGCCAGAGCTCTTGTCCACGGGCGCGTTAGGGAGGAATGTGCCGGCAGGGCGGGCTCCATGGTGGGGCCAGAGCTGCTGTCTACAGAAGGAATTCCTTCTCTTTTGGGGAAAGCCTCACACTTGCTTTCTAGGACTTTCAGCTGCTTCAGCCAGGACCACCCTGATTATCCAGGATATTGTATGTTCTTTCTTTAAGTTGATTAGAGGCTTTGATTATATTTATAAAATACCTTCACAGCAATATCTAGATTATGCTTGATTGAATAACTGGGGGCTATGTCTATCCAAGATGACACATCAAAAAAGGTATCACATTCTGATTCAAGATGGTAAAACTTGACCTGAAATTTACATGAGTGATTACTCCAGAATTGCTTAGAAAATTGTGCAAAGGAACAATGGTGAGGACGGGCTTGCTTACTAAATATCTAAATAGAGCCATAAATCAGTACCATATTGACGAGATTAGTGGGACAGATGGAAGATGCAGAAAGTTCTCAAGACAGATACGAGAATTTAAAACTAAACCCCAGACTAATTTCAATTTAATGGGAAAAGGATAGATTATCTAATAAAAGATGTTGGTACAACTGGCTTTCTCTATGGAACAAAATAAAATTGGATCCCTATTTCACACCATATACAAAATTAAATTACATGTATAGTAAAACAAGGATGATCAGCTGGGAGCGGTACTGGAAATGTGGGGCTATCTTTGGTTATATCAGTGACTGCATGGATTTTCTGGCATTTAGTCATCAGGGGCCATGAATGTTAAAAACAGTCCCACTGAGACACATTATTTTAAATATGTAAATATTTTTAAAAATAAATTTCTTGTAAAAAAATCTAGAAGGCCACATGTACAATCTAGGGGCAAAGAGGAACCTAACCAAGACCAAAACTCCAAAAGTTGTAAACACAAAGTAGAACATATTTGACTGTATACAATTTAAATACTTTTACATGGCAAAAAATATTCAGTCAATAGACAAATGACAGATCTGGCAATTAATATTTGTAGAACGGATGACAAGGGGTTCATGTCTATTATAGAGGGTGCTCTTACACACCGACAAGAGAAAGACAGCTCAAGTAGAAAAATGGACAAGGCATTCAAAGAGGTTCTCACAGAAGAGCAGATCTAGCCATTCCATAATCATGAAAAAAAAAAAAGCCTCAAATTCACTGGTAGTTAAGGAAATAACAAATAATAATGAAAACATCACTTTATACCCATCAGGCTTACAAAACTTAAAAAGAACATTTGTTGCTATCTTTCTTGACTTTTTTGTATCTGTTTTTTGTAGCTTTTATTCTCTACTATCACTTTTTTTTTACATGTCGTGGTGTTGTCTTTTTATTTGGTGGCCTCTTTTCCTAATTAATTCCTTTAAAAAGAGAGAGTATTGTGTTGTGAAGCATGGGTTCTGTCTTTTATGCTTAGTTGTGTGATCTTGCCCAAGGTCATCAGCTGAAATGAAAAGGGTTGACTGTCTAAGATGTCTTCCAGCCCTAGAGTTTGTGAAATAGTTTTGACATGATGCTTTTTGATTAACTTCCCTTCCCCAGGAGCGTTTGGATGAAGCAAATGCTGCATTGGATTCAGCATCAAGACTCACAGAGCAATTAGATTTAAAGGAAGAACAAATTGAACAACTTAAAAAACAAAGTAGGTTTTTTTCATTTCCCTTTTTTTCCCTACACACTAGTGTTGAATCACGTGTCTTCTCCCATGCATGGGTAAAGTGGAGCGAGACCAGCTTCCATGGGGGTGGGGAGGTCGACTTCCATTTCTATCTCCCATAACCAGTTTGCTTCCATTTGAACATGACCCTAGTGAAACCAGAATCCGAAGTTAGCAAGGCTGCACAGTTAGCTTTCCTTGGTACTGAGGCAGTCCAGCTGTGTTGGCTGTCACCTGCTGACCATCACGGGCACTGATTCGACCGGCCTGCCTGCTTAGGCTTATTACTTCTCCCTAAAGCCATCAGATGTGTAAGAGAGTGCAGTGTAATCAAGTAAAAGTAACTTCTCCCCTAATGAATATCTGGGCATAATTAGCTTTTTATGATTATAGGTGGTGCTTTACCTAAAGGCCACTCGTGCATTTTTTGATGCTTGTAAGGTTTGTTATAAGCCCTGTCGATTCCCTAAGTTGAGTCCTGTGCTTAGGATGATCAGTTGGGTCTCAGATAATCAGGTGGTTATAAGTGCTTTGTGGACTCTAACATATGACAAAGATGGCATGTCCTCATTTAATCTCTGATTTAAGGGTCCCCAGGAAGTTAAAGTTCTCCTATGGCTGCATTTAGTAGGTAATGATTTAATGCTGTTAGGAGATGATGAGGAGACCTAGAAATGTACCAGCTTAGGTGTCTGGGTTAGTCACAGTGGCACTAAGGCACGTAATTAAGGAATTAAGAAGTGCCGCCTAAAATAATAGCAATTAGAAATAGGCAAAACTAGGAGGAGTTGGTACAGCAGAGACACTGTCAGACAGCAGGAATGGTGACGTGGACGCTAGGGAGGCAGGCAGACGGGGACCACTCAAACACGGATACCAGAGGACGAGCCAGGATCCAGCAGGAGACGAGACGAGAGATTTTTAGGAATACAAAAAAATAATAAGGTAGATCATGTGCAGTAGATTTCCTCAAGATAACTTGATTCTGAGGCAAATTACTGGGCAACTAAAAGTCCTCTGTTTACTTCGTACAACTTGGCTAGCCCGGGAATTCTAAATCTCTTAGAGGTCCTGGACATTGGCCACAAGCAAACTGTGTATTGAGTATCATGGACATTTTATGTAACACTTACTGTATGTTGAGTCTTATTTCCTTTACTCTTTACAAGCAACTCTACAGTAGGTGGTGGTAGTTCCATTTTGTAAGTCGAAGAAGCTGAGGTTTGAACTCTGATCTTTTATCCTTGACCAAAGTTCGTGTTCTTTGCACGTCTACCGTATTCCTGTCAGGAGGAGGGCACTTTATAGTGTGAACTCCATTTGTTCTGTCTATCTCCATCTCCTTTGCAGAAGGACGGGATCCTCTCTGTTGGACCCTGAATGTTCAAGTGGTTGCCCGTATCTGGAGGCAGTTTTATTTATTGGGAACACAGTCTAATGAGGTCTGGAAGGCCAGTGGGACTGCAGCCTTGTCGGGAAGACATGTGAACAACCCAGAGGGGGGACGCTGGGCACCTGAGGGATCAGCCAGAGGATTACTGTAGGGTAGGGCTAAACTGACGGCGGTGGGAAGGCAGTGTTCTGAACAGCCCCTCGGTCTGTGACAGCTCAGTGTCGTGTGTCATGCTGTTAGAGTATCTGAGGCCACCTCCCCTTTAAGACATCCGCCTGAGTTGTGCCCAGGAAATAATGGTAAGACAAAAAATTCTCTGACATATTGTGGTTGGTAAATGTGATCGGAGTCCCTGCACTAGTTAGTACTTGTTCAGGTGCCCATTTCAACACCCAGTAACAGTAGAATATTTTCAGATCTTGATTATAAATGACAAGGCTTACGTGGCCCAGGCCCCTCTTCATGTAAAAAATTACAATGAATATTCATTGTAAATGTATAGTAACTTTGGGAATCAATATTAGCTACAGAAAAAGCCCTAATTATGCTTTTACAACTGGCATTTGGAAGGTAGGGCAGAAGGCCAGCGCTGCACAGACAGGAAGGAGAGGAGATGCAGTGCTGTTATGTCTTTAAGCTGTTCTCGCCACTCACAGCTCTTAGCAGTCTGTGTTCTTTTAGTACCTAAGTGCTTGATACTGCTTTTATATCTCTAAACCCAAGTGCGATTTTATTTTCTCAAAGCTACGCTCTTGATCTGATAATATAAATAAAACTTTGATTGGCTTGGTTGTTTCAAAAGAATCGTTGTATATTTTCTTTCATAGATCATTAAACACTTTAAATGTTGATTGATGCTGTAATACTGTATTTTTAACACAAAACTTGGCCAGACAGCAAAAATATTTGCCAGGAGAAACAATTTTGAAAAGGACAGATTGGCTTTTGTTGGAAGAAAGTACATAGAGACTTGAATCATAGAGGCAAAGTATTGTTTTCTTCCTAAGCATCTGTAGACTGATGATTAGTTGATACGCAGTTTCAACATTTAAACAATATTAGGAAACTCATTTTAAAAAGTGATATTTTATTGGAAATGCTGATTATGTCATTGCTACCACAAATGAGATGATTCAGCCTGGTCAAATGTGAAAAGGGAGCTATCACATATAATACCAATATTAAAACAGTAAATTGTTGATGGTTCCATTCATTCTTAGAATACATAATTGAGTGCCATTCACGTGCAACTGTGCTTATGAGTTCAGAGTATTTATAGGCTCTGTATAAAAAGTAGGAAGATGCCTTATCAGAAATTAAATAATTAATGAGAACCAACTACTTGGCTTCATTTTCAAAGTTGGGTGAGATACTAGACAGGATCCCTTTTTTTCAAGGAAGTACCACAGAACACAGAAACACCATAGGTTCATAATTTAAGACAATGGCGCACAGCAGCGCTCATAAGGTGATGCATATGTAATGCCTCGAGAAGCATCCCCTGAGGGCAAGGGACTTAAGCAGAGCCCTAAGTCAGCAGTTTCAGGGCTTTCACCCTGAAGATGTAAGAACTCCTTTCTCTGTCTTCATCCCCTACCCTCTAAGGGAAATAGCAAAGAAAGAAAATCCCAAGGTGATGTAGGTGCTATATTTTAATAGATAATGTGGCTAGTAGAAGAAATGCTGCTTTCTTTCCTTTTAGAACTTATTCTTACAGTGTTTTACTGGAAAGTATTCTTTTTCATTATGGTTATTTCACATGTCATCCTATACTTGCACTGAATTTTCTATGAAACAAATAGGACAGTTTCATAGAAAAATCAGTAAAAATCATGAACTATTCTGAGTTGGTCAGAGTTCATAATTTCTGAGGAATTGTCATTCATGGGAAAATACATACGTAGGGAAACCTAGACTGCAGCTGAACCCGAGAAAGATTTATCTTGCTATATTTATGGCCAGATTTTCTTCTTTTATTTCTCGTTCTTTATCCTCATTCTTAAGATAAACTCCTGCTTAAATGAAGATGATGGGATAAAATTGAAATAGGACAAAATGATTTTTGCTTTGATAACTGTTACTCAAAAGAGTGATGAATTTTGTGGTACACAAAGAAAAAAATAAGTTTCATAAACAGTATAAGTTCAGGCCTGTCTGCTGGTTTATGCTCATATCTTACAGGGCCCTGTAACTGATATTTTTTTAAGGAAGGTTTGGTGACTGCTTTTTAAAGCATGTATGAGCTGAGAATGGAAAATTTCCTTAGAGTGTTTTTTAAAGAAAATCTAGAATACCATAAAAATGAGACCCAGTAAACCTACTGTTGTATGAAATACAAAAACATGTTTGAAAACTACAAATATAAAAGAAGTTTAAAATATTTTTTATGGAACTTACTTTTTGGTGTTGGATGATAGAGTTTTTATTTTAAATAAAGACATTCCATTTTCCAGGACATGATTTATACAAGAAAACATATAATGTCCTGTTGAACATAGGCCAAATACATTCCCAGACGCTTTGTTACCCAAACCTTTTGAGGGATTTCTTTATAGATGTTTTTGGCAGAAGTGGTGATTTTAGAGGAAACATATAAGAAATACCAGATGCAGTTTTCTGAATTGCCATAAATGGTTAAAAAAATTATTTGTGACGATATAAACATCTGGGTATACTATACAATGCCAAAAATTTTAGTTAGGAAAAAAGTTTGTATCAGTTAGATAAATAATTAGGCCCTTTTCAACTTAATGATTATATTTTTACATGTGTGTTTTATTAATTCTTCTAAGTATACAGGCAAAAGTAAATTGTGTAGGGATGAGAATGTTTTGCATTAATATGTTTTGTGTATTTTCCTTCATATGGATGAGTAATTGAGAGTATAAATCATTTATTTCTTTTGTCCCATGGTCTGTTGTTCTTAGATACTCTCCCCTCCCAGAGAAAAATCACTCACTCACTCTTTTGTTTATTTATCAAAAATTCATTGTTTGCTGTCATGTACCAAGCACTGAAATAGTCACTGGAGATACAAAGATAGGGGGCAGGGTCCTAACTTCAGAAGGATTCTAGTCAGGCACGAAGGGGGAAACTACATATAATTACATGTGTGCATCAAATTGCTTCAGAAGGGAGGACAGTCCCCTCCACTTGGTAATGGTGGTAAGGGGGGGTAGAAAAGGCTAGTGAAGGTATACTTGACCTCACTTACATGATGAATAGGTATAACTGAGCCGGCAGGGGGTTGGGGAAGAATGTTGCGGCCAGAGGGAGGAATTCATGTGAAACTATGTGACATAATCTGGAAACGGGCTGAAGATTTGGTGAACTGGTAATGACCCAAGGAATGCGCACGCACGTGTGTGATGTCGGTGTGGAGTGCTGAGTGGACAGAGGTGGAAGTGGTTTGCTATAGGGAGAAATACTGTTAAGTGTGGATCACAAACACAGATTGTAAACTGGGGCCCGAATGCTAATCCAGACGAGCAGCGAGGATGGAGCAGAGACGGTGGTAAATTGGAGAGTTTCTTATAGGGGGCAGCAAATTCTCAGCTCCACTCAGCTATTGCCGTGGAGGAAGGTGGGACCA